TATTCTCTTTTTTCTTTTTGGGTTCAACAATAATAATCTTGTAGATAAACAATAATAATCTTCAACCAACCAATAAATCTTGATGCGAACATAAAAAAACACATCTTGACCGGAAATTAGGGCGAAATTTACTAAATTTTTTGTTTTTTTTTCTCTCCCAACTAAAATTCATTTATGTTTGGAAGAAGACATGGGACACCCAACGTCAACTTAAACAAACAACATCCAAATGGAGGTCTGGATCTTGTGTTGGGCGTCACATCATTTGCCTAAAGTGATATGGTTATGCTAAATTATTGAGGTCTAGCTATAAAGCAGCTTGTTTATAATGTAAACTTAATCTGGATTTTGACTAATTTGCTCTAAACACGCAAATTGTTAGTCAAGTCCCGCTTCCAAAAGCCAACCTTGTAGCCTTCACAAAAGAATCTCTCCTTCTTTATTTCATATTCAATTTTAATTTTAAAAAAATATTTCATATGTCGACATACAGGTGCTAATTCGGCAACAATGACTTTTTACTAGAACTTTGTCAGGAAATGCTAGCAATCTTATCTTTTGCATTTTCTTTCTTTTCAACATAACATGTGTCATTTCCTTTTCTTTAAAATAATATAATTTAATGCACATGACAATCTAGCTTTTATTTTTCAAATTTACCTTTATTAAATATATTAAATAATTAATTAATTACACATAATAAATTAAGTCTCTCTCTATCTTCCTCCTTCCCTCTCAAGTCCCTCCCACTTTAATCATGAACTGCCCTCTTCCCACCCCAAACCATATCCACCACACATCCACCAAATCACTCCACTTGACCACCCTAGCCACACACCCACACACGCACCGCAGCCCACACCCCACACCTCACACCTCACACCCAACTAACCCCACCAACAAACCCATGCCTTATTCTCTGATCCAACTTGTCTCAGCCCTATTGTATCAAGAAAAATTTTTACAGTTGAAACCCAATTTTACTCTTCCAAATAATCTTTGGATGAAAAAAATAATAGTCTTTTTGCCGCGCCACATTCACCCAGTAGTAGTTGATTTAGTATTTGGGTTTGTTATTTTCTTCATTAGGTCATCCCCAGTCATATGGCTAAATGTAGTCAAATGCTAAATATTTAGCCCTCTAAAATATTAATTTTTTAAAGAATAGTGCATGACTAAATTTTTCCATCTCCAACCATGCATGACTATATTTTAGAGCCCTTCATATTTTCTTATTTTGAGAAAAAATGATACATCACTCATATATTTCATAACTATGTATTGTTTAATTTAATTAAACTATGATTTCGAGGCAGTATTTTTTAATAGAGTAATGCTACACTTACCACATTAGTATCCCACATTTCTATACCACATGATGTGGCATGTTCATATCATATGACATATCAATTAAATGAATGAAGTGTATTTTTATAAATAAAATTAGAAAAATAGAAACTAGTATTTTACATGATGTGGTATGTACACATCAGCAGCTACATCATGTGGTATAAAATTGTGGTATAAAAAATGTGGTAAGACTAGTATTATTCTTTTTAATATATATATTTTTAAACAAAATGAATTTAAAATATTTAAAAATGTTTTAAATAAATAAATAAATAATAACTTTTCAATCAATGGTTCTGACCTCCAACGAATTTAAAAAGGTTATTAAAAATAAAAATAAAAACCTAACGGCTAGCTAACATCATCGATGATATCAATACGCCTTTAATATTGGCTATTGGATCTGCAGTTGCTAGAACTAACGGCTAGCTAAACCCTAAACCCTAAAGATTTTTTGAATTTTGAAACAGCCAATGTTAATAGAGGTGTAGAATTTTGGTAAATAGAGATGTTGTTGTGGTGGTGGTTCTTGTGAAAAGGCGCAAAATCGTGGTTGTATGATTTTGCTATATTGAGGCATGGTTATGTATCGTTTGGGGTTGGGGCAGGCTTGGGTGGCTGGGTTGGTGGTTGGTCATAGGGAGGTGGTGTCTAGTTGGGGCTGGGGTTGGGTGGGGTGGGGACTGTTGGTAGGCGTCGAGGTTGGGAGGAGGAATGAAGAAAGATGTTTTATTTTTATTTTAAAATTATTTTTCTTAATTTAATAATTTGTGGACCGAATTGCCCCTTTATAACTAACGGAAGTTTAAAAAGTTTGACAAAAATTAAGATTTGTCCTTGAATAGCTTCAAATTGAAATTATATGGACAAGATTGACTAAATTGAAACGACAGAGACCATAAGATCTCTCTCCCTCACTCAATTCCTTGTATCGTGGAAGACGAGGGAATTTTTTTTACAGCTATACTTGTAATAAATCCGTGTGTGTGTGTGTGTATATATATATACAGAGAGCTTCCATTGAGGGATCCCTCAAATAAGCTTATTTGAGGGACACCCCTTGTAGGCCCTACTCCTAATTGTATTTCACTAATCCAAACCGTCTATTTGGTAGATACTCATTCAAAGATCATCTCTACAAAAAATCACTTGAATCCGATATCATATGACCACTCAATTGAGTTATTGAAATTTTAGTACTATCTTGAAGCACCGAGTTCGTTAATTTTGCAAGACACAATTGGATGTCGAAAAGGTTTCCGATTTGTCTAATTTTTTGTAAGGATGATCTATGAATGAAGACCTAAAAAATAGATGATTTGGATTATTGGGAAAAAAATTGTAGGATACCCTAAAAGATGTCCCTCAAATAAAATTATTTGGAGGATCCGTCAATAGAAGGTGACTATATATATATATATATATATAGCTTGAAAGGGAAGCAGAATCTAATAAGTTTCTGCCTAAAGGCTAAAAGCTCACAAAAGTGGGCTAATCTCACACAAAGAAACGAATATTTTGTAAAATGAAATGTATTCGCACATCCAAGAAATGGAATATATTGACTTATGCAGCGTTGCTGGCCTTTGTTTTAACTTAGGATATGTGCCCAGACAGTTTTTCTAAGTACCTGCTCCATATGCTTCAAGTCTTTTTATGTATTTGTCTTAGAACAAACACTTGATTGGCATCTTCTGACGTTTGATTCTTACGCCCAAATAAACCTTTAAAAAAATATGTCATCTTTTGTTGAAGAATATAAGTCATCAGATATTTGACTAAATAAAATATAACTTCATTCAAAAAATAAAATATAACTTATAATAAATGGTTCCGCGGTCAATATTATCAAGACATTTTGTGATAAAACCTCACACTTATTGAACTTTGTAGATTGTTAAGTTGGAGAGAATATCGACCTCTTATTAAACTTATGGTGTGTTTACTAATCAGGAATTGGAATTCTCATTAGGAATTAAATTCTACATACGGAGGATTCTCTTGTTTACTTCACATCAAGGAATTGAAAAGTAAGTGGGGCTCACACAAAATTAGGAATTGAATTCCAGATTTTGGAGGAATTGAATTCTTGGGTGGGAGGCGGTATTCTAATTCCGAGAGAGCTAACCCATTAAAAATTTATATTTTTTTACCCATTATATCCTCACACAATTTTCAAATTTTCAAATTTGTCATCTACTTTAACCCAACAACGAGGACATTTTAGTAATTAGTACCACTCATACCCCAATTTCATATGATTTAGTAAACAACTTCAATAGAAATCTGGAATCTAAGGGTCCGTCTGGTAACGTTTTCAGAGAATGTTTTCTTAGAATATTTTCAGAGAATGAAAACAAGAGAACGAATTTGCATTATCAGGAAATGAAAATGCTCTTGGTAGATTAATTAGATAACATATTCAGAAAACAAAAACAATGAAAACTTGTCTGGTAGTACAATTTGAAATAATAATATGGGAGTTATTTTTATGAAAACATTTCTCATGAGAATGAAAACAACTTTTTTCTGTTTTCTACAAGTACACATGAACTTGTTCTCATTTTATGAAAACATTCCCAATGTTTTCTATTTATTTAAAAGAAGTTAAAAATTTTTTGTTATGTTGTAAATGGGCTTTGGGTATATTTCTAAAGTTCATTTCATATATGATATTTTTATAATTTGAGCTCTTATATTCAGTATAATAGTAAATCTCCTTTATTTTAATTATTAAAACTGGTCTCGTGTGCGAAGTATCTTACGTAAACACCTTTATAATCTTCTTAACGTGAGGGACATATAGAAAAAAAAAAAGGATATACACCCAGTTGTACTTACAGGTGAGTTTCTCTAATATGCAAGATGGACGCATTCCACATCGCATCATGCTCCGCAACTAAATTAATCAGCCATGACATCTAAGATGTCTTGCGATTCATCATGGCAGATTATTTATTTTTCATGTGTCTGTTTCCTATGATTCTGGTTCCTTGCTCCCTCCTAATCGGAGAAGATTTAATTACGAACTGTCTAATAAGAAAACATGCCCTGCCAAGTACATGATTTATTTATATATTTCTTATGATTCTATTTAAGCCCAAATAAGATTTGAAAAGCCGGGCTTAATTTGGTTGAGGAATGGCTCTTGGCATTTTCAAAGTGGTTTTGGAGAAACAAGATAGGCACTGGGTCTTGTTCCTCCTCACCACATTCATTCCCTTCCCTGCTGACTAATTAATAATTATCATTATCAAATATTAAGATAATAATTCCATAATTGCTAAATAAAACCAGCAACACACAACACAAAGACATGAAGAGAAAAAGAAAAATCAAAGACACGAAGAACAAATTACTTAATTGATTAACTGTACCAACCAACCAGCAAACAAAACAAAAAGCTGAAATTAGAAAAAAGTAATTAAAAGGACAACAAAATTAAGGATACTTGACGACCAAAGGAACAAAGGACAACCTTTGCTACGTCATTAATCCCCAACAAAAATTAATTAAAGAAAAAAAAAACCTTTAGCAGCTTCAGTTCGGTTCAGCCGGCCGGAGTTCCCCACGTCCGGGCCAGGCATGCCCTGATGATCGCAAGTCAGAAGAGAGCCAGCCATCTCCAGATATATTATATATATTATCATTCAAGTCTCCTCCGTGATGTCGTCTGGGGCCTCATTCAAGTCTAGAACTCCATTCTCGTCATCTCCTTCGTCCTTATTATCATCTGGTGCCACCACTGCTTCTGCCTCTGCTGCCTCTTGATCATCATGAGCATCATGATCTGCGGCGTCGTCAACCTCCACAGCCAGCAGCGGCTCTGTAGACTCCAAGGCAACTCTCCAGCCGCTCTGAATCGGATGATCTCCTCCTCCTCCTTTGGTAGTATTCGCAGCAGCTTTCTCAAAATACTTGACAGCCGCCTGCATCCTCCTCACTATAGCAAAAAACTCCTCCACTTCCTCCTCCGTCGCCACGTCAGCAGCACCCTCCTTCTCCTCCTCCTCCTCCTCCTTCTTCTTATTATTATTATTATTATTATTATTCACATGACGCTGCGGGTGCTGCTGCTGCAGCTTCTTAGGCCTCCTCCCTCCGCCTTCATCATCTTTCTCGGTGACCCTTTTTCTTCTCTCCATTAATTACTACTGTACCCACCTAATATTCTATCTTTAAGCCTCAAACCATTATATATTTTCTATCTTTCCTGAAGGCGGTTAAACAAAAGAAAAGATGATTTGCGAGTTTTGGGTTGCTTTCGTTGCCGCAATTTAAAAGAAAGAGTGAAGCAACAGCCTCTCTGTGCGTGTCTCAATATTCTCTCCTTGGTGGTTGTGGTGCTTCTGCTGATCATGATGGCGACTTCTTTATTTCTTGCAGTCCATCCCTTTTTATCAGCCGTTGGATGAGATCCACCCAATGACGTCACTCCACTACGTATGACTGACAACGCCACACATACCATCCCACCCGCGCGTCGGAAACTCTTTCTTTTGCTGTGCTGTATTTTTGTGTGGTGGGGTAGTGGGACATGAGGCGCGTGGGGTTTGGGTATGGGTGGGTGGACGGACAACGCAAGCAACTTTGGTCTCTTCCGCGATGATTCGAGTGGACCAAAAAAGGACGACTCACTCACTGCGCTTGAGGTCAACATTTTTTAATCCTTTTGAAAATCAAATCAAACCAATGGTCTGGCTTTCGATTCGACCAAAATAAAAATATACGGTGTGGCTTCGGAGTATAATAATAGGGTGTACCTCAGTACCTACCACGTGATTGGTTGATGTGACCCACCCAACCACTGTATTACTTTAGATTGATGCATGTTACCTTTACCCTAGTGTGGGCCCATTTAATCTGATTAATGTGGGGGGTGGGGTAGCCAAGTTAACTTAAGTGTGATTTGTTCGTCTAACCAGACCATTCACATCACAATTCAACGGATAAATGAAAACTAATCACAGATTCACAATTAGCAGTTTTATTATCACTAACCTTCTCAACACTTAGACACGTATTCTATAAGTATAACCATAGTTTTTCAAATAAAAAGCAAAACGTTAACTATGGTTATGCCTACAGACACGTGTCAAGTATTGAGAAGGGTAATAAGGGTAAAGACTTTTATGCAAACGGAGATAACACTTTTTGCTATGACCCTAGCGAATAGAACAATGACACAAGTAAAAGTTTTTCATGTGTCAGTGTATTATTGGTTAGGAACATTTGGCAGACCCATAAATTTTTCAACAGAGGTGCAATTTGGAGATGCTAAAAGCTTTTAAAAAAATTGACAACCAAATATCCTTATAATTTAAACAATGCCAATTTCATTTATTTGACGAAAATGAAACTGGCGCGACGATTGATGAAGAAGAAAAAAAAGCGCAGCGTGTTTCATCTTTTTTTTTCTTCTAGATTAACCATGAATTACATTCGAACGTACCTTGGAAGATTGATTGATACAATATTTTCTTCCTTGACACAAGACTTGATTGATGAATCAATTTTTATAAAAGACTTGGAGTTCTCTGCAAAAAGAAAACAACAATAATGGTTTTGATATTGGCCAAGGACTGAATCAAAAAATAATAAAAAACTTATCATTAAAAAGAAAAAAAGGGAAGGAGCCGGACCTAAAATTGCTGAAATTCAAATTTTAAAGCGAAAGCAAGGACTCCATCTCCATTGAAATTCATATTAGGATTTGGGACGGGGCATCTTGCATGATTAAAAGCAAATTGAGATTTGCTGCATATTAGTGATATTACCTTGCACGGCTTCTTCAAATTGGATTGGGAGGCTTCCGTTCCGTGTTGGCAGTTTTCAGGTTTTTTTTTGTTTGGCCCAAGACGTCATTTTGGCTACGACTTTTTTTTTTAAAAAGGCGCTGCGCAGAACCTAACAACGCGACAACACAGCTAACGAAAGAAGAATATTGTTCAGGCATTTGCTAGAGCAATTGGTGGGCACCATAGCAGAGGGGCAACTCTGGTGCCTCAAAATCTTTTTTCGATGAGGGGAGGTGCAACTACACCTCCTTACACCTCTGTGGGTCTGTCACTGATTGAGAATATCAAAACAGTACTATTCTTTTTACAATAAAGTTTTTTTTGGATAATTAAAGTACACATTGAGTTCAAGTATAAAAAATATGTCCTAATGGAATAGGCTTGGTGGGTACTTTTTATTCCTTATGATGACGTCCCAATATAAGCTTTTTTGAAAATTAAGTAATTTTTGGGGTTTAAATCATGACTTTTGCAGAGTAAATTAATCATACTATATTTGTATATATTTATACAAGTGATATTGGGAGAGAGAATTTAAGATATGTTGAAAATAATAGGGTGTAAATAAGATGTAAAGTTACAAATTCATTATGAGTTTGTGATTTAGAATTTGAATGAATTGGGAACAAGAACGAAACATACGGCTCAAAACGAAATTTCTGGTGAAATTGTTGTCACCTTTAGTAGGTAGTGGGGACGGGATGGCTAAATATTAAAGGAAACAATACGGCCAGGCCAACCTGCATATTAAGCGTACAACAGAACAGTACAAATGGAGGTGTTAAGTTTTCAAATTGCGTGGGGCCCAGTAAATATAGCTTCGGTTTGACTGGACTGGAGAGGCCTGCCTGTCTCAAACCATGATAATAGATTGATATGATCCAGGAGGAGAAGCCAATGCAAAAAAGCTTTGTTCATGTGTCGTCGTTGTTGTTGTGACTTTGTGACCACCAGTATTCTCTCCTCTCCTCTGTCTGTTTGCTACATTTTACCCACTTTCAGTCCACCTGCTGCAACTCTACTGTAAATTTGAAAACGCACACGTCTAACTTTACCCTCTTCTTTTTTCCTTTTTGCTTCTGTCTTCTCTCTCTCTCTCTCTCTCTCTCTCTCTCTCTCATACTATTCATGTATACAGAATAAAAACCAAAGAAAGAATATTAAAGCAGCAGATCATTCATTCACGTGTATAGAAGTTTACGAATCTGTGTTTACCGACATACAAGTCACTTATTTATTGCAAAATGATCTTCGACCATCAACTTACTCGAATCGAATGGTATCTCATCTTATGAAGTGAGAGCTCATTGTGTGAGATTGACCTAATTATAATCAATCAATCAACAATACTTGTATAAATCTATGTGTAAAACTCAATTTCAAACTTAAACGACCAGTAGGATATAAGAGATCATAATATTCCTATGTTTTTACATCGTTGCCATCAGACTTCATATTTTATTTATAATTTATTCCAAGCAATTTCATTAACTGTCATAATTGTAATTAAAACTCTCTATTAATAGCATATCAATCACCCCATTTCTTTTGATTGCCATTCCCTTTAACATATCGCCCCCTAAAATTGCAAACCATAAATAAAATATGTAAATTACATATCCAATATGTACATATGAAAAATATAAATATAAATATATACGTATACAAATATAGGTATATTAATTACCAACAAAATTTTAAAAACTAGGTCAGTTACGTTGTAATTGAAATTTTCGTACATTTTTCATAAATTAAAAATAGGTATACAATAATTTATAGAAAATAGGTATGTTGTATAATTGAAATTTATGCACATTTTTTATAATTTAAAAATAGGTACATTATTTAGAAGCAAAAAATAAGTTCATTATACTAGGTAAATTGTTTTATTAGGTATACATTATTAGAGGAAAAAAAAGGTTTATTTAAAAAAAATCATAAAACAAAAAATACATAGATTATCAAATTATTTTTCACAAAACAAGTAATAGATACATTATTTAGAGCAAATATATACAAAGTTTAGCAAAAAATAGGTTCATTATACTAGGTAAATTGTTTTAGTAGGTACATTATTAGAGGAAAAAAAAATAGGTATATTATTTGGAGAGAAAAAATAGGTTCATTTAAAAAAAATTATTTTCATAAAACAAACAATAAAAAGATGATCAAATTATTTTTCATACAACAAGTAATAGTCATTCATCTAGAGAAAAAAGGTACATATTTAGAGAAAAAAATAGATACATTATTCAGAGAAAAAATAGTTCATTAAAAAAAATATTTTTCATAAAACAAACAATAAATAGATGATCAAATTATTTTTCAACATAATTAGAATGTACACTATTATTCATAAAACTATAATAAAATATATTACTAGTCATATAATTCATAAAAGGAAAACAACATAATTTTGTAATTAAATAAACCAAAACGTTAATCACCTATAGATTACTAATACGTTAATGTTGAATTTAATATTTAATTTCAAATAAATTTCTAAATTAATTCCTACATCCATTACAACAATTTGGAGAGCTTTCCAAATTTAACGTGTGTCATTAGTTACACCCTCCATAACACATTAACTTATAAATATGGGTAGTTTTGGTATCTGAAAAATACAATAAATCAAATTTTAAGTTATATTAGGTAACTTACTTAGTTGGATCCTAGTCATCGGGTATTATTTAAAAAAGAGAGAGGGTATTTTCAATAGAAAAATAAAGAGAAGGGTTGTAGGTAATTTAAAATAAATTTTATGGGTCTTAGCTCAATTTTCTATATAATAAAAAAAAAAAGCCAATGTTACATTAAATAGCTAGCATGTACAAATAAATAATAGGGTTTCAAAGTCTTGAATATGATTACTAACTAAATACTTCATAAACAACTTAGTCAAATGGCTTGTTGGACGAAGCGAATTGGCAACACTTGATTTAGAATTGGTCTAGACTCTTTGTGTGTTCTTAAGTGATTTTGAGTTTAAGCCATCATGATACCTGTGTGTGTGACCTTTTCACTATCTCTTTTCTAATGGATGGTGGGTGGCTAGTATCCTAATATATATTCAATTCAAATCAACTCTACCCCCTTAGTCTTTTCCTTTACTTTATCGAAAGTTTGAGTTAGACTAGACTAGTCCTTCATGCTTTCTAAAATGAGAAAACTTAACATCAATCTTAGACCAAGACGTTTTCTATTTCCTCTATTAAAAATACAATATATTTTCGTATTTAACTTGTATACTTAATTGACCATTTCTTTCTATAGTAGAAGATACCGAAACAAATTTGAAGATAGTGCTTGCTTTGCTGGGTAAACCCCAGTTTCTTCTTCTTTTCTTTAATAGTCCTCATAGGATTAATTTTGCTTGGTTTCACCACAAGAGAATTCCTTTTTTCAGTTAGGACCTTTCCTATTGAGAATTCGTACTTTTTTAATTTAACGACATCATGTCTCTTCTAACCCTATGTTAGGTAGGTTCTAATAAAACCTTGAAATTCAAGAAAAACACCCAAGAAGGGCCAGCTGTAATATATATTTTTTTAATTTGAGTTTGAAATGCCTACGTTATGATTTTTAGAAAGAAAAAAAAAACTGATGGCATTGTTGTACTTTTGAAATATTTTGGCCCTGTTTATAAGTTTCCATGTGAAAAGCCCGTATATTTTCTAAAGAGACGCAATCGGGTGGGCCAGTACAAAAACTTGCGAAATAACGCGGAAACTCTTCGGACAGTGAAAGCTGCTTGCCTGCCTGCCTACCTGCCTGGCTATGCTTTCAATTTCAAAACAAACCAAGAGAAAGAGAGTTGGCTGCTTTTTGAATTTTCCTCATTAACTATTTTTACTTGGTATTGTCATTTTCTTCATCAGTACATCTATCTTCATTCAGTATGCATAATGCATGGACCACCTTCCAGCTTCTACGTGATGACAACCCAGATAATATAATTCTGCTGGGCCTGGGTTGGGTTCAGCTTGGGCCACCAATATATCAACAATTCCTGTACTGTTTGTTTGCACAATCACTCGGGCTGCATTTCTAAATCTCAAAATGACTCTCGCCCGCCACTGATGTTTGGGAGTTGGGCCTCCACAAGCTGGGTCAGGGTAAGCTCGTATTTGAATTCTATGGCTTTGTTTGGGTGGTGACCCAACCCTAAACCCAATATGGATAACATACAAGTTACAACAGCCTGCTCTCTCAGAGACATCTTCGGTAGTTGGGACTTGGACGGGATAGCTCAGCTTTTTAACGTTAATTTGATATTAAAAAAAGAAGCCCTGACATAATCAATACTAGCATTAATTTAATGTTGTTCTTCCTTAAAATGTAGACCCTTTCTGTTGTTTGGCAGGACGGTTTCAAAACAGGAATTGGTTATATTTGGTTTTACATGTCATACTAGGAGTCTAGGACACATGAATAATTTTGAGCGTTACAATAAGTTTTTTTAATCAGAAAAAATTACATCGGTAAACTATTCTGCAAAGCAAAATCAAATTGAAATTACTGTTGTGGGGTCCCACTATTGTCTTATTGCAGGAAAAAAGGCTGAATTGTAATCGTAACGCAAAACTGATGCAGCCAAGCTGTTCTCCAATTCGGTCGTCCTGCTGCCCTCTTAAATGGCTATTCGGAGTAAAATACCAATTTAGTCCCTGGAGAAGAAAGAAAAAAGAGGGTGGGGAGTGGGGACTGAGGGGAGAGCAGAGAGACTCAGAAAAAGACTGGGTTTTTCTCGTGTGCGCGTGAGGCCTGAGCCTGAGGGTGAGGAGAGGACACATTCCAGTCTTCTTCAGAGACAATACCAGGAAAGCAGAATCATCACCTTGTGTAAGAATCAAGCTTTCTCATTTGCCTTTTCACTGATTCTATTTATTTGTTTCCCTAGATATTATTTTCCTTTTCTGTATGATTCTTGAGACTTCTTTTGGGAAGTTTTTGTGGCCATTGATTCCTAATCTTCAGCTTGTATTAGATTCTGGGCATATTTTTATTATTTGGGTTTCTGATTTTGTTTTATCATTATTTCAGATTCTCTCCTTTTTGCTAAGTTTCCTGTACCGCCAAGCCAAGATAAGGTCTTCTTGAGGAAACAGGGAGGGTGACACAGAGGATTTATGTCGTCTCGATTTCATCTATTGACTGGAGCTCAGAAGAAGCTCTGGACCTCATATCATTGTCTCTCTTGCACACTCGTTTTGCTCTCCACCTTTTGCATGCAATACTGGTCTCACGGTCACACCCTCAAACAGAGTTCACCTCTCTTTTCCATGCCATTAAGATCAAAAAGGTATGTGGGTTTTATTTATTACTGTTTTGAGTGTAATATTATGTGCTATCTTTTTACCTATCGTATCCAATATCTGAACGAACATTGATAGTGTGCTTGTGGAATGTCATAACATGGGTTTTGATGGGTTTAAATTCTTAAATTTGTTGTCAATCTTTTTTTGATCTTTTGTTTTCTTTTACACTTGGTGCAGGAGTTGTTCTGGATTAGAGTGCTTTGGTGATTATTTCAGAAAACAATTTTCCATTTCAATTTTAGGACTCAGGTGTTTTAGGGTTTTGGGTTTTTCTTGAGACTGAGTTTTGAAAAAGCTTTTGTTTTGTTTTTTTCTTCTTCTTAGTTTTCCTTTTGCATTGCCTTTGGGCTTTAGGGGTTTTGACTTGAAAAAAATGCCGGGCTTTAAAACTCTAGTCTTGAATCAACATGTGAAGTTGAGCAAATTGAAGACAAAGCAACCAAACAAAGAAGAGAATACAAGTTCCGTGAAGAGAATTCGGATCATATACAATGATCCCGATGCCACCGATTCTTCAAGTGATGATGAGGAATACGATGGTAAGGAGGACCGACTTCTGCATGACAAGCGCTTTGTTTCCGAGATTTTGGTTGTAGATACAAAATATGAACCATCTGCAGATGTTTTATCCCATTGCAAGACCAACGGAGGGAAAATTGGTCTTAGTATGAACTTTTATGACTGTAAGAAAACTAAAAGATCTTCTTCCATGTATAAGGGAGTTCGTCGCAGAAAATGGGGAAAATATGCGGCTGAGATTCGAGATCCAATTCAACGGTGTCGAACATGGCTTGGAACTTTTGCTACTGCAGAGGAGGCTGCCGCTGCGTATCAGAAAAAGAAGCTCGAATTTGATAGCATACAATCACTGGGAAAGACTCAGAGGGACTATCAAAACTTGCAGTTATCAGATAAGGATAAGGGTGCTTTTGAGAGTTTTCAATTAACCGAGAGGACCAAGCATGAGTTTCAAGGCATTCCTTTATCAGAGGAGAGTCAGGATTCATTGGGTGATGCTGATATTGAAACTTTCTCGGCAGAAGAAACCAAACGTGTGTTTTGTCATCCGTCACCATCATCCGTGCTTGAAATATCTGGTACAGCTTCACTCGGTATTGGACTCAAACAGGTGAAAGAAGAATCTAGCGTGGAAGTTTTTGGGGGAGAAGGCAGCGTGCAACCATTTTTTGAAGAAGATCTATCCATTTTAAAGTTTCCTAAAGAGCCAATGTTGCCATTAGATATCGAACAGTTGGATTTGGGATGTGGTGAAAGTTACGTGTTTTCCAGTTTGGATCAGTTCTTTGATGGTATGAGTGATATAGCCGATACTGGTTTGAGTGACGTAGTTGATTATCCTGCGTTCAATGATGGAAATGGTAAGGCTATCTGTCTTCCCACTCTCGACTCTGATTTTGGTCAGCAGGATTTTGCTTGGATTGATCAAAACCTGAACATGGCATGCCCATGAAGTTTTGTAGTTAGGAATTACCAGTAGTTATATGTCTAGGACATGCTCACAATAAAAAGCTCAGGAAATGTTTGAGCAGTCTTGAGGCTTTTTGTAACGAGAGAGTTCTTGGGTTTTCATTGTGCTTTTTGCGGCCGTCCAAGATTTTGCAACTCTCAGACTGGTATGTGTTATAAGTTATTATGTATTGGACCTTGTTTATGTCGCCAGTTGATACAGTAGAAGTGCCTTTCTGCTCTATTGAGAATCTGAGCTTTCAGAAGAGAAAGTCTTTGGAGTTAAATTTTGTTCTCATCCTTATTTTTTTAGTATATGCTATACTTTAGGAAGAGCTTGGAAGGTGGCATCTTACATTATTTCTGTCCCTTTCTATCTGTTCTCTTCCTTGGTCATTTTTCTTATGATTTACTAAATTTTGAATTCAGCCACAATGGTAATGGTTGCCTCTGAAACATGTGGATGTTGTTAGGTAAAGCAGTTTATATAGATAGGCCCTTAGGGCAAATAAATTATTAGATCGAGTTCATAGGAGGATAATCGATTTAGCAGTCAATAGAATCTCCTTTCTTGCTTCGTTTCATGAACAAAAAGATGCACTGCTAAATTTGATAAGAAAAGAGACAACACTGACATGGCAGCCAAGAATTCAAACGGTGACTTTTCTTAAAGCACGCAATGGGTGGACTTGATATCTAGAAGGTGGGTTGAACTTGAAACATACACTTTTTTCATAATCACGTTTGTTTTTCAATTCAACAATTACTTAAATAGCAATTTACCTAATTTGATAAATTAATTTGTCAGCATTATGAATATGGATGGCTAGCTAGGACCCCACGGAACCACTTTAAAGTGGGGCCGGCACATCATGGTTCGCTAAGGATGTGGATTCGAAAGGGGTCTATCAAGAAGGCCACTTCAATTAGCCGCCTTGCCTTGCCATATGGTCAGCCTTAAATGACACGCGTCCTCAGGCTCAAGTCAAGCCACTGTTTTTGTTTCTTCCTATGAGATGATTCTTGTATCTCCTTTTATTCCTTCACTGTCTTTGGGTTCAGAGTTCACGGGTCGTGTTGAGGAAATTATTGAATTTAAACATTTTAATCGAACGGATGACTATTAAGAACCCCTCCCCTTGTCACGAAACATCAAGCAGGTAATGACTTTTCCTTCATCCCATTGTGGCCTCTACCCTTGTCTTACATCGTATATTTTTCCAAGTTTCCAACCAGTGTGATACTGAGAGGATGGAAAATTGTAATCTGAAACCTCTCTCTCTCTCTCTCTCATAGACTTTTCTCCTTTGAAACTGATTGGGCTTTTTTATTAAAGTTGGTGGGTGCAAGATTATCAGTTTTATCACGTATCTCAACTCAATAAATCAGGGTTATTCCAATTTACAAGTCAGCACACGACGGAAATGCCCATGATTTACACTTTGAGCAATCATCACATTAGTATTTGGGTCCCCAATAAAACTTGGAGCACCCTAAATGGCCAAAAGGCCCCATACATATTCAATTCCTCAACAAATACAGCCATCCATGAAAATCCCAAGATAGCCGGATTAGAATTAATAATGGTAGGGGGGAGCTTAAGGCCACCTCCTCTCCTCTGGTCTGGTCTGGTCTGGTCTGGTCTGGTCTGGTCCATCCATGGCTTGAATTTAGAAATGGTAGGAGTCAGGTCCTACTGCTATCATTTACGAAAAGCCAGTTCACATACAAGAGCAAGATGATCGCTACCCCATTTCTGCAAACCAAAATTTCAGTCTTGAGATAGAAATAAACAAAGAATGGAATCTTGAGAATAAACCACTCTACAACATTGACGAGCTCATACTATATAAGCATATAATTTCAGAAAACGCAGGGCAAATACTTCCACTTTTCTTGGGATTAGTTCAAGAAAGAATTTTACCAACACCTTACCACCTTATCACACTTCAAGTTTTTAGGCCAATTTTCTGGGAGTAATTCACTTTTTATCCCTTCAATTTGTTCACTTTTCTACTGTCTTTAACAAAGTGAAGAAGTTCACGATACTATAACTCAAGAACTATAACACAGTTCAGAATAATCTACCCATTTTCATCCAAACCATATACTAATTTCAGCATTAAGTTTAATTCTCCTATAATTTACAGGCTGTATTACTGATAAAGCAAAAGTAATTGGAGATAGAAAGTACTTTGCTAGGTAGTCCTCCATTTCTTCTTAAAATGTTTACTGGTAAGGTTTCAAGAACTCTGACAGGAACAAGTTCCTCTGTATGCCTGTCACACAATGATATCAGCAACCAAAATTATTTAAGTGCAAACAGTGAAGCTGTGCCTTTTACGGACCAATGGAATACTAAATAAGCCACCAACCAAAAAGAAAAAAAGACATACCAAATATAATCAACAGTTCCCATGAACTTGGAGTGGTACGATGTTGCCAAGGGTTCTCCACACCCATCTCTGGTTCTACAACTACCCTGCAGAAGGGCCAAAAAAAAACATATATTTGTATTAATAATTAATAAAAAGGTTGGTAAATTTCTAATAAAAGTAAAACAACTCCCACTCTAAGTTGTACATTTTCTGGATCCTCCAAAGGGACAATTACATGTGTCATGCCTAATTGACCATGATATCCGTGTTGGCTGAGGGGACTCTCATATCTGACTACATCTGTCTGCGGTATCAGATATGAGACCTACGGCACACTATCCATATCAAGTGCTTGGAAATATTGTTTAAAGAAGTTGATTGGAACTTCGTAAATATGAGTTGGAAAATTGAAGAGAAGAGTGAAGACTTACAGGTACTCCAAGATATGCACTGCAAAGCTTTAAATGGTGCTGAAGACGAGTGGCTCCTTCAATGCCTGTTGCAAGCCTTACTTCTTCCTCATTCCATATATATTGCAAAGGCCTTGAAATATATTTCCTAACACTGCATCTCCAATACAGAATGCAGTTAAGATTTTTCTTTTCCCTTCTAAAATCAGATTTCTCACTGCAGTGTATACTATATATATATATATAGAGAGAGAGAGAGAGAGAGAGAGAGAGAGCGAGAGAGTTCTTATATAACATTTTTCAAAAGTACCTGCTTGCTTTCTCATTCTGAGATCTGAAGGATCTGTTCTCTGATCCAGAGTCAACCTGTCCGGAAATATGTCTGCGGTTATGTAGTTGGATGTCCAACTGCAACAAAATACAGCAAGAACTGCATAATCTATAATGAAACACAGCAGAAATAAAAGAAAGGGGGCCAGGAGAAGCTAAAATGGACTCACCTCAGATGAAGCCAGGAACTGGTACATAGGACTCTGACCATTTGACAAAAGGAGAAATCAGGTATAAAGGGACAATGAGAAAAATAGTACACGGATCATGTGAAACAAATCTGCTCAATATATAATATCATCATAGCAAGAACTCACCTGTGGGATACTATTTAGATCTCCGGAAATTATAACAGGGATACTGCCCCACTCTTGTGATAGCTCATGAGCTTTTTCAAGAAACAGACGGACCTACGCCATTGTTTATTACAAGTTATGTCAATGCATAACCACAGTGACAACAATGAACACAAAGCTCTAACAGAGAGCAATATTTGACAAGTTTTCATTGATAGCGATTGATGACATGCTGCAAGAATCTCACACATTTCTGAAAAATCACAGTAGAGAATACCTGCCCTAGCTTGATGTCTCCACGGTTTGGATTGAATAGTACATGCGTATTGCCAATCACTACACTTCTGTTTTGGGTGCATGGACTCCTGTATGTATGTACATCAGTGAGTGAATTGACCTACCATTATCTGAAGTTAAATCACATTCTACACAAATGATATGCAAACACAATAAACTAGAACTTACACTGAGGTTTGGGGAGTTATCTCCGACTCTAATTGACTTTGTTTACTCTGCGTATACTGAAAACAAGAAACATTAAGGTATAAACTGTTTATGTGTAGCTAACCAACAAGAGTTTAAATTGGAAAAAAAACGCCTTCCACATCAAAGAAACACAAATAAAACAGAAGGGGTTCCTCAACAGCAGCAGCGGCTAATATTTTAACCAGGGATGTCACCATAAGTCACATATGTTAAAATATCACACCATAAGTCACATACTTCAACACAATGTGCTACAATGTGCTACATGAAAGCATGACACAGAAGTGAATCAATATGCCACGCATCAATGTGCATTTCAACTTATGGGTTAGCACCTCCTAGAAGAAAGGGAAAGTATGTCATATTGCACTAAATACTGCTCCACTTACCTTTAAAACACAAAGTTGGGCAACATTGTTTCGAAGGCCAAAACTTTGGAACTCTATATTTTCTTGATGCAAAAGGCTAAACCTGCGTTCAGAATTTGATTTGGCTAAAAGCTGAATATAGAAGGTAAATAAATTGATCATACATAAGAGTGATACTAATTGTGAGAACATGCTCAACCCCATATCTGAATATAATAACAGTATGCATTTAATATATGAAAATTAGATCGAGTACCTAATCCATTTGCAGTTAACCTCAAGAAACTATAAACAACTAATATGTTTCTATAATGGAATATCAAAGGAAAACCTATCTAACCATTTATAAAGAAGTAAAGGAAAATTTACTATTAATATGAAAAAAGATTGGGTAGGATCTACTCCGTCATTCAAACTTAGAAATCAAAGTAATTTTCACTTTGAAAAGGGCAATTACATTTCTTTTTTCCAAAATATAGCGCATCCATCACTTGCTTCACCTGTGCGTGCCTGGGATATGTTGTTATCAGTAATATATGTCGATAAGAAGGTACTTGATAAGTGATTACACAGTTAGAATTTAGAAATGAGCATTTAAAGCCACCTTGTAAACACCTTCGAACCCATCTTTCTGGAAAAGATGAGCTAAATCATCAAAACGATCAACCTCCTACAGCCACACGAGTGAATAATAAGAAAGAAATACCATTCTAGACCGTTTGCAATTGGGGTTAAGTAAAAAGTAAGTCAATTTCACACTCTACTCATACACATATCATATTATCTACAAGCCTGATGGTTTGAAATTCACCTGTAAACACATAATGCTAGCATTATAACGATTGATCTCCTTCCGTATAAGCTTCTTGCGGCGGCCCCATTCCAAGAATCTGGGTGGGACTTTATAGTACAAATCTGGGTGCTTGGATGCATTTTCAACACCCAGAATGTTATAAGAAACAACCACAAAATTATCTGCAGAACGAAAAAGATACAAATTTAGCAGATGATCATCACGGAACTAAGCTTAAAGACGTCAGGAACATTCCATGGCCTAAAACTCAAGAGCCTCGTTTGCCTGAGCATACTAAATAGCTAATTGCAGTCTTTCACATAGCAAACACACAATCCTAAGAAAAAGTCTGTGCTTGAAGAAATTCATCGAAGTTCAAATTGGACAGTTGAACGCTGCTAAACACAGTAATTGATAGTTTGATATTTCACCTTTATAGGTAGAAGTAGAAGAGTTGCAGGGAGAGAAAGCCCACTGCCGGGAGCTCTCTCTCTCATCTCGACTCTGTTGCGGCTTCCTATGCCTCCGAGATAAGGGAGAAAGGGCTTGGAACCTAGTTGACAACGACGGGCCGGGTTCTCGGGTTAGGGTTTCTGTTTCGAACTCAACTCTTCCGCGCCTAATTTTGCGAGGCTGCTGTTCTACTTCTGTGTTTACTGAATATCGTTTACGTTTCGAAGGCCGCACATCGCCGTTTCCCTCCATTCTGCTCAACTGTTTCATTAGCGGTGGCGCGTGATTGGATCGCGCTCAATATCCGTACGCGCTGCCTTGGCGGAGAATGGCGGTTGCTCCGAGCATCGTTAACGGCGTCATGAGGACAGGGATGAATTAGAGACGGTCCAATGAAGTTATAAGCTTCTTAGCCCGTACACATATAATATGGCCCAACCCAATAAAATGTTCAAGATCTCAGCCCAATTATTATTATTATTATTTTCAAAAAGAAAGAATATGTGCCCAATCTTTTGCAATATTGGGGGTGGAAAGAGTCGTACGCATGAACTCGGGTCGGGTGTGAGGGTATACTCACTGAGTACCAATACCAATGGGCAATAAAGAATTCAATTCAAGTTTCAACGGCTATGGAAGAATTGAATATTGCTTAGCTACTCATGGAAACACCCAAGGGCCAAAGACTGGCCGGTCTGATGTGACAATGTCCACGGCCTATACTATCCTATAGCATAGCAATACATAAATGTGTACATTTATAGCTAAAGAAATTTAGAATCAAAATGGTTCCCACACCACACCAACCCATCTAAGTCTCATAAATTATGATGTATACCATACACCCAACAACTTCAGTCCAAATTAAACCATTAGAAAAACAAAAATTTGGACAAAAGATCCGTTGGAAAAACAAAAATTTGGACAAAAGATAGGATCTTTGGTAATGTTTTCAAAACCCACAAGTAAAAGCTAGCAACTTTGCAATTTACAAGATGATGAGATCAAACCAGCTTGAGCGACTTCTTGTTTTCATCTTCATTCTTTCCCCAACACTGCTAGTACTAGTAACACATGCCAAGTCCACAATAGAAGCATGCTCCTCTTCAGACTCCTGCACCTCTCTTCTCTCCTACATTGTCCCTTGGGACTCAAAATTCTCTGAGATTGCTTACCGCTTCCAAGTCAATGTCTTTGATGTCTTGGCTGCAAACTCCATTAACTTGACCATTCCATCACCAGGCAACCAAATTCTGCAGGCAAAATCTCTGCTCAAAATTCCCAATTCGTGTGCTTGCGTGGATGGGATCAGACGGTCTATAATAGCCTACACTGTGAAGGCAGCTGACAGCTTGGATCTGATATCAGAAGGGTATGGGGGGCTTGTTAGTGCAGAACAAATTAGGACCATGAATAGGATTGGTTCCGAGAATCCATTGACGAGCGGGCAGAGCATTATGATACAGTTGCCATGTACGTGCTTTAACAATACTAACAATGGGGTTGCCTCTGTGTACATGTCATATGTGGTGCAGAGTGGGGAGAGCTTGAGCAGCATTGGACGGGAATTTGACGCAACTTTGAAGCAGTTGGTGAGCATCAATGGCCTCGATCAACCGCGGGTCGATCCCGGAGACATATTGGCTATTCCATTTTCAGGTTAATTAGTATGGCTTTTTGGTTGTTAAGATTTATGTAGCAGAAAGGTAGGTTGTTGTTTGTAACATGCCACATAATTATCTACTTACTGGTCAACATGTTATCAACTGCATGTGTTTGGTAAAATAAGTGTGGAATTTTAGTACAAATATGAAGTAAATTCATTTTAATTAATTTTAGTCTCAGCGTTTGTGCAGCATGTTCATCAGCAAATCTGCACTGGTACAATGAGAGCTTAATAGTTCCAAATGGTTCAACCGCCTTAACTGCCAACAACTGCATAACGTGCTTTTGCAGACCAAGCAGTCTCAAGTAAGCAAGCAAGCAAAAAAGTGCTTTTAGATTTTAGTGCTGCAATTACCATGTTTTCATGTTTGCAAACTTTACATATATAAACCTGAGAAGATACTGAATGAAATGATCAGGTTGCATTGTTCTCCATCTGGCATCGTCGCCTCATGCTCTCATCTGCAGTGCAAAGAATCTGATCTTTTCATTGGCGATGTGTCTATCCAACAAAATGCTATTGGTTGTAATGTCAGCACATGTCTGTATCGAGGCCACAATGGCCGCAAGATTTTCAGGAGGTAGATAGTAAGACACAGGATTTTTATCCACAAATTCATGGAGTAAATTTCTAAATTTCTATTCAGAAAGAATCACAAAATGCTTTTATATACTTTTCATTGCAGTTTGAAAAATTCTACTCATGCCAACTGCTCAGGTAATAATCCCCTTACTCCGGTAGCTACCAATGTATGTATTTAGAATTCTAACTTATTCAGTGACGAAAAAAAACAAGACTCCTCCTTTCTTTCTTTACTTCATTTTGTTTTTGTTTTCGTGCAGCAGATGGAGAAGATTACAGCGCAGGCCAATCTCCAAATCCTATAGTTCCATGTATATCACTATCTCCATCACCGTTGCCATCTTCTCATCCACCAATGGGAGCAAGTGCTTATGGTCCTACCAGCACACACAACCCAAACATTCCTAATTACAGCACATTGCTTACTCATGCTCCATCCTACAGTTTGTTGGTTGTTCTCTTTTTCTTCTTGTAATCAAAATAATGCCAATTCTTGTAAAGGCTCACAGCCACGAAATCTCAAAATCTTTTAATTCATATTTTGCATTTAGAGGCTCAACCACGGCAATGATGCAGACAGAATGTCACAACCAGCAATGTATGTATATATGTTTGGCAAAGTCTAAATGATTCCAGCAATCCATTAGAGAGAGAGAGAGAGAGAGAGAGTACACAAATCTCCACCATGTATGTATATATGTGGAGTTCCGTTACTGGTTATTTTATGGCCCCAAGCCAAAAATCAAACGTGGCACCTATCTCTGCTTGGCTTCAGTTGCACTAGATGTTCACATGAGGGGAATGCTAGCAGTCTCAAAATCATAACCCAAAATTTTGATTTATGCGCCGTCCCTCTTAGAGCATACACATGTCAAAACCTAACTTGATCTTACCATTCCATCATCAGTTTGCTAGCTAGATAGATTTCAAGCTATCATCTTCAAATTGACACTAACATTGTACTATATATTCTTGTTATTCTTCAACATCATATAAGTCACAGTCCAGTCCATTCCATACATATATGTATGGATGATAAATTTGCAGGTACAGTTTGTTTACTATGTGTCAAACCCATCATTCATCTTCCTCATTAGAATACCATCTTTTATAATAAAGAGTACTCTCTGTGAAAAACCAGCATTCTAATATTGGCCTGACCCCAAGCACAAGCTTATCTTGATTGGCAAGTTTTCAGCCGAATGTCGGCTTAACTTCTAATCTGTTTGTTTACCAAGTCATCACCCACAAAGACACAAGTTTAGCCAAGTATGTGAAAATGTACTATAGTCCTTTCTATTTTTGGATCAGCAAAGTCAAACAAGTTGGTGCTAACGGCGATTGTGGGCAGTGACATATAAGCAGATAAGGCAATGATGAAATGAAATCAGTGGGTGTGAATCAATTACCATTAAAAAGCTGGATGATTGGGCTCTAATTATGTTTTTTATATTACAATTTTTTTTTTCTAACTGAGACTCAGATTCGCTTACAAGTTACAACAGAAGTAACGACCTGCACAGTGACAGTAGAATTGAGAGGTGGAGGAGAGTGGTTTTAGGTGAGAGTGAGAGATGGGGACCACAACAAGAGAGTTGAGAGTTGAAAGCAACCATAGGGAGGGAGGGGACCAAAAACAAGAGTTTTTAAAGGGTCGAATTCTTCTAATATGAATTATTGAATTCTAGAAACTAAGCAACAAAAGGGTCTTACTCAATTTTTTACACTCTCTTACCTCCACAACACAGAACACACAAGAGGCCCAGTTGTGGCCTTGCCCTACTTTTCTCTCCAGTTGGGTCCACCTGGATCCTTCCATTACCGTTTAACCAATCAGACTTGAGAGAATAAGATCAACTTCAGAAGTTTAGCCAATCAGGAGTGAGATATGACCTCCTTATGGGTCCCAAAGAAGCATAGCAGCATCCTCTTCCTCTGTAGCAAACCACCAAAACAATTGCATGGGCTACTGGTGAAAGACTAAAAGCGCTGCAGTGGGTCTTCTCCTCATTATCTCTCACCCTCTCTCCCCGTCCCCACACACATTAATAATTGAACCATTTGGGCCCCTAAATAAATAAGGGATTCCACCTCAATATTCCTTAGTGAGTTGTGACTTGTGAGGCAGGTCACTTGCATTCTTTTCTTGGCTTTGAAACACAAAACACTTCTCTCTAATTTTATCAAACACTTTTGCAGCTGCAAATTAATTATGATCACAGAAAAGAAAGCAAATGCCATGGGAGGTAACACAGCTAGAGCTTGTGATAGCTGTCTGATTAAACGGGCTCGATGGTTTTGTGCTGCTGATGATGCTTTTCTTTGCCAAAGATGTGACGGCTCAGTGCACTCAGCAAACCAGTTAGCAAGCAGACATGAGAGGGTTAAGCTCCAAGCTGCATCTTCCAAACCCAATCAGTCGACTCTACTGGCCGCGGACCAATCTCCACCGGCTTGGCACAAGGGGTTCACACGCAAGGCACGAACTCCACGCCACAATAATAAGCCTCCATTCATGGCCAAAGATGATAAAGAGAAAGTAAGTTTAAACCCTCCTCTTCCTTTTGTGCCGGAGATTGGATGCGAAGAAGCTAATTACATGGATGATGATGAGGAGAATGAAGATCTAGAGCAGCTTCTGTATAGGGTCCCAATCTATGACCCTTTTGCAGCTGAGCTTTGCAACATGTCAAGTCATGAAGTTGGGAATAGCACCAGTGCCATTAATCTTGATGATGAGGTAACTGAGATGGGAAGGGGAAACCATCATGAAGTTGGTGATGATGAGGAGGAGAACAATAATAATAATTATGGAGGAAATGAGTTGGATAATTTGCCAGGCTTTCTACCATCAGATATGGAGCTCGCTGAGTTTGCTGCAGATGTTGAGAACCTGATTGGTGGAGGACTTGATGATGAAGATTCTGGTGACATCAAAGGAGTATTGGGACTATTAGATGATAGCAAATTAGAAGGAGATGGGGGTGTGGATGTTTGCATGAAGAATGTTGACATAAATGAAGACAGGAAAGCAGTGAAGGTTGAAGAGGAAGCTGAAGGAATGGAATTCAATCCATCAATGCTGGATTGGAACTCGGATTATGAACTTAGATTATCATCATCACCATTGCCAATGGGTGGTGAGGAGGAGGAGAAGGTGGTCTTCCTCATGGGAGCTCAGAGTAGTGATGAGGTGGCACTAATGGATAACAAGCAGATGATGATGAAGAGGAAGATATGTTTGAGGCTTGATTACGAGGCAATCATCACTGCCTGGGCAAACCAAGGCTCTCCATGGACGACTGGAACTCGACCGGAGCTTAACCCAGACGATGGCTGGCTAGACTGCATGGTAAAAAAATACTACTTTTTTCTTCTCTCTCTCTCTCTCTCTCTCCCTCTCTCTCTGCATTTTCTGGTCCTACTCTAGATATACTATATTACAAAACAAAACATACTGATTTGAATTACTCAGGTGTGTACTCTTTGTTGTGCATGTGATTGCTGTAACAATAGGGAAATTTGAAAATCATGTGCATTAATGAGTGTGGTCTAGAAGTAGACTATGTACATATAAATATTGAAGAAGAAACACAAAACACAATGCAATGAAGCTCACACATTGATAATGTGTACATAAAAGTAAAAACTAATTAACTATAACTGTGGGGACATATATATTATTGCAGGGTATGTGGGGGAGTGATCAAATTCATCAGTCACATGGACATGGAGAGAGTGCAGGATGTGTAGGTGGAAGAGGCGATGACCGAGGAAGAGAAGCAAGGGTTTCAAGGTACAGAGAGAAGCGAAGGACACGATTGTTTTCAAAGAAAATAAGATACGAAGTAAGGAAGCTGAACGCAGAGAAGAGGCCTAGGATGAAAGGTCGATTTGTTAAGAGGACAAGCGGCTCCAACTTTGTGGGGAGTAGTTCTAGTAATAGTAGTAAGACTGCAGCAGCTGCATTTCCCTACCTCATCCATCAATAGCAGCAGCAGCAGCATATAATAATTATAAATTTTCATGAGCTAGCACCCAATTTTGCTTGTCATGTTTAATTAATTTCATGGCAAAATTGGAGAAGGACTAACATTTGATGTATGCAATGGGAGGGAGGCCTGCATTTACACAATAAATGAAGTAAGTTGTAAGTTGGTAGCTTACACTCTAAGTAACACATCCATTGGAATTTCCAAGCTTCACTGAACAAAGTCAGAAGCTCCTTCCCATATACTTGGAATTAAAAACCATGTATTAATTTGCTTGAATTATTTTATTTTATATATATGAAGAGCATAACTTAATCTTCTTTTGTTTTCATATCATTAAGATCAGCCCCAAATTAATTTAATTAATAAGGTGGTCCATGCACTGTTGATTAATAAGTCAATTTCGTGGGTAAGTTATGTCCAAAAAAGCTATTCTCTACAGAGCCACACATTGTGACAAGGCATGTCCGCCTGGAGCCTCAAATCCCATTATACAGAAAAAGAAAGAAGAAAAAAAATCTAGTTGCGAGTTGTCATCTTCAGTTTTACTATTTTGAATTTGAGTCGGCCAACATTTTCTGGTTTTATATCATAGACATCATATATAAGTCACAAGACTTGTTATTTCCACTGCAAATTTCATCCTCTTGTTGGTAAACTCGATCTAATTGTTATGCTAATTATAGTTAGGACTCGGAGTAATGAGATTAATGAGGTCTTCTTCCTTAGCGAAACAACAACGTTGAATCGTTGATAAATGATCAAAGGTTACTCTTTTAAAAAAAATACAAACAATACTCTAAACTACAAGAGGATTAGGGATTTCTTGCACATACTACGAGGGTGCCATCATGAAATAAAGTTTTAAATTTGAGACCACTAGTTTATAAATTAATATATTTTCGACTGTGATAGATCTGAAGGTGACTTATTAATAGTGTTGTTGTGCAAAATATCAAATCATTTTTTAATATTTTCTTCTAAGCCAGAAAAGTCCATTTGTGGCAAGACATATATGAATCACTCTCTCCTGTTGAAAAAGAGAGAACGTGGTTGTGTTGTGTCTTTCATGAGCGAGAGAGAAAGTGAGGTTACACGTGGGCTACGACTAGCAAGCAAAATATCTATAGCCCCATGATATTTGTATTATTTTTTGGTCAAAATCAATGAGCTTGGAGATGGGCTAGCAACCATGGATGACCAATTGAGCTTGGGCTACAGACACATTTGCCCAGGTTAGGGTAGGCCTAAGTGAAAGCCCAATTGAAACATCTTAAGCAAAAAAAGTACATGGGTCAAGCCCAATTTGCACAAAGAATTTTGCATACGTGGGATGTGGTTCTAAATATAAATACTATTTAATTCATTTTTTTTTTCGGGTCAGTTATTTAATTGGTTGAGAACTTATCAGAATTTAATATTAAAATTAATTAAGTTTGATGACATAGGTTGGCTTGTTGGAGTCACTAGCACAAATAAATTAATGTAGAATTGATCAATAATTTGCATTATGTCTTCTTCTTAGACGTCTTCCTTTGAAATTTTATATTTCAATGAAAACCTTAATTTGGCATCAACAAGTATATATGAAAGTTTATGTATTCAACTTTTTGTATGTGTAGGATGTAGACTTGTAAAAAAGAAAAAAAGACTTTTGGATTCTGCTCTCATTTTCTTTTTAAAAAATGAAAATTCAGCATGTCACATTCCATTCGAAAATACAACTGAGAGAGAGAGAATCGGAATCCGAGCATTTGGGAGCAGGACAAACACTAAATCACATACATGGAGATGCATGGAGCCATGATCTCATGATGCATGATTCTCTTTAACTAAACCCTAGCTAGCATGACCAAGAAGGCTACATTAATCCCTGCCAATATTAATGCAATTACTAAGAATCATGCATGAAGAGATGTGGCATATTTCTTATCTGCATATATCTTCAATTGATACCTACTACCTAGGTCATGAATCATGATTAGAATCAGGTAAACTTGGGGTTTCAGCATCTTATCTTGAACGTCCATTTTTTTTTTCCAGTATCTTGAACGTCCATTAGCAGTAGTGAAAGTTGAAAAGAAATCCAACGGTTGGGGGTTACAATGGATTGGATTGGATGTGCCTATAACTGTTCAATACATAGGATAGGATAGGATAGTACTGTGTTTTGGTTCATAGGTTGTCTTTTGCTTTTGCTTTGAACAGACATGAGTAATGAGGGAAGACCATTACCTCTTGGGTATGTTTGCGATCTCTGTCGTGAATCGTGATGGGAATATTGCAGTACGTAATGTTAAATCTCATCCATCCAAAGATTTCATACAAACTCAAGAAAGCTACGTTCCTTCCACCAAAGAGAAACTAAAAGTAAAACCAATCTAGCTATATTCAATTTCGTATGTTTATATATATATATTCCAATTCAAAGAGCAACGAGGTGGCGTGCGTAAGCAGTGTCCTTGCTCTTACTCTTACATCAATTGATCGAACAGGACAAACCCATCACTCCTCCATAGATAACAGGTTATATATCAGAATTGAGAATATTCCCATGATTCATAATCTCTCACTCTCACCTACCTATGCCTATATGTTATAGGTGTATAGGCAGTTAATATATAGAATAGGAGGAGGCAAAGCAAGAAGGGAAAGGAAGGAGCATTAATTTGCTATAGTATAAAGAGCCTAGCTTGCTGCTTGCTAGCATTCAGAGAGAGAGAGAGAGAGAGAGCAATGGCCATGGGGAGCTCCTTTTGGTCCAATACAGAGGGCTGAGGTGTGGCTAGAGCTGTCATCTCATGCATTCGGCTACCCCTTAATATTTCTAATTAACCCTCCTGCTGCTGTGCCTGTGTTGCTCAATTATTCTTATGAAAATGTTAAGGTTTAGCCCGGTGCATGGTGTGGGAGCAACTCCTTCCGCTCGCTTAGCCCACCCATTGGACTGAAGGGAGCTCCCGCCCGCCGCTTTCATCACATCACATTTGCATATCTGGTTTTCGTTAATTTCTTTCTTACTACTTTTAATTTATTTCTGATTGTCATATTCTTCCATCCATTCTCATCCTTGTTACTCTTATGCATGCAGTCCTATATACTTTGAAATAAGGTTTGATTGGCTTGACACACGGGAAAGACGAAGAAATAAGAGTTGATGAAGCTCCAAGCTTTGGGGGAAGAAGCATCTATTGGATGCATGCATGGTGTCCGTGATGTTTAATCCATTCTCACTCTCAAGTCATCTTGAGAAATTGACACTACTTTTCTGGTTTGTCTTCTCCGATCACCATGTTAACCCATTCTCGCTCTCAAGTTAGCAACGTCGGCTTACAGTGCGCCTTGCAGAAAGCAACCACCATCGAGAGGGAAAGGGACTCCCAAGCCCACGTTGTACCTCCATTGTTCTGTTTTCACTCTCTCCCCGTTAATGGAAGGCGACGGATAGCAAACTATTGCAACCAAAGCACAGCAGAACTTGTAAATATCATAAGTAATTGTACATTGTTTCCGATGTTGTGCATCTTAAACAAGCTAACTTTGGAACTTCTACAAACCACATTGGAAACAGTCTTTGAATATGCCAAAGCCTTCTCGATTAGGCCTGAATTTATTTATTTTTACCAGGTGTATATCCATTAATCTTACATTAGGCGCTCGCAGATTTCATCTCTAATAAGCAGATCAGATCGGGTCCTGGGAAAATAGAGATTGAAGAGAGAAGAAAAAAATAGCCAGTACCCATAGAAGTATGCTACAATAACTAAAGCTCCATTCACCATTCCCTTTAAGCAAATGCATTGGAAAGTTAACAACTGTTTTTTCTTATCAATTTAGCAACGCAAAACATTTCTGATGCATAACCAAAGACAAGAAATTTATTTTTTAATCTAGGCACAGGCCCAGTCCAAATCACCTTCACTTTTTGGAAGCTAACAATCTAGTCAACAGTAGATGCCTGAAATCTGGCCTTCATCTGTAACACGAAAGAAAAGAGAATACTGGTATGACAAAGTCTAGATAAGACAGAACTGAATATCAACAATGCAACCAAATCGTGATGTATGTGATCCCCAACTTCCCTCCAATTTAAGCATTTCCTCACACGCCAAACTTACTCACCTGCATGTCGAAAACGTAAATAAATAAAAACCCCAAATTACAACTTTGCAGACTCCTTTCATGCACATGCATTGAACATACCATGTCAAGCAACAAATTCAAAATTCTATTAAATCTGGACGGAGAGTGATGACAACAAAGCTCAGTATTCATGTCCTTCAACAGATTCAAATTAAATGTTCCAGATAAAATGAAGTTGCCAGAAAGATTGGGCAAGCAAACCTCTTATCTCCATAACCCAATCTCCAAATTCAAAATCAAATGAGTAGATTGACAAACTTCAACATCATACCAGGAGGCCTCAACGACAGCATACATTTAAAAACAATTCATCAAGCTCTTTGCTTTCTCAAGTTAGACCCTTGTCTATTTGTTTACGTTAAGTCTGTACTGAAACTTATTGTAGACCTACCAATTTAAAGACGATCAGAATTCCAAGGTGAAGACTTTTGGCTTGCTGAGACCTTTCAATGAACCATCCAAAAGTTCTGAAGCAACCCAATCCAACAAGACACAGCATGCCATGAAAAATGCATCAAAGACAGTAAATCATAATAACAAATTCATGTAACATCCCCCTGACTAGTTAATTGATGGTTGCAACATGGATGATAGGACAAAGAGACTCCATCAAAAAGATTGATGAAGCAATAGGGGAGATTGTAGGGGTAAATCCCCAAAAGTCTGCAGACCCATGTCTTTGGTATTCAGCTCCAAGTGTTCTCATATTTATCATCTGAACTAAAGTAAAGCTGGATTGCAAATAGTGATCCGAACTAACCATCAATAATTGCGTTTTGTGATCACTATCATGCTTAATTAAGTATTTGACATTCATTTCCTAGAAAGGTCTAGAGTTGAATATTACTCTAATCTAAAACCCTAAAGCCTATGCCTCACCAGAATGGAAAGCACAAGCAAAACCCAGTGTAGCTTCGCAGCAAAAAAAAACCCAACAATTGAACTGAAAAAATTCCTAATTTGATCAAAACTTTGGCACAAAAAATGAACTTTCAAGGGAATTCGACAAGCATTCAACTTAAAAGTCTAAAAGTCCCCAATTTGATCAAAATTTTGGCCCAAAAAAAGGAACTTCAAGGGAATTTGACAGTCATAAATTGCAATTCCAAGAGGCAACACAACACCAAACCCTGAAGAAACGGTAACAGAATAAGAAAGGGCAATTACATCAACAAATTGAGAGGTCCAAATCAAATACCTCAAAGAAGTAAGGATCAGTCGGCCTCAACAGCCTCCACCTTGGGACCTGAAATTCACAAAAGGAAAAGGAAAAGGAGAATTAATGAAGAAAAAGAGGGGAAATGATATGATAGGAAAGGAGAGGATAGGGTAGGGTGGCGGACCATGGAACTCATGAGGACGATGGTCCTTGCCCCAACCGATGCCGCGAGTCGACTCGAGGTACTGGTGGACGAGGTGGCGGCACTTCTGGAGGTGGTTGATGCCTTCGATGCGGTAGCACCAACGGAGTTTCTCTCTGATGATCTTGGCCTTCTCGATGTCGATCCACTTCTCTCGCACTATGTGCTCCCTCATCTCCAGCATCGCCACCGGGTCCTTGTACGGATTCGCCGGATCGAAGTCATCCGGCGGCGACTCGTCGAAGTCCACAACTCCCTTCCTCCTCCCCATTTTCACACTTCCACTCTGTGTTTTGCCTTTGATTTCACAACTCTGCTGTCTGTGCTGTCTGTAGCTGCAACAGGTTGTTTGCCTTTGGGTGCTTGGGCTTAAGATTCACTAGCGGTTGGTTTTGGGCCTAGTTAGATGGGCTACTAAGCTCACTAATTATTGGGCCCAAAATTATTTGGTTCGTGGAGGTGAAAACTCGAGACCAATTTCAACGTGTGTGTTGATGATGATGACCACCACAGAGATAGCACAGAAGACGGACCGTCACAGTCGGGTTGAGGACACGTGGCAGAAACCCACCTGATGGATTTTGAGACGTAGAGCTGAGAGAGTTGTGCTCCTAGTTTCACGGACTGGTTCTGAACTCTCACGGAAGATCAACGGTGCACGGAAAGACCAAACAAACCAATATTCTCAAGAAAAAAAACATTTGAACAACATAACTAAAATTTTCAAGTAAAAAATTCAAGTAAAAGATCAAAACATTTTTTGACGTGACAATCCTTAGTTTAACCTTAATCAACGTGCATAGCTTGACGTCTCTTTCAGTTTTCCCAGGTTAGATTCTGTTCTCATATTTTCTTGCATTTCGTAATTTGCATATGCATGATTGCCACCGACATTACTCATTTCGTATGAACAGCCGAGCCAAGTTTCTAATGCATATTGGGTTATAGTCTGGTTGAATGTTTCAGGGTGGTTGTTCCATTCTACTTTTCTCTTTGCATTATTGAGCATACATTATTTTGTAACTAGAGTGCAGTTGTAGCAAATTGTGTCTCAGATGTTTGAAATTGCTATTTTCTTTTCAAACCGGCCTTGTGATTAACATTTTCTTTTCTTCTTTGCAATGCAGGCTGCAGCAATTAGTAACTCGGGGCTTGACCGCCACAATTTGCACTGCAGCTTCTTTTTCAGGTCATTGTCTCAGAGTTATAATCAAAATCATTCCAGGTTTGTTTTGCCTTTGTCGATTTCATTGATTATGAAGTATGAAATATATAATGTTTATGATTACTTTTGGTACCCGATATTATTCCATGGCAACAAGACATTAGTGATCATCTTTTCATTCAAGTATTAAAAGCCAACTCTAGCAAATAGCTTGAGCTGTCTTTTTATCTTCAGTCCCTTTCCTAAATGTAGGCAGGAACAGTTCATCAAAAGCTTTCGACTCTTGCGAAGAAGTATATGCAATTACTTCGTTTTGATTAAACACTTACTTGCTGTGCAGCAGTCATAGAAGTTTCTCTCTCTAGTGTTCAAAAGGAGCAGACTTGCCCCAACCAGAGGCACATAAATAATGTTTACCATTACCATGAGTTTTATAGTTGAGCTCCAAAGCTAGATGCCACTCCCAAGTAGCTGATCATGGATTCCACATCAAGTTACAGCAAAACAGAAAATGGAGGGGTCACCAGCTCAAGCTTTCATGTTGGCACACATAGTTCAGAACAAGTTGTAAATGGTAATGGTGAGACTGAAGGTGAGGAAAGCTAGCTGTCTCCAATTTACACAGCTATACATCTCTAATGTGTAACAATCTAAAACTTTTTCTTGTTTTTGAAATTGATTTTGCAGGCAAGCGGCGAACATATTTAGTGGAGTGGTTAAATAGTTTACTTCCTACATTAGGTTTACCAAAAACTGCTTCAGATGAGAACTTGAGATCATGCTTGATTGATGGTACCATTTTATGTCGGATATTGAACAGGCTTAAACCTGGTTTTGTGGATGAGGTTGATTGAGTCTTTTCTCATTCCGTTTTTTACTTTTAACTTTATGAGTTGTTCTACAAGTTAGTGATTGGATGTCTGGTTTACTTTCAATTTGCATATTCTATTATAGGGGGGTAAATCAGATCAGGATTCAGTGCCATCCTCAGAAAACGTTGCAAGGTTTCTGGCAGCTATGGATGTACTGGGGGTTCCCAAATTTGACATGTCGGACCTAGAGAAGGTATCTGTCAATATCACTTGTATGTTTACAGTTTCTTTGCAATGTGCATTTGAAATCCAGTTTTAATGTTTTGTTCTTAAACAATTTGTAAGTATATGCTTTTCGTGCATGTGTAAGTTTATATAGCAGAATTTTTTGATAATTCGTATGCATTATGAATACCTGTATTGAATGTTATTTTGGCTTAACATACTAGTCATAGTGTACTTGTTGGGTAATTGCCTCCCAAATATTTTTCTCGTTCATCTATATCTTCTGTCCTCCTTCCCACCCACATGGTCTCTCTCTCTCTCTCTCTCTCTCTCAGCCACATTTTTCGGATTCATGGTATGCAGGGATCTATGAAGACTGTCACAGACTGTCTTTTAACACTTAAAGCACAGTTTATGCCAAATGTTATGGGAGATGGCTTTTCTATAACAAGTCCAACTACTAAATTTGACAACCAATCTAGCCGTGGCCTTTTATCTCCATTATCCGTAGAAGAGAGGCGGAAGGTCTTGTCTGAGTCAAAATTTCAGCGCGCATTGCGTAGTCCTGTTATGTCAGGTATGGTTATTCACTTATACAGATTATATCCGTTGTGCATGGTAACTGGCTTATAAATAACAGTAAAATATCATTCAAATAATAATTCAAGTTAGCATGGTGTGATGGACAAAAAGAAATTAGAGATGTAGCACACTTTAGCAGTTTTGGTGCCGTATCAAAACCATGTGCTAATTTTCCTTAGTCAAATTTTGGTTTTGCTGATATACCTTTGTATGGTTCAGTTGAAAAAGAAAAAAAAAACTTTTGCATGTTGTTTTCTTAATCCAAACAGTTGATGTTTGATGCAAATTTACTTTCCATAGAGCCATCAGCTGCATTAATGCATCATGTTGGACATAAGTTCCACGAGGTGTTTCAGATGAAGCAAGGATGCTATGCTGATCTTCCTGCTGCAAAAATTTCAGAAATGATGAAACCCAACAGTTTAGATGTAAGTTGTCAATGGACCAGGAAACTGAACCAGGTTTTCGTTTTGTGATCTCATCAGTTTGATGCATCCTTAATGCATTTCAGCATCTCTTGTTGCAGAACGCGCCAACTCAGTCACTTTTGAGTGTTGTAAATGGAATTCTTGATGAAAGTGTTGAAAGAAAGAGTGGTGAAATACCTCATGTATGGAAATCAGAAAGCACATGATTGTGAAAAATAAGTACCTGTATTCAAATACAGTATGTACATGCATATTCAATAAATACATAGTTTGAAAAATCTGGTCTGACATTGCATTTGTTGCACAGCGTGTGGCTTGTCTTCTGAGAAAAGTTGTCCAAGAGATTGAGCGGCGTATATCAACTCAAGCAGAGCATTTAAGAACTGTAATATGTTTTTATGAACATTTTTCACTTGTGACCTCATTAAGAAATGTTGTGTTAATTTCTTTATGGTTTTGTTTATCCAGCAAAACAACCTTTTTAAGGCTCGTGAAGAGAAATACCAGTCAAGAGTCAAAGTACTTGAAGCCCTTGCTTCCGGTACAAGTGAAGAAAGCCAGGTATGAAACATAATTCGAATAAATAGACCAGGAGCTGACAGCTTTCCATACAAATGTTTTGATGCGGTACCAATGCCTTACTTTTTAAGTGAAAATTTTCTGTTACAGCTCGTCATGAACCACCATCTTCAGCAAATTAAGGTATATTTCAGAGACAATAAATTTATTTTATTTCCTTTGTGCTATGCTATGCACTTCACCAATTGGCAGCCCCAAATTTTCTTTTCACATGCCTTTACATTCTTGCCAAACTCTCCTCAGAGTTTTTTCCATTACGGATGTAAAGAAATTACTTTACACCTGATTACCTATCTGTTTAAGCAGTGAAAGAATATGTATAGTTTTGCTACTTTCCACCTGCAGTTAGCAATCTTTCCTCATTATATGAATTTCAGAATATCTTTTAGTGGGAATGTTTACCATTGGCAGAATGAGAGAACCAGATTGGAAGCAAAGAAGAAAATCGATGATGAGGATGTGATCAGATTGCTGAAAGAGAAAGATCAGAGCAACCTTGAAATTTCAGGTTTAAAGCAAGAGTTGGATATAGCCAAAAAGACATATGACTTGCGTTGCTTGCAAATGGAGACAGAAGCTAAAGGCGCTAGAGCAGAACTTGAACGTCTCTTGGAAGAGTCGAGGAATAAGGTAAAAGAGCTTGAGGCAAATTCTGAGTCAAAGTTTCAGCTTTCTAAGGCAGAGATTGAAGAGAAAGTAAAAGGACTTGAAGGTCTCTTGGAAGAGTCAAAGAATAAGGTGAAAAGGCTTGAGGCAAATTCTGAGTCAAAATATCAGCTTTCTAAGGCAGAGCTTGAAGGGAGAGTAAAAGAACTTGAACGTCTCTTGGAAGAGTCAAATAATAAGGTGAAAGAGCTTGAGGCGAATTCTGAGTCTAAATATCAGCTTTCTAAGGCAGCGCTTGAAGGGAGAATAAAGGAACTTGAAGGTTTCCTGGCAGAGTCAAGGAATAAGGTGAACGAGCTTGAGACAAATTCTGAGTCAAAATATCAGTTTTCTAAAGCAGAGCTTGAAGAGAGAATAAAAGAACTTGAACGCCTCTTGGCAGATTCAAGGAATGAGGCGAAACAACTTGCGGCAAATGCAGAGTCAAAATGTAAAAGTTGGAACAAGAAAGAGCACGCTTGCTATAGCTTTATGGATTTTCAACTTGGTTCATTGAAGGTATTTTTTTAATGTTAAATTGTATTTTTAGCTTTAATTGTATATGATGAATAGTATACATTTTTAGAAAATTTATGAAATATTCAGGAACTGAGATTATCTACGGAGTCCATTAAGCACGAAATTTTGAAGGCAGGACAGAGTTATACTGTAGAATTTAATCAATTAGGTGGGTTTGTCTATTGGAAAACTCTGTCTGTTTCCTACAGTTCGTGCTATAAAATTTTCAGGGCTTATAACTGTCTTTTTTCAGGAGTGAAGCTTCAAGCATTAGCAGATGCTTCTGAGAACTATCATGCACTCCTTGCTGAAAATAGGAAGTTATTTAACGAAATTCAGGATCTGAAAGGTGCCAAAAAGATAAATTAGCTTTATTTGGCTTGCATCTGATAGAAAACATTAGAGTTCTCTTCTTAACTTTCTTGCGCAGGAAACATTAGAGTGTATTGTCGAATAAGGCCATTTCTTCCGGGACAGAGAGAAAAACGGACATCGGTAGAACATGTTGGTGAAAATGGGGAACTGGTAGTTGCAGACCGCTCCAAACCAGGGAAAGAGGGTCATCGATTGTTTAAGTTTAATAAGGTCTTTGGTTCAGATGCAACTCAAGGTTATCCACTATATATATGTCATTTTGTATCTTCAATGTTGGATAAAACTTGTTTGATTGATCTGTTTTGAGAATCTTTTTCTTGAACATGATTTTGTCATGACAAACTCATACAACTAATTTAACTGTTGGCAGCCGAGGTATACTCTGACACCCAACCATTGATTCGATCTGTGCTTGATGGATATAATGTTTGTATTTTTGCTTATGGCCAAACTGGATCTGGGAAAACCTACACAATGGTATGGACCCTCGTTATATCCTAATTTTGATCACACAACAATATTTTGAAAAGTTGTGAATGCTGATGATCTTTTATGTTTATTGTTTCCTCTCAGACTGGTCCTAATTCCTCAACTAAAGAGAACTGGGGGGTCAATTTTCGAGCCTTAAATGACCTTTTTGACATCTCTCAGTGTAGAAAAAGCTCCATCACCTATGAAATTGGAGTTCAAATGGTTGAAATATATAACGAACAAGTGCGCGATTTACTATCCAGCGATGGGTCTCAGAAAAAATATCCTTGTCAGTTATGAATTGTGCTTAAAATGGTGTTAACATTTGCATTTTGTTTTCACATTACTCTAAAACAATATATTATGTGAGTCAAAATCGTAGTTTCATTGATTTTGGTAAGAATCCTTTGTTTCCCTTGATTTCCACACACTTGGGATTATGACGCACTCTCAACCGAATGGGTTAGCTGTGCCAGATGCTAGCATGCATCCTGTCAAATCAACCTCAGATGTGATACAATTAATGGGTTTGGGACTTAAGAACAGAGTTGTTAGTGCCACTGCCCTAAATGAAAGAAGCAGTCGCTCCCATAGGTTTGTACATTTCATCTTGATGGAAACCTATCTGCACATTATATATTTTCTAGTGGTTTGATGTTCACTTTGAATATGTGTACGCAGTGTTGTTACTGTTCATGTACGTGGGACGGATTTGAAGACTGGTTCTGCTTTGATTGGTAATCTTCATCTTGTAGATCTCGCGGGAAGCGAAAGAGTGGACCGCTCAGAGGTAATTGGAGATAGGCTAAAGGAAGCACAACATATAAACAAATCTCTATCTGCACTTGGAGATGTCATATTTGCTCTTTCACAAAAGAGCACTCATGTACCATACAGAAATAGCAAGCTTACTCAAGTCCTTCAAAGTTCTCTCGGTACTACTTATTTGCTAGTTAGTTTCATTGAGTCAAAGACTTGCTATAGAGTTGCTTTCTTCTTTTTTTCCCTAAGATTTGTCTTCCATCTTGCAAAGTCTTATAAGATTTATATAGTGCTAGAATTTTCTGGTGTTTTGTAACAGGTGGGCAAGCAAAAACACTTATGTTTGTGCAGCTTAATCCAGAAACAAGTTCATATTCTGAAAGTTTAAGTACTCTAAAGTTTGCTGAGAGGGCTGCTGGAGTTGAGCTGGGGGCTGCACGAAGCAACAAAGAGGGCAGGGATGTTAGAGAATTAATGGAACAGGTCCTCATTGTGAACTCATTTGATTAGCTTTGAAGATAAAAAACATTTTAAACAGATCAACTACCATGTATGATTGGTGCTAAGAAAGCCTTTTTCAACCGAGAAAGTATGCTCGTTATAGAAAACAATATTTAACATTCCTTCTGAAATATCAAAGAAAAAAATTGTAACTAGTTTGTTGGGCATGAGATATATAGTCAATAGCAATAAATAATTCATCAACTAGAAAATTGCTGCTTCCTGGCTTTGCAGGTGGCATCTCTCAAAGACACTATTGCTAAGAAGGATGGCGAGATCGAACGGTTGCTAAAAAACGATGTCCACGGTGAGAAGCGTGGGACAGGCTCATTTAGGTATGAATCTTCCCGTCCAAGCAGAGTTTCTAGAGGCGGGACTACTCCTAAGTGAAGCCAAACACCGTTAAGTGGGAAAGGCTTAGGACTTAAGGCAGCTTCTGATCCTGAAAAATGTGTGTTTTGTACAGTCATAAGCATTCTGAAGCTGAGCTCCAGAAGTCCATGCATGACATTAAACACCAAAATGATTTTCTCCGGCAATCAAAGGTTGCCGGAGGTGATATAGGTCAGCATAAACATGCAGATGCTGAGATGTTAGCATTTGGAGATGCAGATAGTGAGGAGAAATTAAGTGACATGTCTGACGGTGGTCTTTCTGCTGGAACAGAAACTGACGGCTCTGCAGACAGCATGAATTACCCTGAAAGTGCAAAATCTGATAACTCGGAAAGGTGTGTTACTTTCTCACTGCTTTCTCTCTTGCATTGCATACTGTTAGGCAGATTAAAATCACCCTATGCTGATTTATAAAACTTTATGTAATGCTTTTGGACAGTGGCTTAATTGGGTTAACCAAACACTTGTCTGTTCATTTATTAAAATTTTCTGTCCTTGTAAAGGAATGACTAAAGATTTGAAACTATAAATTCAGTGTGCGTTGGACTGGAGCCTGCCTCATATGTGAGCAACTAGTATATATAAAACTGCAGTTTGTAATTATGAAAGGTGGTTTTATTTTGTGCAGGCCTAAAAGGCTTAGTAGGATTCCGCGACCGTCACTAAAACCAGGACAAACTTCAACATCTCCAGCATCAGGATCAAAGAGCTCTCCCAGGGTACCACCAGGTATTTTTGACCACTCTCCGCGGCGATTACTGTTTTTCTCAGTGGATAATTAAATACACGTTTAGACTTATGTTGTGGAGTAATTAATTATTAACATTGCCGCAATGGAATTACTGGTTTCAGGTTTAAGAAAAAGTAACAGCTCTTCTTCACTGAAGCCTTCTTCCCGAAGATGGCAATAAGTAGAAGGGCAGTCGACGCTACCATTTGTCATTTTGATTTTACATGTATAGTTTTTTTTTCCATGGTTTTCTAGTTAGTTGTAATTGTCTGTTGTGAGGTTTTAACAGCTGCCCTAGCTTTGTAATTGCTGAATTTTTTTGCTAAGTAAGGTCTAAATCAACGTAGAGAAGAATCACACGACGGATTGAAGGCTTGTACAAATCCAAATCTTAGACAACAAGAAATGTGGACAGGAATAATACAATTTACACTTGATAATGAAAAATTGAGAATGTATTTCAAATTGACAGAATAGTACATTTTGATTGATTTAAACTACAAAGAATAAATAATACATGTATCAAGTGTGACAAGCAAAAATGAAGGTGAACCCCAAATTGACGAAAGTTTTAAAAGCATTTCACTGAGCCTGGACGAATGCTTTCCCGATTTACTCCTCGTCTGTATTATTGGAATTCTAGCTGCCGGAACAGGGAATGATCTGGCTAGAGTTTTGTCATTGGGGGGGGGAGGTGGTTTGGGCCCAGTGGAGAGACAAGTAGGCCTTTGCACAGTTTTGCACCACATAGAGCATGCTGCCATTATCACTGATGTTGTTGAGAATGCCGAGACCAACCATTGTAGTAAGTGCTGTGCAGAAGCGAGCTCTTCTTCAAGAAATGGCGCTTATGCTGACTTAGATTAGTAATCAAAGTTTTGATTGTATCTTCCTCTTCTTTCTTTCAGAAATATTCTCTTGGTGTTTCTCAACAAGATTAGGTTGAATTACAAGGTGCTACTGTTGTGGCAGGGGCTCAGCCTCCAAAGAAGAAGTATTCCGGCCAGTGGCGGAGGTAGAGTTTGATATTTGGGGGGGCCACAAGCTTAAAACTATGGGATTTTTTGTGCAATCTATACTACACTCTTTATATAGTCAAAGAGGTGAGAGGATGGTGGGGGGGCCCAGGCCATCTCAGGCCTATGAATAGCTCCGCCCTGATTCCGGCAATACTGTTTAAATATATTTTAATATTCAACAAGTAGCTATACTTTTTAAATATATTTTAATATTTAAATTGTATCGCCGCATGGCTATACTATATATATATATATATATTTAAACAGTATAGCCGGCCGGCTATACTTTTTAAATATATTCGAATCCTTGAATAGTATCGCCGCACGGCTATACAGTGTAAATATATTTTTAATATTTAAAAGGTATAGCCGAACGGCCATACTTTCTAATTCGAATATTTAATATTTAACGCTATACGTTTTAAATATATTCGAATGTCTGAATAGTATAGCCGCGCGGCTATACGGTTTAAATGTATTTTAATATTTAAAGGGTATAGCCGAGCGGCGATACTGTCTAAATATATTATAATATTTAAATTGTATAGTCATACGTCTATACTGTTTGAATATATTTTAATATTTAAGGCTATACGGTTTAAATATATTTAATATTTAACGAGTAGAGCCGAGCGGCTGTACATTTTGATAAAGTCGAATGCTTAAACAGAATAGCCGCGCGGCTATACGGTTTAAATTTATTTTAATATTTAAAGAGTATAGCCGCCGGCGATACTATATATATATATTTTTTTTTAAAAGTATAGCCGTTCGGCTATACTCTTTAAATGTATTTGAATGCTAATATTTAAATAGTATAGCCGTGCGGCTATACGCTTTAGGGTAATAGCGTAAAATGCCACCCATTTCATAATTTTAACTAAAAATACCACCCCCTTCTCATTTTTGTACAACTACTACCTATGAATATAAAATTATTATCCACTTATTGTACCCATATCAGTTTTTCAGAAATTAACTTCTCTCTCTAACTCTCTTCGCTCTATCTCTTCAGCCCGTCTCTCTCCCTCGTGTACCTCTCTCTCTTCGACGCAATCGTCTTTCTCCCTCAACGGTGGCTGTTCATCCAAGCGTGACTCCATCATTGACATCCACGACGTACTATTCATAACAGTGAGCCCGGGTTCAGGCTCTTCAAGTGTAAGCCTCACCTGGAAAAATTCAAACAAAACACACTCAACCCACAAATCACAAAACCATTTAAAACCAACCAAGAATTCATTCCAACTAGAAAGAAAAAGACTTGACATATCGTTGAATCAATGCCATCAGGCTAACTCCCAAATCTCCATTTCTGCACAATCAAACTCCCATTCTACAACTCCAAATTGGTACCCGTCACCGACCCATCGAAAATGCTAATCTGCCCACTAACATCCTTGCTTATCTTGGCATTGCTCTGACTAAAAACCTTCCATCTATTCTCATCCATCAAAATCTCAAACAAATCTTTCGCTCTGCAACTAAACTTCTCAGTCATACAATCGTCTTGAACCCTTTTTTACTCTCCTTCTTCTTCTTCACCTCCTTCTGTGAACAGTGCCTGTGAGCGAGTGAGAGTGGGTGTGAGTTATTACCTAGTTCATAGAAACCCATAAACCCAAACCCAATTTCTGAGCAACTCCTAAACACTAAAACCCTAAACCAATTTCTTACAAATCCATACATCATAAACCAAATTCGCAAAAACCCCAAATTTCAAAGAAAATGTTTATGAACAGTATCTCGTGGATGTCAACAATGGAGTCACGCTTGGATGAACAACCACCGTTGAGGGAGAAAGACAATTGCGTCAAAGAGAGAGAGAGGTACACGAGGGAGAGAGACGGGTACAATAAGTGGACAATAATTTTATATTTATAGGTAGTAGTTGTACAAAAATTAGGAATAGGTGATATTTTTATTTAAAATTATAAAATGGGTGGCATTTTAGGCTATTTCCCTTAAATATATTTGAATATTTAACGAGTGTAGTTATAGTATATTCGAATTGGATTTGGGTTTTGCTTCGATTCCTACACTCTGAACTTTCCCTCTCTGCGTGGATCAAGCTAATTATAGGGTTTTGTCTGATCAGCATCTCCACGGAAAGTCACTGTAAGTTCCCTTTTTTTTTTCAAAAACTTTCACTTTTCATTTTCTGAAATCTTCAATGTATTTATTGATTTTAGACTATTCCGTTTGGTTTCTGAGAAATTGGAATAGAAAGTGAAGTATGAAGCGGGTTTTGTGTGAAATTAAAATATCACTAAATTATGATGCAACTGTGGTGGACTTTGTATTTCCTTCATGTTTACGTGTATTTTGTAACTCTCTGAATTTTGATATGAAACTAATCAATGATCATGGCAGCAAGTGCTTTGTATTTGGAATTATATTTGTTTTACTTGTGAAACGTTTTCAGTTTTTTTATAGTTGAAGCGCTCACAGTATGTAGCACCTATCAAAAGCATTGTTCGACTCTCTGTTGCACATGATGAATTAAGTAGGATGATGAGTTGGGTTGTCAAATGAGTTTAAGGCTTTTGATAATGTTATTGAATGATGAAACCATATTGGAGGATATATGAGTTTGAGCCTAATTAAACTGGGATTGGGCAGTTTGATGCTTATGTGTATGTAGATCAAACAAGTAGTCATTGAGGATGGATGATGATGGTGACACTGATATTTTTTTCTCCAATTGGAACAACAAGAATCCAACTGAGCCTTTTTATTGTCTCTTGCCTTATCGCTGCTCTAGTTGGAATTTTGACTGTACCCTACTCCGCATTCCAATGGAGGAGAAATATCAATCTAAGTTGGATGAAAGCAATGGCCAGGTCAAAGAAAAATCCAAAGGCACGTCACAAAGTTCCTACAGCTCCTCATACTTGGGTTTTAGAATCGGTATCTTGTGGAAAGAACTTGAATTCCTGTGTATGCTTTAAGTCTATGAGACCTTCTCAAACTCTTGGGCCTGTGACAGCTTCGGACAGTTTTAGTCTCCATTGCAGTACTTGTGGTGCAGCGGCTCAAATAAGCTGCTCTTCTAGTGCGCACAAGGATTGCAAGTGTGTATCCATGATGGGGTATGAGCATGTAATGCGCCAATGGGCTGTCCGTTGGAATGAGGTAACAGATCAACCTGATGAAACTACTTTTTGCAGCTATTGTGAAGATCCATGTAGTGGGTCTTTTCTTGGTGTATCCCCAATATGGTGCTGCTTGTGGTGTCAAAGACTGGTACATGCGGATTGCCACAGCAGCATGTCCAATGAAACAGGTGATATTTGTGATTTAGGTCAATTCAGAAGGTTGATTTCTATCCCCTCTTCATGAAGGAATTGAGCCAGACTTCCACTGGTGGATTTTTGAGCCCCATTACTCAGGGGGCCAATGAGATAGATTCTTCAGTACGTGCAAGTATTAGGAGTCAGAGTATTGGAATATGTACAGAGTTATTTCCTTCATTTATTATTATGTTGGCTGAGTGGAGTTAGTTGTCTTGGGCTCTTCATGAGTGTAGCTTGGTACCTGATGTGTGCATTAATTGTTTTCAGTTGGCTGTTGTATGAGTGCTCTTTATGTACCAGGGAAGCTAATTCTCTGTTTATGATGAATAATAGTTTCTTTTTCCTTTAATTTCTACAACAAGTCCAAGCATGGAAATGAAACCTCTGTTGACACGGGAAATAGTGGTAGTACTAGGGATATGTCCACAGAAAGCCCAGCTGATACTCATCAAGTTGTGAATGGTTCTCATGAAATTGAGGAAAACCGTAATGGTATTGTAAATGTGGATTTGCAGCACCAAGATGGTGATGTAGATAGGAAATTGGATTCTAAGCCTAGTTTCAAAAGGAGCTGGTCAAGCAATAAGAAGGATGAGTCTCAGGTTTTAGGGATGAAACAAAAATACGAGTTGATTGATTCGTCACCAGATGCAAGACCCTTGTTAGTTTTTATCAACAAGAGGAGTGGGGCTCAGCGTGGGAATTTACTGAGGCAACGATTGAATATTCTTCTCAATCTTGTTCAGGTTTGATTTCTCTACCATCTTGATTATTTGGAAAAATACATTTGCCTTCATTTGTTTAGCCAAGTGAGGTCTTTAAGTAAGGTTTAAGGTGGAAATTTCTGTGGTGTAAAAAAGATTTCCCTTCTTTTCTTTTCAAATGAGCCAAGTAAGGTTATTAAGGCTTAAGGTTTAAATCTCCGTGGGATTGAAAAATTAAAATTTGCTAGTTTAGCCCCCTAGTGAAACAGGAAGTCCTAACTGTACATTCTAATTGCTGATGATTATCAACATCACATGTTGGGCTCTCTCCTCAGTTGATTTCTATGGAGTTTGGTGAACCTATTCTCTATTAATATTTGTGATATATCATATATCGTTGCTTAATTGTTGCATGTTTTTGTATTTCATGTAGATTTTTGAGCTGAGCTCAACACAAGGACCAGAGGTGGGTCTTTATTTATTCAGAAAGGTGCCGCACTTCAGATATCTTGTTTGTGGGGGAGATGGTACTGTTGGTTGGGTTCTGATAGAAAAGCAAAACTTTGTGTCTCCTCCTCCAGTTGCTATTCTACCTGCCAGAACAGGGAATCATCTGGCTAGAGTTTTCTCATGGGGAGGTGCTTTGGGCTCAGTGGAGAGACAATGAGGCCTTTGCACAGTTTTGCACCACATAATGCATGTTGCAGTAACCATTCTTGATCGTTGGAAGGTAGCGATTGTAAATCAACAGGGGGAGCAGCTCCAATCGGCAAAGTTTATGAACAACTACACTCTGATTATTATTTCAAAATCGAGACATACACACGCTCATATTAGAATGTATGTACGTATGTTATGCTTTGCTTTTAGATTATTCCGTTTGGTTTCCGAGAAATTGGGATAGAAAGTGAAGTATGAAACGGGTTTTGGGTGTTGCTTTGGACTCTAAAGATGGAGGTGTTCTGATTTCCCACAGGACTGTCATTTAAATTAAAATATCACCAAATTGGGCCTAACTCATAAAGGATCCATATCCTCCCTTTGGTAAAACCTATACAATTGGCCCAAATTGAATTAAGGAAAAAAATAAAAAACAGCCTTTGTCTGTACTATAGCCCACACCTTCCTACCTGCCTGTTGGCCCAACGAATGACCCTTCAAGTATGGGCGGATTGGGTGGATTATTCATGTAGTTGGGAAAAATATGAATTCAGTCCAACCCAAATGACTTCGACCCGAATTACAACAGGTTTTCTTCTTTTTTTATGAATAGTTTTATATATATTTTTTAATATAAGCAATAGTCTAAACTACAAGGGAATAAATATTTCTCATACATACATTACTGTCATGCATATTCGAACATGAAACCACTAATCTGTAAATCAATACCGGGCTAGAACTCCTTGCAGAAACTACAATTGCCCAACTGATGGAAGGAATAAAAAAGAGTGACACCATAATTTAGGGCATTTAAATAGTCAGTCACTTTATCAGTCCTTGACTATTCAAAAATTGAAAAGCCTAATAGCAATCCTCCACGTCAATACTAAGTCAGCCAAAGCCAGGAAGTAAGGCCAAACATAACAAACAAACAAGGAGGCCAAATTCACGACCACATGTTATACGATGCTTCCAAAGACAGAAACCCATTACCCCACACTTGTCGTCCTATCTTCCACCCACCTTCTTCATCCTTTCCCCCATCCCCCTCCCTCCCTCTCCCTTTCAACTCCACAACTACTTGGAAATTTCTTTTCAATACTAAAATCGCAATTTAGCTTAGCTTTAAATCTGGTCACAAGGCCAGGCAGCCGCCCCTACTCAACGATTTATCTTTTTTAATTCATGGACCCATCAACTTTGATTTGCCCCTTCTGTACACAAGAGAACACAACACAAAATCCAGAAACGAATAATATAACAAATGCCAAATAAGATCCAATCCTCACTTCCTCCAAAATACAATTACAAACGGAGGATTATGAGAACCCAAACAAGTCTTTAGCAGGAGATTACAAGCTTGTCCCATGAAATGAAATCTCCCAAACAAAAGTCACATACCAACCATCTCCCAACAGATAATGGCTGACCACTTCTATGAAAGAAACCCAAACAACTCTACCCAGAGAAAGAGAGAGAGAAAAGACTTGGCCCCTTTCTCCCCCACTCTCTCATTCTTAAGACCTTTTATTCCTCAAAATGGAACATCTCCCATCACCTTAATTTACATATACATATCTTTGAGTTTACACAAAAAAACTCTGCAGAAATAACATTAGATTGGACTTGACTTGTATATACAAAAATTACACTCAAAGAACCCAAAAAACCTTTGCTTCCTCCTCTCGATGATGATCCCAAAGCACCCTCTCTCACAAAACTCTGCTTTTTCCATAATGAGAGAGAGGGTTCTTCATTCTTGTGTGAGCCTATAACTGCCTAAGCTACAGCAGAGATGCTGCAGTTTCTGCGGTCCCTGCTAAGACAATCAAACCCTTCAATGCGCACAGCAACAGGCTTGTCCCCTGATTTCATCCGAACACACCCTCCGTTGCGAGCAGACAATGAAGACGGCGGTGCTGGAAAAAATGGAGCCATCTTGCTGCTGTTGCCAAATTGCTCATCTTGGATTACAGGGTTTGATGCCCTGCTTGGTGGAGACCCACAGAAAAATGGTGGCGATGAAGCCAGTTGGTTACTGGATCTCTCTTCACGATTTCCCTGAACTCATGAATTAACCAAAGAAAAATTGGGAAAGCATTAGTTTTTCTATTCTTGGATTTGAATTCAATTTTGGAAGTTCGAGCTAAAGCATGACACAAAATCAAAAAAATTATGAGTTCAAGGTTGAAAAAACAAACTCCAAATCAATTGATTGTTGACAAATCACAACTAAATATAAGTCCAGAAAAGAAAAAACGTGCCCGATACTAGAAATTAAAAAATGAATATTAGCTCAAAATAAATGTTTCATGATGAGAGAGAGGAACCTTGGTGAGAAGAAAATCCAGAAGTTCAGACCCTGCTTGAGAATCTCCGATTTCCGATTGGCTGTGAGAAAGTAAGAGCGAAAACCATGAGGCCGAAAGAACAACCTTTGACTCTAATAAATTAAAATCTAAACAGCGTGATTATAAAAAACAAAACAAAACAAAGGAGTGTGAGAAAAAGGTATATACTTGAAATATCTGAAGGGTCTGATGGAGTCGTTAAGGGAAGGATTGATGAGGTTCAAACGACGTGGCTTTGGGCACACAACTGAATCCACCATCTTCATCCCCTCACAACCTGCCATGGCGTTCTGCTCGTAAGCGCACCTGTTCATCTTTGTCTCTTTTTTTCGAGATCTCACCAACAACGCCTACACACACCCAGATTTTCTTTCATCAAAATTAACTCTAACAAAAAAAATATATATAACTTTGGGATCAGACTATAATTTTAAACAATTTATGTTTTCCTGTTCTTCCATGTAACAAAGCTCCAAAATTTCCCGAAAACCAAACTAACCCAGAAGGCATATGAGGTAATCCTCAGTTTTTCCTTAGAACTTTGCAGATCTATGAATAAACAAGCCTCTGGCTTATGATATAGGACACTTATAATGAAGAGGGAGAAACAAACAACCTTGAGCTGCCACAGGAGGCTCCTCCGAGAGGAGGAGGAGAAAAAGATTGAGGTTAGAAAAAGATCTGTAAACAGAGTGTTTTTTGGGCGTCTGGGAAGGAGAGAGAGATAAGGGTTGGGTGGGCCGAGTATTTATGATTCACAGAAACAGGGGAGGGGACAGAGAAGGAGTTATGTTCACCTGTGTGAGGGTGCATGGTTTATCCGATTGTAGACGGTATGATATGCCTGATGATAGCCCTTTGTTTGTGGGGTCATTTTGACATCGAGATTGGTGGATGGATGAGACCGATTTGGTCCACATAATACACGTATGCTTGCTCTTGAATTAAATTGAGATCCGGCTCTCCAGCCTCTGTTCTTTGCATCCTGATCCTCCAATCAATAAATAAATAATTCCTGTTTTAGCACAAGCCTACGAAGGAAAATATCTCATTTTCTCATATATTATATTTATAGTAGTTCACTGCACAGTTGACCAATCACCATTGAGCATGTGTGCTGCACAATTGAACCGTTTATTTTCTTTCCTGATTAAAGAAAAAAAGCCATTTTGACAAAGCTTTTCTCTGAACAAAAAGCAAGATTATGATCAAGGAAGGTCATATCTCTCATCCAAAACTTAGATTTTTCATGGCCTAAAATTAGTCTATATTCAAATAAAATCTACCATATTTTGTATTTTCTTTAAAATCAATGAGTTTTTGAATGCACCTAAATTTTTATGAAGTCTTTTAAAGTTGTAATTGAATACATCCAACTTTAAATGGAATTTAAAAAATCTGAATTGAATACACCCAGAATTGTATAGACTTCTATAAAATCATGATTGAATACATCTAAACTTTTAAACTTCTTTAAATTCTTTTAAAATCTAAATTGAATACACCTCCTAATGCATATTTTTATTTACATGATAAGGTGACGTTGATATAGATATCACGTTTGCGATGAGGCTTGACCAGCTGACCTTATCTTTTGAGTATCAACTTAATCAACTGACTTAACTCACGTTTGCTATGCATAAAAACGTATATGGTATGCAGAAGAGGAAAAGGGTAAGAATGAAGGGTGGGAGGCTCCATGATTCCAATCCAAAGTGGAAAGGACAGAGAGAGATGTTTTGCAGACGAAGTGGGAACCACAACCCAATTCGCTTTCCTTTTGCGTTCGATTTCTTCACATGGCCAAGCTTAAGTTGGCTTCTATTAAATTTGAAGCCAGTGGTCCACTGCGTACCTACCGTCAATCCTTTCAATTGCTGAGCTCATATCGTATCATATCATATATGCATAATATTAATGCACACATTTTTATATATATATACATAGATATGCTACATGATCATGCAGGCCCGTACATTGTGAATAAAGCTCCAATGTCTTGGTTGGGCTGAAGGATTTGCCCCATATACTAAATATAAGGCCTGTTAGGCCGTGGGTTATGAGACAATAGTTTAACGGGCCTGTTAGGCCATATGAAAAACATTAGCAGATGTTTGCACGCCCCTTTTCTCGAATTCGATCATCCTTTTTTGTATATTAGAGTAGTTTAAAATATCGTCATTGTCAAAATAAAAATTAAAAAACTGCTTCATTTTAATGGAACAAGGGGTTATAGTATCTGATCTGAAATGAAATCAAGCTGCTTCCATCCATGGTGCAAATGATAATGCTTCATTTCCTTTCCATACATGATGATTGCCCAACTACAACAAGGCCATGGAACTTTAAAAAAAGGTCAAGAAATCTCATTGTAGCTTCAGGTACACATCTTTAAACTAAAACGGCTGATTTATTGGACTAAATTTTATTTCTTTTTTCATTTCCCATGTAAATGGGTCCATATGATACGAGCCTATCATATAATTTGATTGATATATATCCCTTGAGTGTACCATGTGCCCTTTTTATTCCACTGCATCTGCATTGCATGTGTAGCAGCAGCCTAGCCCTTTTGCACACCTTCTTCCTCGTCAGTCTTCTCTCCTTTTGATTCAGATCAAATCCCAGCCTTGTAGATAAACTCTAATTTAAAAAGCTAATAAAGCTAAAGTTATTCTTGTCCCTATCTCTTCATGTTCCTTGCTTTCTTCCCCTCATCTTTCACCTTCAACCAATATCCTCTCTCTTTCTCTCTCTAAACATTCTCTCCTTCCTGGATTCCAAATCTCCAAAATCCCATGTGGTTACTTTTATTTGTAGGATCCCTCCATCATAATATATAAACATAATAATAATAATAATATGTATTAATATACAAAAGGGTACCTATAGCTAGGAGGATATTCATGTTTGTGCAGTCCTCCTCCTGGTGCACATTCATGTCATGATCTAGTCATCAAAGCAAGCTGTGGGTCATTGTGCAGGGAAGAAAAGTGGTGAGGAATCTCTGTGATATATCCCATCCATTATTCTCACTTTGCTCATCTTCGCTTCACACCAATGCAATTGTTCTTCACTTAACTCTGTCATCCTCAAAACCCTTGAAACTAGTTTTAGGTCAATTAGACCCATCAGTATCTCCATCTCTTCCTCCACCTTCAACTTTCTTTTTCTCAAGCATTTGTGAGAACGCCGAAGATCTTTCACTTTCATCTTCTTCTGCTCATCATCCAATGGAACAAAAAAAGAGTCAAGAACCAATATGATAAGTTGATAACATTACATATATATAATTAAGCAGATGTGATTAATATAATATATTCACTTACTTTTTGATTAATTTTCTTCGTCAGATGGAGAAGAGTTGGATCAACTGAACCTTTTCGTTTCCTTTTAAACATGGATGCTAATTTCTGGCACGGTTTCTCCTTATCAGCCTTGAGAAAATTCATGAACGTTCGGATTCCATCTTCCATTATCATTAAAAACGCAGCTGACGAGATTCTTGAGCCAAAACCTTCATCCTTTTGATTACCATCATCTTCTGAAGCTTAAAACATAAAAAAGCAAGGCATTAATTAATTATTTATCTTTGATTGATTTGATCCCTAGACCTTTTTCATTTCTTTGTTACTCGTGATGATGTAACCATTACAACTTTAATTTAACCATGATGCGCACACATTCAAATTATTGTTAAAGAAAAAGGGTATGAAAAGAAGTTAAAAGTACAATCTGGCTGCAGGACTACCTCGATATTCTGGCACTTGCAGTAACTTTGGTGCCAAAAGCCTCATCCTAGCATAAATCTCTGGTCTCCTGCCCTGCTCATAAGGTTCATTCTCTATGTATCTCTGCAGAAGAACTTGGAATTGCTGAAACTGCTGAGCTAATTGGCCAGGACAGCCGGGATCAAAATCACCGTGTGACGCTCTTTTTTGTTCGAAATTCTTGTAGTTCCAATTAAGTGCTTCCCATGTTAAGCAAATTTGAGCAACATAAGCAGCCTCCAGTTCATGATAAGGGTTGTGACGTACGTCCGATGGCCTTTTTGTTACCATGGCGATTTTTTGAACTATCCTCTCCGAAATTGATCTTGGACAAACTTGAATAGACCTTAGTGATTCTGGAAAATGAAAATATTGCATTTATGATTATCAGATTAATTAGCTTCAATCTCCCAAAACAAAAATACAACCACTTTAAAAAAAGAAGAAGAAAAAAAATATAGCTAGAGAAACCAAATTACCTGTTTCATGGAGCTTTTGGGCACTAATTCTGTCTAGGAACATCATTTCTTCATCGTACTTTTGAAAAACTGTGTAAGACTCCCACTTGGGGCAGCTTCTCCGGGACGACGAAGAAAATGGATCTTCTGTAGCAGAGTCCCTGCAATTAATTGAGCTTCTCCATTCAGAAGAGCTTTTAGAAGTTGATCCAACAGTTGAGTCACCAAAAATCTCATCCTCTTTATTTTCTTGAACTTGGAACTTGTTGGTCTCCAATTGGTGTGGTCTAAACACTAGACAATTTTCATCACCAGGCAAATGTGTCTGAACTGCCTTGTTTTTTTCAGTGTTCTGTTTCTCACATTTACCTGCATCAATAGCATAAGCAATGTCAGGCTGCAGAGTACATGTACAAGTAAGATTACAAGTACAACATGTGACTAGCTATAGCTAGTGTAACAAACGTAGATGCTTGATATGTTCGTCACCATTTTTGGCATTGCTCCGCAAGTCACTTTTGCGTAGGTCTATAGTTATCGGAGCAGTGGACCACACTTGATCATTTTGGAGAGAATTTTGAACCAAAACGGTCTCTTTCACTGGGATTTCCTCCGCATCATGATCATAATATTCAGATTCTGTAACTTGTGGTGAGCCATGCAAAGATTCATCTTCTTGGTCTTCAATTATTAAGCTCTCACGGGCGCTAATGAATTGATCTTCAGAATAACTTGTTTGATGCTGGCTCTGAAGGTTGCTGTTCGGCAAAAACATCAGTGATTCACCGCCAAGAATGATGTCAGCTACCAGATCATGATCATTTTCTGTGCAGCTCTGATGACCATGAACATGAAACTGCCTTTCTGCTTCTAATTCCTCTTCCTCTTCTTCTTCTTCTTCTTCTTCCGAAAACACATAGTTTTCGTATCCATTCTGGTTTCTGCAATATAACAAATTAATGCATACAAAAGGGTGAAGATTTAAGTGATTAATATGTCAAAGGAAATAACTAAATAAGCAAACACAAAGTGAGCAAGAGAGGTATTGATGTATAGCAGCATGCCATGCAAGGTTAATTTGTTAAGACCTTGGGAAAATTGGGTTGCTGCCAACAAAGTAGAAGAATTTGGCAAGAACAATGGAGGAGACATAGAGGAAGAGCAGGAGAAGGTGCAAGGAGGATGAGACATTGTAGAAAAGCCTAGCAAGTGCTTCCTCTGTTGAACATGGCATTTTTTTTTCTCTCCAAAATGAGTTTCTATCGACTCCTCTCCTTCACAAAGCACAATAGCAAAGTGGAGTGGTGCCCCTTCAAAAAAGTTAAAGCGTGTGCTTTGGTTGCTTTCGTAAAATCTCTTCCTTCTTGTTGGTCAAAATGGTTCATTTGTTTTCCAAGAAATGCCCCATGTGTCCTGCAATATTGCAAGTGCCAACTTTACCTTGTTACTGATTAATTTTATGCTCTATACATACACCGTACGGTATAGTTTCCCATAATACACACCTTTACATTTTTGGTTTTTATTGAATTGCTTTCTGAAAATCTAGTCCTTAGTAGAAGCCCAACACAACCCTCTTATGAATGAGAAAAATTTATCTATGTCAGGGATAACACTGTGACGGTATTCCAAGGTAATAACTCATTGCCAAATATTTTAACTTTTTGACATGGCAATGCATGATAAGTTTGGAATATCGTTACGGTGACATCTCAGTTACATGTAAGTTCTTTTCTGAATGAAGGATTCAATTTATTTTGCATGTGCTTACATTGTGTAAAACAAATAAGTGGAATTATTAATAATGCGATAGCTTTGTATTAAAAGCACATAAATGTATTAAAAGCACATAAACCTTGAATTGTAGCTTGTATTTATTTAAAATATAAAACCTTTTTCTTTTTCAGCTTTGAATCAAAGTAGAAAATCCTATTCTACAAGAAAGGGGCCTATGCTATATCCAGTCCAAATAAACAAATGTAAACAAAAATAAAATTAAAATTAAAAAGAAGAGACCAAAACCAAGCCCCACGCATTGGTAGACAGGTATGCATGCCACTTTTTTAAAGAAGTATTAAGATATTATTTCCCAATAAAAAGAAGTTAAAATCGTACATAATTTAAGTAAATGTGGATTTTGGGCAGTTTTAAGTATTCTTTGCCTCCTAAGTCCTAATGGAATAAAGAGCCTTTTATAAAGGTAAGAATGGGGGTGTTGTCAATTGGAGCTTTCTGTTTTGGAAATCTTCTTAGTTGTTTCTTGTCTTTAACTTTGCCACTAAGATTTCTGCAAACTTGTAGTTGTTGATCCACTCAGCGGTTGATTACTCAAGCAAGCACGAATCAAATCATCAAATTAAGTACTCGTTTGGCATTGCTTATTTTGGGTGATAAGTGATTTTTAAAAAAATTTGGGAAGCCCAGCCCATTTGGTAAATTACGAGAAAATCACTTATTGTTAAAAATTGTTGTGAGAGAAAACTATAAGGGAAAACAGCTAATGAAATGCTTTCATTTTCTGATAATGCATGAATCAGTTTTGAAGAGGCGTTGGGTTTAATGATTATACAACAATTATTTTCTGATTATACTGGAATTAGTACCAACAACACTTTTAACAAAAAGTTTACCAAACGCCAAACTGCTTTCTATCATAGCTGATTTTTCTTACAGCAAATCTGATACCGATTATTTTCACAACATAGCAATACCAAACTGGCCATTATTAAGTACTAAACTATTTGTATTAATCTAATCATCGCATTAAGTATCTCTGCTTGACAAAGACCCACACCCACACATCATATCGGATATGTTAGTTGACACAAGCCCAAAACTTCCCATTTCTGGATTGCACACAAGCCCGAAACCCAATTCTTGGTACCCCAATAGTAAATACTCTCCTCCATATAAGTCATTGGAAAGCCCAATTGCATCATTATGTGAAAATCTTTTTATTTGTTGTGAAACACGTGTGTGGATGTAGTAAGGAAGACTTTTTGTGCATGCAATAGTAGATTGATGTAATGTAAGTGAAATAATGTTTGTGGTGGGTGAAATGTTTTCACCTCCAATTCTTCCACAAAGCATTAACAGCTGTGTCTTGGTAACTTTCTCTATAAAAAGGATCCTCAGCTGAAGAATAGATATACACCAATATGAAGAGAAAAAGTGAGAGATAAATCGAGAGTTAGAAAGTTGGGTAAACTACAGTAAATCTCCCAACTTATAGGGTCATTTACGAGTCCATACTCAATTTTGGGGACATTTATGAGTACATACTCAAAGTCGCGGAAAACCTACAGATTGCCCCCTTCGTTAGCGAAACTATTAGTCAGTCTGTTAAATGCTGAAGTGTCAAAAATGGGACCCTTTTTTCTGGTGACGTGAACTTCCACGTGGATCAAAAATTAATAAAAAAATTAGTTTACTGTTTAAATAATATTAAAATCATTATATAAAAAAATTTAAATTTTAAAAAAATTCCCATCTCTCTTCTCCAGCTAACCCTCTCTCCTTCCCGATTCAACCCGACCTCTCAACCACCACTCTCCCGTCGCCACCCAAAGAACCACCTAGCCATCTCCACGCCAATCCTCTCTCCCTCCCGACTCAACCCCACCTCTCAGCCACCCCACTCCCATCGGCGACACCCAAACCCAACTCTCTTTCTCCCTCCTTCTCATAAGGTTCCAATACCTCAAAATTAAACCACCATCGCACAATCAACTTTGCTTAGAAAGAGAATAATTCTCAAACAGCAGAAACATATCTTTGGTTGGTAGGGAACTAGTCTAGGAGCAATTTCGGAATCTACAGCTGAGGGTTCAGAGAGAGAGAGAGAGAGAGATTTTTTAAAATAATTCTAAAATAAATTTTTTATTAATTTTTGATTCACGTGGAAGTCCATGTCATCAGAAAAAATGATCCTATTTTTGACACGTCAGCATTTAACAGATTGACTAACAGTTTCCCTAACGGAGGGGGCAATCTGTAGATTTTCTGCTACGTTGAGTATGTACCCATAAATGTCCCCAAAATCGAGTATGAACTCGTAAATGACTCTATAGGTTGGGAGGTTTACTGTAGTTTACCCTAGAAAGTTTTATCCGAGAGAGAAATTTTTATCAGTGTAATACCTTAAGAGCAAATACAATCTCATCCCAATATTCAATGGTACTTTCATACCCTGTCTATTTTATAACATTATTTTCTTATTTTCTTATTTTCTTATTTTCTTATTTTAATGAAGGTCTCAAACTTAGAGAGAATGACAATGACCTTCTCAATTAATGGCATGATTACTTATCAAGAATGAGCATTGGAATGATTTAAATTCCTAACTTCCTTTACAAACATATAAGGAATAAAAAATTATGTGGATTCCACTTTAAAATTCGTAATCAAATATTCTCAAAATGGGGAATGGGATCAACTAGGGGGAGTAGTTGATTTAATTCCAATACCTTGATTCCCCTATCTAACTTTCTCAATTCATAGTTTTCCCAATTCTTGGTAAATTCTCCGATTCATGACTTTTCACATTCCTCATTCATATATGAAGTCTTGTGTTTGAATCCCCTTTCCTCCAATATCATTTGTATTAGAAAAAAAAAACTTGGACAAAACAAGCCAACTCTTATGGCACATATGAATGGAGTTGCAAGTTTTCAAACCAAAAGTCACATCGTCCTTTGTTTAAAATAATCAAACTTGTGTAAGGTAAAAAAATAGTTATATAATGAACATGGTGTAAATTTTCAACCCAAAAACATGTGGAGGAATAGATGTTGTTTCTAGAAGCACCGGCAAAGATGCGGGAAAGATATGTACATGAAAAGTTGGGAGTTAGGATTGAAATTGATGTGAAGCTTGGAAGACAAATGGAGGGTGGTGAGTGAGGAAGAAAAAGATCCAACAAAAACGCTTACCCAAGCAAGATACAGTCGTGTGGGTTGGTGACCATTTTAACCACTCTCTTGTAAACTTTTGCCACCATTAATCATAATTTAACTAACAAAAAGTACATAAATAAAGCCACCTACAAGCTACAGCCCACAGGCTACAGCCCACAGCCAAGCAAATGAAAGATCTTTCAACTGTCAATTATGCAATATTCTTTGTCAGAGAGACGAAACTATCATATCGTGGTTCATGTGCACTTCCAACATGCCACCTTAATATATTAAAATACTACACTGCACCATATCAAGCAATCATCACTACTGTATGTCTCTTTGATCAGATTATAATGTTTATGTACATTTGGAAACATAGCCAATGGGAGGGGAGGGAGACAAAACAAAGAGGCTGCAAAAATTTGTATATACATTTTATTTGGTGTTATCAATAATTACCATATTATAATTTTATTAATTTGGTAGATTAAGGGTTCGTCTAGAAGTGATTTTGGATAAATCAAAAATCACTTTTATGGAGAATCACTTTAGGTGGTTTTAAGTGATTTTATGGAGAAGTATAGACGGAGAAGATGCTTCTCCTAGAAAATGATTATAGTCTATCCAGAACCACTTCCAAACAAATCCTAAATAACTACATTCGGAAAGAATATCCACAGTCACAAGAGAGATCATATCAGATGTGTGACACATTTCAATATAAATGAAAATGGTGGTTACTGTGGAATGTAGATTGCCATGTTCCCCATGTATTGGGATAGTATAGTATTCTAGTAGTAGCGTAGCCAAATAATTATTGAAATGGGTTCGGTGGGTAGAAATGGGTGAAGGTGGTTGGACTGGATCATAGAATTATACAAGCAATTAATATTATATATCTACATATGAAATGAAATCTGCTGTGACATTAACAAAGGACCCCCCTCGTGCCCAAATAATTGCCACTCATCTCTTGAACAAAATTTGATTTTAAAAAGACATGTACACAATCTTCATATCCACCTTGATTGACTAATTCCTAGTCAATGCCACACCACAGGTCTATGTGGGTTTTTTGGTAATAATAAAAAAAATCTCATAATCTTACAGACGACTATCAGAAGAAATATACATATACCCCCTCTTACTTGTTCATGTACATGTATATATAGTAGTGGTGTTTTGGTAATTTAAAATGATTAAGAAAATTTGTACTTTCCAATCACCATCTTTGTCAAAGTGTTAGCTGTAATTATCAAAATATAAAAAGACTACTGGCTAATGGCTATGGCTGCTTCTTCTTGAAGATTTGAGCTCTACACAATACAAGGGGCACACCATTAATACCTCTCATCATCTTGGTGGATTTATTTGAAACTGGCATCAAATATCCCTGCTAACTACTTGCTTCTGCTGATTGCTTTCTTTTGCTTCTCAAAATTATCCCACTTGGTTCAATATTTTTCTGAATCAAAATTAAGAATATGCAAGACAGTCTTCCTCCAGGGTTCAGATTCCATCCTACAGATGAAGAGCTGATCACGTACTATCTGTGCTGCAAGGTTTCTGATGTTAGCTTCACATCGAAAGCTGTAGCAGTTGTTGATCTCAACAAGTGTGAACCTTGGGACCTCCCAGGTATACATACATACATATATATATATATATATATATTGCTAGTTTAATACTCATGCGATTAATTATAAGCATCATCATCTGTTATAATTGTGTTCTTCATACCAGATCATCTGCCTTAATTCCTCTAGGATTTCTTTCGTTCTAATTCCTTGAGGCTTTTAGTCATGATATTTCTTTTCTTTTTTTCCTGATATGTTTGCCAAAAAGAAGAATGGAGTTTGGAAATGAGGAAAATTATATCTCTCTTCTTTCCTCTCTGATTTGCTTGACCAACCATACCAAATACATAGACAGAACTAACTCCCAGACATTTTTTTCTTAATGGACTTTCCTTAGCTGTAGGACTATTTATTGTTTTTAAAAAAATGCTATAAGACCTTTAACGGTATCTTCAAACACAGCATGAATATTTCCTTCCGATTTTGTTGACAGCATCAATAAGATATGCAAAGTGATGACATGGCGATTTTTCTTCAAATTAATAACTAACAAACTAATGATGTGGTGGTGCAGGCAAGGCTTCGATGGGAGAGAAAGAGTGGTACTTTTTCAACTTGAGAGACCGAAAATATCCAACTGGACTTCGAACCAACCGAGCCACAGAAGCTGGGTATTGGAAAACAACTGGGAAAGACAAGGAAATCCATCGAGCAGGTGTGCTGGTTGGGATGAAGAAAACCCTAGTTTTCTACAAGGGTAGAGCTCCCAGGGGTGAGAAAAGCAACTGGGTCATGCACGAATACAGACTAGAAAACAAACATCCTTTCAAATCCTCAAAGGTAAACTAGATAAGCACAACAACATATAGTCATATACTTAATTGCTAATTAATTCTTGAGGGCTAATTATTTCTAACTTTCTCATGTAATTAATATGCAGGAAGAATGGGTGGTTTGTAGGGTGTTTCAAAAGAGCACATCACTGAAAAAGCCACAGCAAACAACAACATCCTCACAGCAGCAGCAGCAGACATCTATTGAGTCCCCCTGCGATGAAACAAACTCAATCGTGAACGAATTTGGAGACATCGAGTTGCCAAACCTAAATAGCAACAACATTGCAAATTCATCAAGTGGGTTGATCAGCACCATGCCCTCAACACAGAGCTGTTACAATAATAATATTAATGATCATAGTAGTGACGTGAACATGAGCTTGAACATGAACTGGGGCGCAGCAAGAGAGGCAGCTGCAAGCGCTCTTCCGACGCTAACGTGGCCATGGCCATCGAACTTGCTAACTCCGTCGAACCTGTCGGTGAATTCATTGCTTCTTAGGGCATTGCAACTTAGGAGTAGTAATACAGGTGCAGCTACCCTAGATCCCTCTTACTCATATAATAATAGTAATAATATTAATATGGAGCAAGGCATGCCGCGGCCAATGTCTCAGTTTGGGTCCGGCACTAGTGCAGATATGAATTCAAATTTCCAAGCTTCTTCATCGACGAGAGATATGATGGAAGCCGTGCCGCCACAGCAGCATCCGGAGCAACCATTCAACTTGGACTCCATTTGGTGAAGTTTTAGTTGGCCTGAGATCGAATGAATAACCTAAATAACATCTTGTAAACGAAATGCAACTATATATATATGACTCACTCAGTACAGGGATCGACTACTTATGATCTATTCATGTAGATCGATCGATGTTGAAAAATAAGGTTAACTGCCTAGTTTATGGTTCTGTTTAATTATGTTCCGGAGTAGTTAAGTTGGCCCAGCTCAATGCATGTCAGCCGGTGGGGAAAACTCCCCAAGTCATCTGTTGTTGTTCTGTTAATCTTGTAGCTCTTATATATTATGTATGCACTACATATAATATGTATCTCAACACATGAAAACCCTTGTAAGCAGCTCAACCCTCTCTCTCTCTCTCTCTCTCTCTCTCTCTCTCTCTCTATATATATATATATATATATATGAAAAGTTCATATAATCTAATAGTATAGAAGTTGATATGGCATATTATTATTGACTAGAAAAATTTGCAATTCTTACAAATTACTCACTTGTTCATCGAGAATTTCTAGTTGCAAGAAGAAAAATTGGAGTTAAGAGACTACATTTGAGGTCCTGTGTTTGTATAATTCCTTTTCCAATATCGCTGGTATTAAAAAACAAAAATGCTAGGCTTACTATATTTTTCATACCACAATTGTACCACCTCTTTAATAGAGGTGGACCCCATTGTATTAGTGGGCTCCACCTTTATTAGAGAGGTGGTACAATTGTGGTATAAAAAATGTGGTAAGCTTAGCATTACTCATTAAAAAAATAAGTTACAACCATTAAACTCTTTGATTACGAGGACCTTGATCTTATTGATAAAAAAGAATCTAGCTCTTTTACCCAAAAAAAAATAGTAATAATAATAATGAGTCATTCTATAATGCCCTTAGATGAGGCCATATATTTTAACCGTTAGATCAAACTAACCAACTTGATCCAACAGTTAAGAGATGGAGCCTCATCTAAGGGCTTTATAGAATTCTACTAATGGTAATAATGCAGCCCACTTTTCAAAAGAAAAGAAGAGTCCAGCCCAAACATAATAAGTTGTCCTTAAAAGCGCCCAGGCCCATTAAAGAACAATCACCGCACCCTCTTAAAGCGCGCTCTCTTTTATGTTTTCCCCTATTTTTTCTCTCGGTTTTGACATAAGCGCGCTCTGTAGTGTCCCTCTCTCTCTCTCTCTCTCTCGCTTTCTCGCTCTCTGGCGCAGTCTCAGCGGACAATGGCGGGAAAGCAACTCGCCGGCGACAGTCTACCGGCGGATTTCGCCGGAATGTCGAAGAACCAGCTTTACACCATCATGTCTCAAATGAAGGCATTGCCTTTCCCTCTCGAATATTTCTTCTTCAATTTTCCTTTCAAAATTTACTTGCCTTCCAAACACCTAAAGAAGAACTACGAGTAATGTTCGTGTTTGTTTTCTTTGTGTTGTTAAATACAGAATCTTATAGAGCAGAACCAGCAGCAAGCCAGGCAGATCCTCATTCAGAACCCGCTTCTCACCAAAGCTCTTTTCCAGGTTCCTAATTTTTTCTTTATGGTTTTAGGGTTTTTTTTTCCCTTTCGATTTTCCCCTTTGTGCTTAGATATGTAAATTTGTAATGTCCTGCTTTTTCTTTCATTGATATGGTTTTGTGTAGTTAGGTTTAGTTTGTGTCAATTTTGATTCTTTTTTCCTTATTGCCTTCGTTGAGAAAATTTTGTGTGATTAGGATTCAAATGATATGAATAGCTTTGTTTCGAAGTTCCTTACAGTTCCCTAGTGAGAAAATAATTGTTTCTTTGCTAAGTGCTAATTTTACGTTTCTGCTAAGTGCTGAACTTTTACCAAACGGCCTGTCTGAAAAATTCAACTGTCCATGTCAAGGGACTTACATCCATCATTTCAGGACCTTGAGTTTGTCTCATGATGTTTGAGAGTTCATTGCTTAGTAGTCTCTAATCGGTTTCTTAATTTAAGTAGCTTTTGTCTGCGAACTATCCCTTTCACCTTCAGCTGCTTGTATTAATCCTGACTGTATTTCTGCAATTTGTATTCTTTCACCAGGCACAGATTATGCTTGGAATGGTGCGCCCACCTCAAGTGGTATGCTTTTGTCTTTGGAAGCCTTATCTTTTTCTGTTTTTGTGTTTCTATTATATGCTAAACAGAGGTTGCCTGTAGATTCCCAGCATTCAGCCATCAGCATCACAGCATTCCCAGCAGTCTACACAACCAACTCAGCAATCAAACATTCAGTCTGCTTCCGTGTCGCCTGGTCAAGTTGGTTTGCAGGACCAAACAGGGTCATCTCAGATCCAAGCTCCTCCGAGAAAGCAATATCAAAACCAATCTGCAATGCCTAGCTCATCAGCTGCTGCTCCATCAATAAATCTTCAGTCTCAGCCTATGCCATCACACCCTCTGCAGACCCCACAGCAGCCTAAGGGACATCTGAGCCATCAAATGACCCCGACATCGCTTCCACAGTCCTCTCAACTTCCAAATATACCCTCACATCCTCTTCATTCTTCTTCACAGCCACCTTCGCTTCATCAAACCCAAATGCCTACTGCTTCTGGCCAGTTGCAACAGTCATTACAGACATCAGGAGTTCTGCATATGCCAATGCAACCACCATTGCCACCACAACCAAGACCACCTTCAATGCCTAACTTCCATCACCAGTATCCGTCACAAATGGGGCCAAACATGGGTTACCAACATGCTAATTCTCAACATCTTCCACAATCCATGTTTCATGTAAGATGAAGTTTATAATTCACCAGTCATTATCAAATGTATCACATATGATGTGATTGGGCTAATTGTCTTTTTCATTGATCTGCTCAGTCAGGTACAAAACCCCCTGCTAGTGCTGGGCCTTCATTTCCCCAGGGACAGCCACCACTTCCAAGTCAACCACCACCTCAATCTTTGTATCAGGTAAATGTGTTTTGTTTATGTTTTTTCTTTCAATTAAAAAAATTGTATTTGTATAAACCTTGCAACTGTGTTCTTGATGTTTATATCACTAAAGAATAATGTTTGGTCTAGTGAATGGGTTACATTCAATAATAGGAATGAAATACCATTTGCACCAAAAGATAGGCAAATTTGGGCATGTTGTTAAGAGTCTTGTATCTAACAGTACTGTATTGAAGAAAAAAAGCGTCGTCATTATTTTTAAGGTTGGAGTTGCTTGGCTATAGGAAATGTTTCAATAGTTGCTAGAATAAAATTTTAGTTTGCGGGCATGGTCTGTCTTCATTTTTCCGCTTCGAGCTTTCATTGAGAGTCGTTTTTGTGTTTGGAATGTCAGTTTCTGGTGAGTTGGGGTTCACCTTTAATGCTCTTCTAATTGGGTTTTCATGCCAGGTTTGGTGGATAATAATAATTGAGCTCACCTGATGGTTTTTTATTTCAGGGTGGAGGTATGCATTTAGGTTCAGAGTTCAACAATCAAGCTGGATCTTCCATGCAAGTGGATAGAGGATCATGGATGTCTGGCCCCCCGGAGAGTTCAAGTTCAGGACCGCCACAATTGGTTCCTGGTCAAATGGGCCCTGGAAGCCAGTCGACTCGCCCCCCACCTGTAACATAGCTGCAACTTCTCATATTTGACTTCGGCTGGAGCTTTTATTTATAGCTTGAGTTTTCCTGTCACGCCATCTGACTTTTGTGCTCATTGTGCAGTTGACCCCTGATATGGAGAAGGCACTGCTTCAACAGGTCATGAGCCTCACACCAGAACAAATTAACCTCCTGCCTCCAGAGCAAAGGAATCAAGTGCTACAGCTACAGCAGATATTGCGCCAATAAACTTGTGTGAATTTTTGAAAATTTTCATACGGAAGTTAGATGGACAGCTTTAAACTTAATTTTTTATTTATTTATCAGAGATACGATGGGCTATTTAGTAATCGAAGTTATGTCACATAAATTTGTTACTTATCAATGAGTTTTTAATTGATTGTATGCGGAGGAGTTTGATGCAGAATGTCTTGTAACGTGAAGGTGTTGTAATTGTATCTTTGGAAATATGCTGCCAATTACTTGGCGCAGTTTTCTTGTTAGAATTTAAGACTTGAATTTCCTTCTTCTACTCACCTACGTCCGATCCAGTGCAAGTGTTCATAGGATCTAATGGCACAATTTCTCAAAACAGAGCACTAATCTTTTTGTTCTAGTTGGCAAGAGCATTGCTTTGCTGCTTTTCGTGTAATTACAATCCCAGTCCAGTCGTCGAAAGTCACAATGTAAAGAATGAATAAATGAACTACTAGATGTAACCTTCAGGTGTTAAATCTACATCCACTGTAGTATACACATACAGAAACGAACAAATGTTAACAAGACTAAACCAATATCACCTAAATATAAAAACAATGGGTTGACTAACTACAATATGGGACGCCCTTCTATAAGGAAGAGAGACAGAGCTTGGTGTTAGTGACATTGGATTAATGTTGTTGAGCAACAAAATACATTAGAATTGTACGTATGCTAAAAGCCAAGAACAAGTAGATGTGTGCACTGTCGAGTCTCAATTGATAACATTTTGTTTCAATGTTTACTCCATTGCTGCCAACTCCATCCTCTTCGAAGAAAAACTCCATCGCATCCATGTCACGGTCCAAGTCTCACATAAACATTCGCATTTTCAGACAGAAGCCACAACGCAGCATGATTAGCATCACATGGCTAATTCTCATAAGCATATTTTGCTGTTGCCAACAATTCTTGCTCAAGGTACTTTTCAAAATGCACAACTCTTTAATCTTCGTCTTCCCGATCAAAGCCTTCATCATCGTCACTACCATCTGAACCCATGCATGAAGCTTCATCCTCACTCTGCAGATAAGAACCAAATATTTTACTCTCATTGATGCATAAATTCATAACAGGCTCTTATTTTTTCAACTGATCCTACATAAATAGTTAAGGAAAACAAAAAGCTGTCCTAGAGAAAAATTCGAACTCCAACCCAGGCCATCTAATCCCACAATTTGAGAGACAGGATAGTAAATAGATGACAATGCGAAACAGCATATCTCACTTGGACAAATTCAGAGGCACGATGAATCTGGTCGGGATCTCTTGAGCTCGAGGTACTCTCATAAGCTATATCTTCAGAAACACCCTGCTCAAAATAAACAAAACTATGGTCATACACATGAGCGAACACCCACCATGCAAAAGCACAAAATCTACCCTTATATTGCACAAATAAATTTGCTTTAAATAATGTCAAAGACAAAACTAAGCAACATATAGGAGCATGCACATCACCACACTGGTATATTAAAAGATTCTTTTTTCTTTCAAGAGGGGGTAAAAAAAAAGGTAATGTGACTATTAACTTACAATTTCTGAACTCATTTGCTCTATGGTCTTCTCCAATTCAGATATGTGCTGACTAAGAGCCTACATAAGATCAAGTATGAGGTGAAGGCCACATCACAGAGAGAGAAATATCAGTGGACGTGTAATTCAACAGAAAAACTGGGATAGAAGAAAAGAAAAAGAGAAACCTCATGGCGTTGCATGGCTACTGAACGTTTTAATGCTTTTGCCTTGGTTAGAAGGTTCCTTGGCCTCAAGGTAATGGGTCGCTGATAATTCTTTCCACGATAGTAGACTAGAGCAAATCCTTTGGGGACTCTCTCTATTGCCACAAGTATTCCACCACTCTCAAATTCCAATAACCTAGCTGTATCTTCAACAAAAGCAAGGGTCTTTTGCTTGCTTATTAATTTCACAAGTTCTCTGTGCTTCCAGTGCAGATGCATGTTTTCGACAACGCCATCAAAAACACCGCGTATGCCTGGTACAATATGAGATAAAGACCATCAGTGTTTCAGCTCTCCATCTTCACCCAAAAATAAAAAAAAGGATTACTCACCAAGAGGCAAGTATGCTTTCATTCTCAAACCAACCCTGCGAAACATAACCCGTTCCTCATCAGTGACTGTTTCCTGATCATAATCAGGACCTGCAGGAAGCATTGACGATTCTATCTTGGATAGGAGTTTCTCTGCTCTTAGCTTTTTGGCTTGGGCCTGTCAATGGATTCAGAATCTCAAACTCAGATATATTTATGAATCTACATACATATTTTCACCAAAGATTAAGTTATATATCTAACGAGTGTAAATGGTATATTTTGGATAAGACAACATATGTTGCAGAAAATGGCACCACCCTTGTACACTGGATCTGGATGTACACAACAGATAACACAAAGTCTAACTCCCAAGATTCAGAAAGTCTACCATATCAGGGAATACAAAAGAGAAATTTCAAAGACAAAATCAGCATATAGTGACATATGGACAGGGTTAAGAACATTACATATAGGCATATATGACTTAAATACATATACAAGTTACAACAAGCCTCTCCTTTTCTGAGATTAACAAGCCTTCTTAAGATTCAAAAATAATTATGTGAAACTTAATTCCGGAGCTACAGACAATAATGAAAGAGGCCCAAAGTCAATGGTGTACTTCAGAAGGAGTGGGAGTGTGAGACCCTTGCAAGCTAAAAGAAGGATAGAGAAAATACTTACAACACCTAGTTTATGCTCAATTCGTTTCACAAGCCTGGCATTCTTGGCTTTTGAATCTTCTTCAATCATCTTTTCACGTTCTTCAGCCGATATTTCTCTTCCCCAACGGGCTTGGGCCTCATAAAACTCAGCCAAAGTTCCTGCAAGTGCCTGTCCTTCCTCTGCACCTGAAGAAGCTGCATCTATTGCTTTGATCCGCATTTTCTCTTCAACATCTTGAACCTGTTTCGTCAATTCCTGTCTTTCAGCCAGAGCAGCAGCTACACTTGTTGGGAGAAAGTCCTTTCCACGGTAAAAGACAATGTAATACTTGTTTCTGAGCAGTAAAACGCCACCTGTTAATGTCTGCAAAATAGAAGAAATTATAAACCAGTGCCCTTTCGTCTTTATTCTACACAGGTTCCAGAAAAAGATTGAAACCCAAAAAACAAAACCTTAAACCTATTTGACAAAGAGAGAAAGAGACTGAACTAAGATTTGCTAGCAAATGCAAGGGAAAAGTGCTTCTCATCAATATCAATCAAGTAATAATAAAAAGTGAAGAACAAGAGACAATGTAGGACGGACCTTCAGCTCTTCAGCCATCAATTTGTTGTTTGTATTCTGGATACCTCGTTTGACAGCAATCTTTGCCACAGAGCTTTTCTCCCAAAGTTTAATAATAGCAGATGCCAATCCTTGGTGGTTTCTATTTCTCCCTTCAATAAGTTAAGCATGAAGTGTTATGTCAAATATTGACGTGGTAAACTAAAGAAAACTACACAGAAGGAGAATTTTACCAAGGGCAAAATGACAAGGAAGTGATTTAGCAAGTTTCCGTAAATTAGTCATCTCTGCATTAGTCAGCCGTGATCGCATCCCGGTAGGGAGAAGCCTGAAAGGTGTTTTGTAACCAGGAATTGTCTTGGGAAGTAAATCAGCATCAACAGGAAGTACTCCTGTACCCCACCACTCAACAAAACGCGGACCTAAATCATCCAATAGGCTGTTAAACTCAGCTTCCTCCTCCGTCATGTTCAGAAGATGTGCTGGGATTTTTACAGCTTTCTCAGTATTATCTGGACCTGAAGTTGCATCATTGCCACTTCTTTTTGCCGAAGTTTCAGCTGAAGAAACATCTGGGATAAATAGAGCACCTCCTTCCCTATCAACAGTTTGGGATTTAGAAGGCCCTTTGTAGTTGCTCCCACGGTACACAACCATGACACTTCCTGATCTCCATAAAACTAACCCTCCTGTTCGACGCTGACCATCACTACAAGCAGTCAGTTACATTAAGAAAGTAAATGAAATAAATAACAGTAATAGTAAATGGTGCCAACAACTCCTTCTTGTTCATTTCTGAATTCAAGACAGGTTTCCAAGTTGTATTCAGCAAGAATTGCATCCAATACACAATGTAGACACAAATGTAAAGAATGGATCATAACACCATGTAAACTGAAAATTCAAGAACTGAACAAACCTCAACAATCTCGTGGGCTGTCTTCATATCTAATGCCAGCACCTCATGGAACTTGAGCCTCACCAGCTCCTCCTTCCTCCACGTATCATGAATCTTCTCCAGCACGGCCTGCGTGATCCCGGCCTTAGGCACACTGATCCTTTCCCTAAGCACCATGCCCATTCTCCTCAACCGCTTCAGCTCCTCGTCCTCAATTGTCAATTCTGCCAATGACGGAGCTTTCACTCTCCTCTTCCTCAATCCTTTCACCTCCTCTTCTTCACTTATTTCCTCCTCCTTCTCCCATGGCAGTGCCACCTCATCATTGCTCTTCTGCTCGGCCAATACATAATCGGGCCGGACCCACTCGCGCTGTAACAAATCTCCGAGCTTCTCTTCTCCGCTTGCGGGCGGCTGCATTGAATCCTGACCGTCCAATTCAAGACCGTCGTCTTCTTCCTCATCGTCGGACCCTAACCCTAGGTTCCGCAACCTAAGCACGATTCTCTCAATCGCGCTCTGGCCTTTGTTCTTATCAAAGTATCGAGTGGTGTTTGCTTTAACGGCTTGGTCACGGCCGTGCGATTCGTTTACCTTTTCGTTGACTTTTTGGCGGGGTAATTCGGCCGAAGAGTTTCGAGGGGGCCACTTGTTGAGCCAAGGAGCGGAGGGGGTTCTGGATTTGTGTGAGGGTTTGGCGTTCGGGTTTCCGCTGTGTTCGGTGGCTTTGAGAGAAGAGAAGGGTTTAAGGAGGCGAAATGACGGTTTTGAGGCTGAGAAGAGGAAGTTGAGAGAGGAGGACGAGTGAGAGGTGAGTGGGAGTGAGCTCCTCAGTGGCATTTCGGAAATTTTCGCGGTTGTGAAGGCCATTGTAGTGAGTATGAAGTAGATTGAGCTTATTGTCGCTGCTGCTGATGGTAGTGTTCGATTTTCTCTAACATTCTCTGATTGCTGGGAACTGAGAAAATTGTGGAGAGAAGGGAGGTTGAAGAAGACTGTCCCTGTAGTTACAGTTGGGGGGAAGAAAGAAGATGATAAGATATTTCTGGGAAAATTTCGGATATGTTTCTTTCTTATATATATACCTATGGAATTTGATTGGGAGGGCGCGTCTGTAATTTTATCGGTGGAGCACTCCTCGTGATTTTGAGAGTTTCTTTTTCCTTTTTTTTCCTTTTTTCTTAAAGTAATGTTAAATACATCCCACTATATATATGTGTGTGTTAATAATTTTCATTAAAATTCCTTGGCAGAACAAAGAAAGTAAAAAAGCTCTTTATTTCATATATATATTAAAAAATATATACAATTATGCAGAAAAAGAAATGCTCTTTTTTTTATTTAAAAAAAGAGCTAATAAATGGCCAAGGCCTTGATATGGTGCAGAAAAATTGATCAAGCATCCATGACATGACATGACCCATATACAATTATGCAGCTTTATGGTGATGAACCTCAACTGTTAGGGCTCCACGTACATACTTACTCCCTATCTGTAAAGGTCTTCATGTTAATTAACTGGAGTTAATTTATATACACACACACGCACACACACACCATAAATAACCATTTAGGTTAAAACTCAAAATTGAAAAGAGAGTGGCTCAGATTCCAGAAGATCTTCTGCTAAAAGAAGGAGATGAGTTAAGAATTTCCTGGCCAAGCTCCTTGATCTTGTTAAGAAGTAGTGTTTGCTCAGTCTCAAGTTGAACCATGTACTCTTCTTGTGTATCCTCCAGGGCTTCTAACTCACTCATAGCCGTTGACAGCCCTTCAAGATTGCCATCCTCAATTAGAGACTGAAACTTCATCATCATTTGTTTCATCTGACCAAACTCACTAGTGTTAGGGAAAAACAAAGCATTGGAAGTCGTTTCATAAAAATTCTAAGAATCTAGCAATGGAAAACAAGTCTTCTCACCTCACTGGAGATTTTGTGTGCTTTATTTATAGATGGTTCAGAATCTAAACTCGATCTTTTCTCCAACTCCGGGACTCTTCTTGTGACCTGAATATGGATCTCCCCCCTTTTCACACCCTGAAGGGGTATCCACTTGTCTGACATCTGGTTTGGAGGCAATCTCTGGTATTCCACGACACAGTCACCTATACTTGACGTCGGTAGTAATGCATTGTGGTCTTTCACATGCAAGAGTAAGGGGCTGCCGTCATCAGGGAATTCCAGGGTCTGATTCCAATGGGGATTTAGAGTTTTGTACATAACCTGCAAGGCAAGACATCAAGCATCTAGAAGAGACCTTTCTTTCTGTTCTTTTATTTTTATTCTTGGGACCAATAGCAAAGTAATAAGAGATCACAAAGAACATAAAAAGGATCATCACTATGAATGCGATTGCTCAAACCTTTGTTCTTTTCTTCAAGTTCCCATATTGAACCCTCACATACGGATCACTTGTCCCTCTGAGATCAGCAGCAATAAGGTCTTTTGCTTCAATGAGAACAAGTTCAATCCAACCATTATTTGAACCCGCAGCCTGAACATGCCAAGAAGAGGAACAAAGGAACAGAACCAAATTAAACAAGAAACAGTCTAGCAGAACAATCTAGCCACCAACACACTGATAATAGCAGTAACATTGATCCACACACATATGAATGAGCAAACAGACTGAAACATGATGTTCCCATACCCTTGATCCTTCAGAGCCTTCAACTCTGACTGCTTCTATTTGAAGCCTTAATTCTCCCGAATTTACTTTTTCCAGAGGGATCCAAACGTCCCTGATTGACCCCTCTACCAGTCCCTCTAAATTAACTCGTGCACTGCCGATGCAGTCGTCACCAAATGTGTCTTCATTGTAGCATTTTATCATCAGGTATTCACCGTCTCCTATCTCATCAAATTCAAACTTCTGATTCCAGACAGGACTCAAAGCATGAGCAGTACTTGTTCTTTGGAGACTCTGAAAAGAAGGTTACCGTGCATATATGGTGTTTATAATGTTAATTTTTAATTTGCACATCCAAGGAAATTATGAAGGGAAGAGAAAAATCTACCTTTCCATATTGCAATTTAACATATGGATCGCACTTTCCAGATCTGTCTTTAAGATCTTTTCCTTCCAAAACAGTTATGTTCACTTTCCTTCCAGTTATTGGTAGAAAATTTGATGACCCAAAAAGTGATCTTCGTGAGCTAACAAGAGAGTTATCCACATGTGAACCATCAGAGAATTGCCATTCTTTTAGGACAAGCTTCACTGTCAACTATATGATGCATTGAGTAAAACGTTGTTAAAATTAAAGAAAAACAAGGGATAAAGAAATCAGTCATAAAACTTTAAAAATGTTACCTCCCCTGAATTAACCCCCTCAAACGGAACAACCAATTCAACTTCTTTTCCGCAGAACTCAGCATGCTTCGCTATCACACCAGAGTCAGGTCCTATTGCCCAGAATATTGTTGAATCATCCTCAACATACTTTATCTGCTCACAGGAAGAACAATTCAACTTAGTTGACACTCAACAAGTTGTTGACTTCTGTGCAGAGAATATGTACTGAGACTAAGGGCTAGTAAGGATAAACACTTTTTATGCATCATTAGCTAGCTGTCATGTGTTTCTTGCATTGTCAATTGGAGTCAGGGATAAGTTTAAGTCACTTCTCGAAAATGAGGAGCATAAATAACATTTCAGCTTTTCAACCAAAACAATTCTATTGGAAATTTGGAATGGAAATTGTGCTACCTATCCCTTTTTTGGTAATAAATTTAACCCAACTACAGGCTTAGAAAATACAGTACATGAACAACACTCAACAAAGGTTTTTAAGCACATTTTTCAGCTTTGCATGTCGCATGTATCAAACTGTAACTCAAAAAGTACTTGTCAAAAACCACCAAGAAACAAAGACTACATATCATTTTACTGACCATGACTATAATTTGAAAATAATTAAATTTTGCATCTTAAGGATAGTACCTTAATTTCACAACTCGCCAGATAGTCATACTTCACATTGTTTGGCGTACACTCGTATAGATGGAATCGAAGATTTCCTGTTTCTTCATGTAACACCATGTTAAATTTCGAATTCCAATTAGGGTTTGAGCCCAAACTCACACGTGTTTTCCTAGTTAACTCTTCAAGTTCAACCTCCACAAATGTCTGCAGATCTTTATCAACAAACTGCTCTTCTGAATTTTTATCAAATTGCCTTCTGGATGGGCTTCCTCTCAAACCATTCCTAGAAAGTTTACTTGCTGAGATGACTGTTACATATATAATGCCTCCAACGGCCTTTTTCCTTAGATTTACAGCTGGCATAGTGTGACAACGGCGGCGAGGTTCAACCATCGTCTTAACTAAGGTGTCACTAAAAAGTTTAACCTGCAGAGAAAGCAATATATTATTTGTCAAATTATCAAGCTTTGCAAAAAAAATGTAGCTAGATGCATGGTTTTGATCATCTAAGTTTTCAACAATATAAGGTCGTATGTTTATTTACAGCAAGACTAATGTATGGACATGATACAGTTTCTTAGAGACAAAAACACCATTGCGATGGTCCCGGTGATAGAATAATGATTAGACCAAAGATTATAGAAGCAGGAGCTTTCCATGACCATTTCATGGAATGAAGCTTTGTAAATAGGGTTATCAAATTAGTACCAAAAAGTCTTGAATAATCTTTTTAAGGAGGCAAATTTTAGAGAATTAATTCAGCTGAATTTAAGTTAATGCAGTACAAATCAACTTTCATGCTTAGGAGTCAAACCAGCCAAGAAGAAACGCCAGGAAGCTCTGTAGCAGGCAGCGATTGGCTTCCACCGCTTCCAAAGGCAACTCCTATCCTCACTTCAGGAACTGACAGAAATGTGTACAAAATCGCTTTCCCATTCAAAACCGGCATCAGGAGAAGCTGCAAAAGGCAATTTAGTGGATAAATAACTACCCGAAAAAGAAAACTGAAACTGCTTCCTAAACAATCAGTGCCTTCATAAACAGTAGAATATTGTAGACTCGTAGAAATATGACATTACGTTCACAGAATTCCCTTTAAATACGGTATTACAAAATACATAACAGGAAGACTGCACCCAATGATCTGTGGTTTACACATCACAAATCTTGACCAAAAATAAATAATGCATGTCTGCCTGCCTATGTAACTAGTTTCATATGATAGAATCCTTTCAAGCTGAACTGTATGAGAAAAATAGAAAGGGGGGCTACTTTACGTACATCACCCTTGATGTGGAGACTATTTATAACAATCCGTGCAGTCCCCATAAATGGCTTGGCAAGCTTTGCAAGCAACAAAATGCTCATATCATTTGTATCCCAGTCAAAACCCAAACGCATGATTCTCTGTCAAAATGAGCATAGACAACGTATACAAAGATGTCAGGAATTTAGTACTGATACATTAATATCCTTTCTTCAAGAATAAATATGAACCACTGAGCAGGTGTAAAATAGTATAGTTCAAGACAAAACACTACATAAGGATCATGCTCAATAAAGTTTGATGAATAAAATAGAAACCAAACCTGATCACCTGAAGTGGACCAACGAGTCCCATGGAGACCCAAGCTAGGCGGGGATGAACCTAATGAAAACTCCAGCAATTCAACTCTTTCCTACATGAAAAATGGTCATTCTTTAGTTACTCATCAAGTATACCATATAGTACGGATGAATTCAAAGGTTCAAATTTTTATAAACAAACAAAGGAATAGATTACGTACTATAAGCCTTGATTTTCTGTGCTTCAACCGTTTCTGCACAAAAGAAACTTATACAATTAGCTTGATCCATTGACAAAATTTGTCTCTGTGCATGTTCAATGGACAAACAAGACGTCCTATTAAAAGCAGAAAATGGCAACGATAATGACCAAAACTTCTTTCAGCATTTTAAGCATTCAGTTACTGAAGTCAAATGACATTTAGGAAAATATACAATCAAGGAGTATCTGAAATTTTCTGCTCCACAAGAACATTCAGACATTGACTAGGCATAAGTGAAAATCTTAAAAACCATATTTAGCCTGACATCAAATAAAAGGACAAGAATATTCTCACCTCAACAATGGATGAAAATCTTATTGAAAGCTTTGGGTTCATATAGTTAGGCCATGTCTCAATCAGTAGCCTATTCAGCCATTCGCAGTGCTCCAGTGGAGTAATGGGCTATATAAATCAAAAGGATCACAAAGAGAAAATTCAGCTTTGATAAGCTAAAATTTCATACAAGAAAAGGGGAAAAAATGAGAACAAATACGGTACCGAGGTGTTCAGTATGACTCTCTTCCATTTCTTGTTCAAGTCTTCAACCAGTATCCGACGCTGATAATTCCCATACTGCAGATAGAATAAGTGACAGCTTATGTTACATCCAAGCATGTTTCCAATAGTTATCGTACTTACAAAAAGGATCATCTTCAATAAATCTCTTCAAAGTCCTAATTCATCAGTTTGGAAAAACATTACATCTCAACATGAGGAAACAACTTTATTTGGACTGAATAAGGAAACAACTTTATTTGGACTGAATAAGGAAACAACTTCACGCATCTTTTTAGTAAAATTGAGGTGCAAAGTATTCAGACGTGAAACGCAACAGAACAGGAACAGTTGCCAAAACAAAACAGAATCGAAAATGATGGGCACTAATCAGTAATAAATGAAAATAAATCACAACCATTGTATAAATTCTAAATTCCATATCATTTATGAGCCAATGGAAATCTTGAAAAGGGATGATCAGATTCCCACCTCTACAGACGAACTGCCTTGAACTTAAAATTACAAGACTCTATTAGAAAACAAAAGGAACAGAGTCACAACACCAATTGACAGAGAACTATAATACAAACAATAAAACCAGCCAGCAGGAGTAAAACACTTCAAAACTCCAGACCAAAAGTCACATTGACCTATCAATTCTTTCTTCCAGACTTATATAACCAACAAATATAAAACAGAAGAAGCAAATTAAACCTGTATAGTCGCCCACACAGCAACGGCAAGTGGAACCCAATTGGAGAAAGAGAAAACCCATCTCTCAATACCCCAAGCAAACAAAACCAGAGGTATCAAAAACGGAAGAAAAGGCTTCTCGTCCATCACATAGTTGAAGAACTCAACAGCATCCTCAACGCTCAAGCCTCTCACTTTTCTTCTACTCATTTGAGCAGGCATCCAGATATCTCAGACTTTACTTTCCTCTCTCTCTCTCTCTCTCTCTCTCTCTCTCTTCTCTCTCACTCTACATATATATATAACAACTAGAACCACCCAAGTCTCATCCTTTATTAAGAAAAAGCACTGAAGAGAATAAACCCACTAAGGGAAAAGAAATTCTGATCAGTTTTCTTTTTTTCTTTTTGCTAAGAAATTTCTGATCAGTTTTAGACTTGGTTTTATGAGAAAACGGACAAAGTTGAAGAATATATTCACTGTTTCAGATACTTTGCCAGTTGAAGAAGCTTAAACGGTGAAAGAGCTGAGAAAGAAATCTGAAGCAGTTGGCTTTCCCTTTCCATTTTTAGAGAGAGAAGAAAGAGAGGAAAAGTCAAGCCAGGGACACGGAGGAGAAAAGCCCAACCTTCTCTTTTTTGTTAACAACTATGAAACGAAGCGTGGCCTAAATTGTCCGTATAACCGCAGCTTATAGAAACTCAAAAGCGCTTTTGGTCCCCGCTTTAGCGTTTATCTATGTGGGCCCCCACCAAGAACCCGTCTTTTACTCCTGCGGCTCTCTTGGGTGGCAGGCTGGGCGGGACCCACATTGAGAAAAATAGAAGAATCTACTCGGCTTGATTGGATTATGAGTCTGATGCTGGAGTGATCCAACGGTTGATAATGTGCTTATACCAATTCTTTTGATGCGCGCGTTTGGTTTGACCTGGTGGGATGTATAGGCACTGTACTTGTCAGAACTGGTTGGCAGTTTGGGCATTGACGTTGAAGCTGGACTAACTCCAATTACCACCCACTCGCTTTTTCCCACGCCACGTCTGCATTTTTGTGGAACACCATTTGTTGTTTTCATACGTCGCAGCATGTGGGAGCAAGCACATGATTTCCGTTGCATTGTCATTTTTTCCCTATCTATTTCTTCATTCCACTTTCTAAAGAATGAGACAAACAGGAAAAATGGGGCGATGCAACGAAGGTAGGGAAGTATTTCTCCCACTACTTACATTTCTTTGTGAAGCGATTGGATTGTGTATTACATGCGCAGATCATACTTTGTGTAAACTCACATATCTCTGAAATTAAATAAGAAGAAGGGACAATACAACGAAGGTGTGGAAGTATTTATTCAACCACAGGTACTTCTCTTGGGATGCAATTGGATCGTGTGTTACACGCTCAAATTAGCAAATTAGCAAATTAGTGTTAGTGTAAACTCCTTGACTCCCCGTCCGTTGACCGATAGCTTGAAATCCATGGATCTAGACTTGGTGGGTGTGTATGTCTCTTTACATGGGACACCAACCCTCTTAAGTTTTTACTTTTACTAAGCCAGCCATTCCAGGCAATGCTGGTAAAACTCGGGCTGTGGGGTGGGGGGGGGGGGGGGGGGGTTTGCAAGGGCAAAAGGCTGGCCCTGGCAGGAGGTGGGGTCCATGAGCCTGGGCTGGCCCGAAGGGGAGTTAAGCCTGAGTTTAAGCCAGGGTTTGCTGACGTCAACAACAAAATTTTTATAAAAAAAATCTATAAAAAAAACCAAAAAATTCAGTATTTTTTTTAAAAACAAATACTTAGTCATATTTTTCACTTTCCACACAACAACTCTATACAAATTTCTCTCATCATATCTCATGTGAATAGTTGTTGCCATGTCAATGGGTGAAAACACCACAACCACTAGCGGACCCAGAAATTTTTTAGCAGAGGTGCAATATTGACTAAGTATGAAAAATGATTTTTTGGAATAATCATTTTCTCAAGATAATTTTTGGCAGCTTTTATTCCTTACACATCAAATAAGAAAACTTAATTTTATGGGATTTTAGTATGAAGTATATATTGACTTAATGAGCCATCATTTTTAACCTAAATCGTATTTTGCATTAAAACCGAATTTTCATATTTTGATTTGGTGGGAATTTGATTTTCTAGTATTTTTATTTGAATCCAAATGGGGGGGTACTTCCTTATTTACATTGTAAACTTAAGTAAATGGAGTAATATAAAAATAAATAAAAGTAAAAGGACAAAGACATTTACTTAAATGTTGAAAATGGAAATAAGGTAATCTGTACGCCAGTTCAAAAAATGGGCAATTTGAAGCACCCACAATGGTTTTTCCGGCAAGGGGAGGTGCAGCTGCACCACCTTGCGCCTTACTATGTCCACCAGTGACCACAACCTTTTGCAATGGCAACTACTATGTTGGAAAAACAATAATCAATGACTAATTAAAACAATTATATAAATAGAATTTATAATAAACTGTAATACAGAATACAATATATAAACAATAAATGAAACTGACTTGAATTCGAGATAGAAGCTTGCAGATTTGATGCAATGTCCTAAAGACAGTAATTTCACCCCTTCTCGGTGCTTGAAGTTCTACATGTGACTATCTCCTAGGATTCAACTATCTGTATTCTAAGCCCTAGCACTCGGACTTAGAATCTGGTGAAGGTTGTTTGTTTTCCTCTCATACAAGATGAGATGCTTGTGAATGCTTTTTCTGTGTTTAACGTATGAGGCCTTGTTTGATTTAAATAAACTTCTGAAACCTTATCAGAAGAGTCACAACTATTAGAAAACAGTTAATAAATACATTTACTTAAATGTTGAAAATGAAAATAAAGTAATATGTACACCAGTTGAACAAATGGGCAATTTGAAGCATCCACAATGGTTTTTCCGGCAAGGGGAGGTACAGCTACACCACCTTGCGCCTTACTACGTCCGCCAGTGACCAGAACTTTTTGCAATAGCAACTACTATTCACGTGAATAGTTGCTGTCCTAATCCCTCCTCTTGCCATGACAAAAGGTAAATGGGTGGAATTGTTCTAAAGGTTATTTCCAACTTCTAGGACCAAAGAGCATTGGAATTTGTGTTTCTGTAACCCCATTGACCAGCACAAACCATGGTCAACCGGTCATGCTTTTTTTCGCATGATTATTATTCCCTCAGCTTAAATAAAATGGGAAAATCTTTTTAAAAAAATATTAGGGAAGTAAATTAATAATAAGCAAGTGTGGCAAAAAAATAATAATAAGCAAGTCAGACGAGATTGGCTATAAACCTCGACGTCTCAGACTAATCAAGTTGAGTTCAGGAATCGTGGAAAATATCTAATTTAATTTGATTCTTAAACATGGTTGTTCGGTGGTGCAACAGACAAAGACAACTTAGCCACCTACCGCCTCCACACAAAGCAATAATTAAGTTAGCGTCAACCTTCAATTATATTCTGCGCATATATATATATATATATATGTATATGTGTGTGAGTTCCCCCTCTTTCTTCTTAATTTGGCAAACAAAAAAAAAAAAAAAAAAAGATGTTAAGGCCTAGTTTGGGATTGCTGTCACTTTTAAAAAAAGTTGCTTCTGCTGTGCTTTGAAAATAATTAGCTGTAAAGTAAAGCAGCTCCGTGTTTGGTAAACAATATTTTTAAAGTGCTGTTAATACAAAAAGCAGTGTCAAAACCGTTTGGTAAGTTTTAATATAAAATTGTTGTAACTGTGAATAATGACTAAAATAGACATGATGTTAAAAGTGTTATGTACTAATCATGTGGTAGTAGTGGTAGTGATGGAGTGGAGGTGGTGGTGATAGGGATGGCGCTTGTGGAGGTGGTGGTAGTGACAGCATGGTGGTGGAGGTGGCAGCATGGTGATGGTGGTGGTGTTGGTTGTGGAGGTGGTGGTGGATGTGGATGTTTTGAAGGAGGTGGTGGTTGTTGTGGTGGTGGTGGTGGTGGTGGTGGTGGTGGTGGTGGTGGAGGTGGAGGTGAAGGTGGTGGTGGTGGTGGTGGTGGTGGTGGTTGTGGAGGTAGTTAATGTGGTGGTGTAAGTGGTGGAGTTGGATGTGGAAGTGGAGGTGGTGTTATTTTTTAAAATGAATGATGGTATTTTGGGAATTAAAAAAATTCATTAAAGGTTCATCTCTGCTTCTTTTGAAAGCAGCTTTGAAAAGCAACCCATAGCCTGCTTTTAAAAGCTGCTGTCAAAAGGTCACTGCTTTTAAAATAATCGAGATATTTTATTTTTACCAAACACCTAAAACTGCTTAACTTTAAAGTGAAGCAGGTTTTTGGCGAAAAAAAAGCAATCCCAAACGGGGCCTAAACCCATCCTTATTATCCTCACCTCCTTTGCAATAAAGTGACTTTATTTGTAATTTTATTTATTCTATGGGTCAAGACTGGATTAGAGAAAGTGATTGATCATGCAATGTATTCACATATACTTTACAAGGATGATACAATATTTATTAGAAATTAACTTTTTAATTAAATACCAGACACAGTGAAGACCTAGACTTTTATTTTTTAAGAGTTCTCTAGAAGCACATGTCATAGACTCATAATGACAATAATTAACAATGATCTATCCAATTTCAATGTGTGAACATAATTAAAAAGCCCAGTAAATGTGGGGTTCGGTGATATTCTTCAACAGGATCAAGCTCTTTCATTCAATTCAAATATGAGTCAAAGTAGGCACACTAAAAGGAAGAAATAAAAAATTACATCTTCATCATCATGAGATCATCAAGTTTACGGTTCGATCGTCACTGTGGGGGATGATGAGATGAGATGAGAGGAGATGAGATATACCCCACACATCTTTTAAATTGACTGATGTTTTATCAGCACTAGCTAGCTGTATCCTATATGAATGAAATCATCACTGTGGGGGACGATGAGATGAGATATTCCCCACTCATCTTTTAAATTGACTGATGTTTGATCAGCACTAGAAGATCATAGATGAGTTTATTGAACTATTAGATTACTGTGATGATGAGATTAAATTAAATGTGGATAAATACACGAAATCTAAATGCAAAAACTCGAGCTCCTTCCTACGCGTCACTCTCTCAACCTGCGTGCTGTCTGTTTCGATCAAATGCGAAGAGAAAAGTACATATGGTTAAGAAAAGCTATATAGCTGATGAAAGAGGGCACAGATTATGAGTTGTTGGTGGGTGGACCGCATATGTATTAATCATGACATGTTCTTCGGTTTCTTTCCTGCCAGTGCCCGGGGACCATCTATATATATATCAAGGACTCGATCAACTACGTGACTTTATGGACTACAGCTTGGCACTAGCTTCATTTCGTATATGCTTTTGTCAATGTATCAGTTTAATTCCTTCTCCTTGTACACGTAGTTAACTATGTACTTAAGCACATGAATTAATGCGAACACCAGCAAAAATTTAATTAATGCCGCCGAGCTGTCTAGCCCGTCCCATACCCATGCATGCAGCCCTGTTTTCACAAAGAATCACTGTTTAAAGCCATTGCCTTAGGCTCAATGGGATAGACGGCATACCACCAACTTTGAGCTAGTGGCGGAAGAAATGAGGTAGCTAGGTAATGCGGTTGACATTGGGTTTTTGGGTGAGAGAGGATTGACTTATAACCCTGTGCTGTGTAGCCAGCTAGCTAGTTAGTGACACAACTGTGTTTTGGTCGAACAATTAGCCTTAATCATTTTGACACCAAAAGCTTTAATTAAGCAGTCTTTTTCTAGGAGGAGTAGTTGCCAGGAAGGAAATAGATGGCAATTGTATTTTTTTTCTCTTTTTCGCGCATTTGCTAATTAACTAAGGAAATTGAAACCACCTGCTAACTGGCACCACAACCAATTTTAGAAGTTCTCCTCTAGCTTTTGCTATTGGAGAGTCCAAGCCTTCTGTTTTTTATCTTTCTGGGTTGAAAGTCCAAGCTTTCATACAAGGGGCGTTTGGGCATATATTAATATCGGACATGTAAGTGTATCCCATCCCACCATATCATTAAGTAAATTGTAAAGTGAGAGATAAGACTCGAATTTAGATACAAGGAGACGGATTCACTATCCTAAACATCACGCAACTCGTAAAGAGAAAAAGGCAGAGAGCTACCTAAGAAACACGAGAACATCTTGCTGCTTTCTTTGCCTTTGCCCCTAGCTTCCTGGAAGATGAACTCATAAAAAATAAAATAAAAACTCCAACGCTCCACCGATAAGCCCTCAGATTCCAACACCTCACCTCCCATCCCATACATATCTCAACGGTCATCCCATCTGGCACACCTCAATTGGCCCAATCCCACAATGTCGGAAACCACCAGCACACACATTTTAAATCCATATATCCAAACACACATATGGCAAAACACGAGAGCCAATTCCACTCATCCAATCATAGGCACGCCCGCACTCGATTCATGATCATGATACATTTGATTTGAGTACGGAGCTTCCTTCAAAATTCTACCCTCTAAATTTGTTTCAACCAATCCCACCTAAATAGGAGCAAGGCTTCATCACCCTCTTGAGCACACGTACGTTTCCTTTATTTTCCAAATTCCCATGCCTATATATGTTTCACCCTCATCTGATTTCTTGTACTTTTGAGAGGCCCTTGCATGCGCTTTGCTTTGCTTGCGCTCAAAAAAAGTGTCCCCACAAGTGCCAAATTCATATTTTTGATATATTTACAATGAGCCCGCATGCAACCAACAAAAGGGACGTCAACATGATCATCAACAACAATAACAATAATAATAATAATGGTTTGTATCCGCCTCCCTCATTGAAGATCAACAAGGACTCCCATTTCATCAAGAAATCGCCCTCCTCCTCCTCTTCCTCCCCGTCATCGTCCGCCTCCTCGTCCACGTCATCGCTAGTGAACGCGGTGGCGGGATCTGCTGGTGCGAGGCCGCCGCAGCAGCAGCAGCAGCGCCACCCGGTTATTATCTACACGCATTCGCCCAAGATCATACACACGCATCCGCGGGATTTCATGGCGTTGGTGCAGAAACTCACGGGCCTCTCGCGCTTCGACGAAGATGCACAAGCGCCGCCGCCGCAGCAGCAGCAGACGCCGAGGACGACGAAAGCAGAGAGGGGGGAGGGTTTGTTGGAGGGGGAGATGATGAGTGGTAAGGGCGCCAAGGTTGTGATGAGAAACGAGGATAACGACTCGTCGTCGGTGATCACGACGGAGGAGAATTGCAGCAGCACAAATATTATTAATAGTAATATTAATGTAGGGGTCAGCGTAGGCGTAGGAGGAGGAGGGGATGGGCATGTTCAGATGAATTCATGCTTTGTGCCGCCCAATCCTTATATCGGAGGGATTCCGGTTTTTACCCCCAACGCCGCCGATTTCTTTAGCTCCAATCCCATCAACCACCTTTTTACAATATGATCATCATCATCATCATTATCCACGATACATGATGATCCATGAGGAGGAGGCCTACGTACGTGACCAATTAAGGGAAGGATTTTCACTCTTTTTGTTTAGAGTTAATGTTTGATTATTGGTTTTGGTTTTTTTTATTTATAAATATGGGTGCCTGTCATGTCAGCTGCCAATAAAAGTTCTAATTTTCTGGGGTAGAACTTTTTTCTGTGAATGAATATTGTCAAAACACTGTTGAAATTTGAGTTAGCGTTTGTTTGTTCCTATCACTTCATAGTTAGTGTTGTTTATATTTTAATCTAATTATATACATATAGCTAAGCTATACAAAGTATTGGTTCCTGTCTCTTTGCTTCATTCATTCCTTTTGAATTTCTGTTTATGCAAATGAAATGGATTGATTTACGAAACAGGCAAAGATAAAGAATTTGTTAGATTATTGAACAGTTGCAGCAGCAGCTCTACGATTTATCCTTCCTTCCCAGTTGCATGCCGAAACTGAAAGCCGGAGTAGAAGCAGTTCCTAATTAAAATTAAGAATAAAATGGACAGAAGAGATAAGTTTACCCACATTTGCATTTTCTGATCAGGATTCTAATTATAAACAACTTTATACAGAACAGCGGGGATACAAACCAAACCTTTTTATTTTTTTCCATTTTCTTAAATTTCATGAGTTTATTTCGACTTCCTTCTTTGTTAAGATATACACTCACTTCTCTCTATGTGACACAGAAACCGTTACATAAACATACAATACAAATAATTACAGCATCATTTCTTCTTTTTCTCCTCCTTTTCTCTTTCAAGTATAACGGGAGCCGCGGGTATGCTGAACCACCACTCTCGCAATCTTCTCATCCATCTCTCCGTGCTAGCTCTTCTCAGAGGCGAATACCTCGTGAACATCTCCAAAAACATTAATAGAAAAACATATCTACTGGGCACGAAGGCTAGAGTCAAAGCTGCAACTACAAGAGCTACCGCAAATTTTTCGCTTGCCTGATCACCATTACACAAAAACCCAACCAAGTATGAGCATTTTACCAAAAGGTCAAATGTAGCAATAGAATTTACTACGAGCATACATAATGATACTAACCAAAGTCGATGTGTTTATAGTAAATATATTAGCCATAGTAGAAAGGTGGAGGAACCAAGCAAGGCCAAAAAGAGAGAGGAACCTGAGGAAAAAGGGACAGTAGCAAGGCACGTATCTTGAGAAGAACAACATTCCCGTCCTGGATGATCCCTTCAGCTTGGGAAATTGCATTCTGAACAGCCAAAAGCTGTTCCATTGTATTCATTGCCGGAGGTGCTAACACTTTAACCTCATGAATAGACTTCCCTTGGCTAAAATATCGGGTGAGGGCCATGAAGACCGCAATAAAGACAAGCATCAGTGCAAAGGCATAGCTCAGCCATCCCCTGAAATACACACCTTTGTAAGCCTACAGGAAAAGATGCCTACCAGTGTGCCGTGTGGAAAGAAACACAAGAGCATCAAAACCCTAAGAAACCCCATTGTCCATACTCTCTTTCTTCTCTAGCTACCCCGCTTTCTCCTGGCCACATTTCTCTCCCATCCCATAGAGTTTTTAAGAAATTTAGTAACACATTTTACAGAACGCATTTCTAGGGGTTGTTTTCTATAACCCGAAATTATGTTGCCCCCAGAGCTCCTGCATAAGTCTGGATAAAGATTATTGAGTAAAACAAGAAGGTGAAATTTTAACTGGCAGTTTACCTGCAAATGATGTAAGTGAAAACACCACAGAAAACCAAAGACTTCATTGGATCCTCCCAGAATGCTAAAGAAAGAAGGCACTTCCCCAGTTCCATAAATGGAAACAGTAACTCCTGCAAGTACTCAATAGATTTAGAAAATGGAGCAACTCATAAGCTAGGTGAGAGAAGAGTGCAGTAGATTCAGATTCATCGCCCAAGTGCATGTGATAAGCATCAAGTGGTTATTTACAGTAAAAATTAAAGGAATAATGGCAAACAATGCCTCAAAAGGGAATGAGAGATTCTATGGCATCTTCTGTCCACTAATTGGGATCACTAATCAAACATATAACCAAATACCTTCATCACTGCAAAATTTGTATCAATGCCTTCCACTTTGACTCCATCTACTGTTGCTTGTGCTTGCGCCACTTTTTCATAGTTGCTTTTAGATTCCTTTACTGCTCTTTCCAGCATAGTAACTTCTCCCACAGTTATCTCACCTACGGCAAGCCCAGCCTCAACAGAATTATTAGAACTTGTTCCAAATGCAAAGCCCAAGTTAGAAATCATATCCAAGGCTGAGATCGAATACATTCCACCTCCAGGTTTAGAATTGCTAGACCTATCTAATTCCCTTACAGTTGACAAATCTGCAAGGGTTTCAAGTATCAAATCTCCACCTGGTAATTGATCACAAAGATTGAACATTAAAAGAGCCTCGTAGCGTAAAGGATTTGCAGAACAAATTTCTTGAATGGCCTGTAGTCGCAGAATCCCAAGCACAGCCTTTGAAAGAGCTTCATCCCGTTTAACCCCCTTGATCTGGAAATTATTTATAAATCTATGAACATATAAAATCTCTCTTATGATTGCTAGCCAATAATCACGACGAGTATGCCCCTTCAGCTCAGGAAACTCAATTACAGCTGGTTCTGATCTACAGAAGAAACACTGTTGATAATCAAGTTCTAATAAGAAGACTTTCTTTAATGGCTACATCACAGAACAAGTTTAGATACTTAAACAATAATAAGTATATAATTAAAAAAATCTCGCCAAAACAAATAAGTAATGCATAACTTACAATGAAATTGATTTATAAAAGACTGCCTTGTCAAAAAGTCTAGTACCCCATGGGCCAGTCAACTCAGGTTTCACAACCTGTTTTAGGTCATCTGATAGATCATATCGTTTTGCCTTGTCATAAGATACAACACGTAGAGCCTCAAAGTAAAATGCATGGTCTGTCAGAATTAACCTTCCTGCTCACAAATGATAAACATTAAAAAAAATGGCTAAATACTGGATTATAAAAACACAGTTAATTTGGAATTACTCATCTTCATGTGTAGTAAACACCATAAGAAGAAATGACATGGATTTGATAATAGCCAACAAAGGTATTTAAATTATTTAACAGTCCCCAACCTACCAGGCCATGTAGAAATTCCTACATGCTCAAGAACTGGTTGGGTAGTGACTGTTCCATCCACTTCCAGAATCTTCTCTCCTCTTGGTGATCGCATGGCAGAAAGAAGTGATGACTCTGATTGGGTCCTCATTTTCCTTATTGCTCTGTATGAGAAAATTTTCAAAATTGTAGAACTAGATATGAATGTCTGGTACAGGGTACAAGAAATATGCTTCCAGAAATCCCATAAACTTGAACTTAGCGAATCCCTTGTGGAATTTGAATTCCATCAACTAACCAAAGTATGCATTCTTGGTTATCATAAGATCCATTTCAATTAACATCCACTTGAGAATGACCCCAACTCTCTGCCAGTGCAGTTATAATAGAATACTGAATACGTTGCCTTGGTTGATTGCTTATCTCCTTTTGTATTTCTGTTCTCTTTATCTATAAAGTTCTAGCTGCCTATCCTGTGTGCATGTGTGTATGTGCACACAATCAAACAAAAGAGGCTTTCCATCTAAACAATAGCTTATTTCAGCAGTTCAGAGACAGTTGATCCCTAAAATTCAGAAAAATAAAAAGGATAATAGCAACCTCCACCTTCCTCTCCCTCCCTTCCCTCAACCCTTAAGGCCCCTGGAGAAGCATACGGGTACCCAAAAGAAAATAAAAAATAAAATGGGAAAACAGCAAGTTAAAGGGGGAAAGAGGGAGAAAAATGCAAACTCAAATGAAGAGTGTGTACCTTTCTAGTCCACTTAGGTACTTGTCATATGTGGAGAATTGAAGCCTTCCACCAGTTGATGCTGTAAGCACCTCAAAAATGTTCTCACTGATAATGACGTTTGCAATAGTAGGAACTGCTGGAGCTATTCTAGAGAAAGCCTCTACCCCAACTGATAAATCCTCATCTAACTGCACAAAAGACGTGGGCCCCTAATGGACACATAGACATTAAAAATAAAAATAAACCAGAGTGCTAAATAATCCCTTGAACCCTAAACTATTATTTACCCAAACAGTCAAAACACTTCTTATTAAAAAGAATTTGACATATGACCAGAGATGTATATATAGTGATATCATATCACTGATATGCATACTAAGGAACTTAACCTACTTAAGTGTTTAGTAAGCAATGCAAGTAACAACGGGCAAAGACATCTCCAAGCACTGGGAAAAAAATTTCTAATGAAAATTGCAAAAGGTAGGGTAACATGAGATTTTTCTAACTTATGATTTCAACAATTTACAATATATATCAGGATTTAAATATCAAAATATCAACCATATAAGATATAAGCTTCTAAGAAAAAGGAAACAGCAAAACTCACAAACAATTGAAACTTACCGCTAGTATAGGTTGGCTTGTTGCAGCTGGAGCCTCCCAAGCTAGCATCATGTCATAAGTCAGGCGTCGAAACTTTCTATCAGCCAGATGACCTGTTACTTGAGTTGACAGAGCAAGTGCTCGAAAGCAGCAATATTCCAAAAAGTTCTTTGCATAGCACAGTGGAAGCTTTATAGATTCAGACGCCTCTGAATTGAAGCCTTCACAAAGCTCAGTTGTAGGAACACCAAGGATTCTGCATAATTTATTTGTTATTATTGGCAAAGCATTTCTTGAGACTAGTGACAATATTTTGCAAGTAAGCTATGAAGCCTGATATTCATATGAAGCACTCAACAATGAACAATAAGGTTCTAATGGAACCAAGAACATAACTTGCACAAATTTCATCCACTTTTACTGCGATACTGTAAGAGTTAAGAGTATAAGGTGCACAGCTGCAAACTTACTTTGAGCATCTACGGACAACTATGTTTGCAATAGGAGATAGCTCTGGTACCCAATTGGTCTGGGCTGAGGGAGACCTTCCCATCTCTTCCAATTCTTCATCAAAAGGGCTTCGATTTCCAAGCAACCATTTAAAGGATCCTTCTCTTACAAGATTCTCGAGCATATTTCTGGTTTTGCTTGCCATGGCCATCCCTAGTTTTCCCCCTCACTATGTATTTAAACTGTAAGGGAACACACTATCGTATATGTCAAAGTTCTTAAATTTAACTGATGACCACAATTGCACCAACACCACTGTCAAACCCTCACAGAACGCAATTTAGCCTTTCAATCTCTGAATTACTTTTCATAATAGTCGGTAAAGTTTAGCTTTTCAATATTATGATCTCACTTATCATAAGTTCATAACAAATTTCAGAAACTACAACATCTACCGAGCCAACGAGTTCACATAAACAACCAGATTAATCAGCAAAATCACTTGCTATTCGAATCCCAACAACCAAATTTCAGCAATAGCATTAACAATTTCTTTAACTTGCCACAGACCGATTCTAGATTACTTACCACAAGACCAAAATCAATCAACCCTAAGAATCAACAACTACTACCAGCAACAACCTAAATTTCAGCAACAACCTAAACCCAACAACTACTACCAGCCACAAGATAATACACTTACCACAAAATGCACATTCAAGCCCGCCCCTTTCTCAGCAATCTCAGCTTTTGAGGATAAAATTCTCCAAATTTCTGCAACATTTCACAAAACCACACGTTCTGGACCAGCATCTACCAGCCCACTTCACCAATTTCCGAAATTAACAGAACAACAACATGTGCTGCTAAAGCAAAGAAGAGTCGGTCCGAGCAGCCACGTAGAAGGTGCATCACTACTCTGTCGTGGTTTGGGGTTTATTATATTATTATACATGAAGGAAAACTCTGATTCTTGGATAAGAATAGAATTCGCGGCAACAGTGACAAAGGAGTTTTCGTCATCTCAAGCTTTCTTCGTTGAGAAAGCGGTAGCGGGTTATGATCGAATGAGCTAAGGTGCAGTGGATAGTTCAGTAGGTTCAGTAAAATAATTTCTTCTTTACCTAATACACAGACATGATACAACGCTCTCGACGCATATATGCGTTACACCAGTCGATCGCCAAGTGTCATTTCAAATACTTGCCACGTGGCACATCGGTTGGATCAACAATAGACAATGCCACCATTTACATCATCGTTATTGGTGTGATCTTCTTCCTTATTTTTTTGTTGGGCTTGGTCTGATCTTCGTCACTAAACAAAACTTACAGTAATAGTATTGTTTTGCTATCCTCGTCGAGTATCATTGTGTTATTGATTGGGATAGCAAAATAATGTTATTTATATGTTATTGTGTTATTGATCAGAATAGTTTCATCACCAGATGTTCATATCTTCATCAACTTGTTTAGCTCAGATTCGGAATTAATTGTTTATTATATTGGCATCACCACCATCATTGCTAATACTATTTATTAACAACAGCCATCCTCTTGGTTCAAAAGAAAAAAAACAAGGGCCTTATTTTTCTCATGTTTGTTTTGTCGGAGAGAGACATGAATGACTAAAAGCCCACGCCGGTTGAATATGTACCGTTTTAATTAGAGCCCATTTGTGAAGAAAAATAAGAAAGCCTGCATGGCCTCCCATTTCTAACATTTCCACAAGAACTTAAATCCATCCATCATCAGGGTGTGGCAACTGGGCTGACAGAAACTAAAACAATTCTTCGGTAAGGTATAGTATAGGGATTCTTGCTGCAGTCTCTTCTGCATAAAGAAATACAATCTGTCCAACATGTTCCCCTAGCCAATGGTGCCCTGCATGCAAAGGTACTAATTAAAGTAATGATTAATTATGGGGTGTGTTTAGTTTTAGCTTAACCATCACCATTTATTTTAGATTAGAGTGGTGGTGGTGAATCCAAGTACATTGAGGACTATATGCATTGCAGGTGTTATTATGACTCTGAGATGCATGCATGCACACACTAGACACAAGAGGGAGCATTAGGTTTCTTTTTCTATTCTTATTTTTAGTTTTGCCATGTAGTAGATAGTGGGTATAATGATTTAACATTTTGGACAAGCTAACATCTTCCACTTCCAATTCCAAAGTTGTATTTCTTCTAGGGTCCTTGAACTTGCCCATATAAGTTGTTACTACTTTCCCAACTTCACCTAATATGTGATCTGCTCAATCAAATCCAATTTGGGAATATTTTGGCACTATCCATTAACTATACCATGGGACCCTTGAGTCCTCTTCCTCCTCTTTGTTCATGCATATGCTCCAAAAGACAAAGCATATACCTGGTCAAAAGGGGGGCTCAAAGAAAAGAAGAAAGATTGAGTTTTTGAGTGGGATATGAAGAAGAGAAACAAATTGAAAGTGCTTTTGATGGAGGAGGTTCAAAAGCCCTTATCATTTTGAGAAGCCAGGAGAACCCACATTGCCCATGCTCTGGCCCATTCTAGCTGTCTTCTGCCCCTCCAAGTTTCATGGATGCAATGCATCTACACCTTTCCTTCCTCTCACAGCAAACTTGAAGACAAAAGAAAAAAACTATCCTATCTATCTTCTCTCTCCCCCCCAATCATTCACCTCATGAATTGGCAACCTCCATCAGATTTCATGTATCCATCTATTTGTGGGATCAACAGCTTATTACCCCCCCTGGATGATGGATTCAAGTCAAGAAGTTGCTTTGCTTGTCAGGTGTCCCTTTCAAGTCTCTGAAACTTTGGCCATCTGTCTCTGCTTACTACAAAAGCGCATTTGGTTCATGGGTCGTATTCAAACCATTAAGTGCCAATGAATTACTTCCAATGTCTTACCAGACAGAAGATATATGTGTCTCAGTTTTCCAAATTTCCCATGATCTTATATACACAACTTACAAGTTGATGCCAATAATGTCGTTCACACATTAGACAACATGTACTCGCTATTACTAATCATCAAGTTGACAACTTACTGCTTATCCACCACTTATAGTTTATGACTCAATCTGGTTTCAGACTAAGGGGCTGTTCAAATTATTTACCTGCAGACTGATAACCTTTTGTTTTTTTTGGGGGGGGTTACATTGGGAGTAAAGAAACCTAGGTGCCAAGCTAGGAGGAAGGGGGCGGGCCACAACCACTGTGGTAACTAGGGCTGGCATTTTAGACCAAAAACCACAAATACCAACTGAGGTTTTACCACATCTAAACCGACTTATCATGAAAACCGATCGCAACATGCGGTTTATAGAACCGACCGCAATATGCGGTTGCAGTTCCGCATATCCAAATAATGCGGTATACCACAAACCGCAATATGATTTAAGCATGAACATACCTTTTTTTTTTGCTGATAAAAAATTCGGTAATGTTATGTTGTTCCCTATACTGACAATTGAGATAGACCACAATATGTCAGTCGATTCACGATTTCATTGAAAAATTGCAGTAACCAAACTGCAACTACCCTTAGTGGTAACCCCGCTCCACCGATAACCCTTTTCTTAGTTATACAGAAATGTGGCCCAAGTTGAATTATGTTTGCCCATTGAAGTAAATGATATTTACGCCATTTACATCAAGTTGATTTTATGTTTCTTTGGACCCTATCTGATTTAGATAATTGGATTTGCTAATTTATGCATTGTCTGTAAAGTTAATTACTGATTATATTTATAGAACCACAACTAGGGAGAAAATTTTGACTGTATATTAATGTTGATAAATTTGCCCACATGAGTGAGGGTGTTACAAGTTTTGATGGTTTTCCACCACTTGCGCCAGACATAGCAATAGCGTGAAGTGGGGACAAATTGGATTTTAAAAATGAATAACATGCTGCAATGCGATGCAAGTATTAGGACATGGAGCATCTTCACGTGTTGAATGGCATCCAGTTCCATCCAAAATTGAAGTCAGAGGGGCCAAGTTGAGTGGAAGCTACCATATCCTCCATATCCTTCTCTTTTCATTCTCTCCAACTCTACTGCCTCGTAAACCTTTGCACTCTGCAACATGAAAAATAAAACATTCCATTATCATGCAACATACACAACCAACATATTATTAGTGTTTGAATTTCAGAGGCATTGCAGTACCTGCATTGTTTCCATGTCGTCTGTCTCTGAGTTGAAGTCGTAGAAAGAGCTTGCTGCAGTTAGCTTCATAGATAGGAACTGCATTCAAAAGGAAACTAAAGATTAGTTGCTTGAGAAGAACAAAAACAAGAACAAGAACAAGAATTTGGTCCTTAATTGTCAAACTAACCTCGACTTGGTTCTGCAAGGACTGGACATAATTAATTATTTCGTCCAACATTACCGCCATTCCCATTGTCTGTAATCACATCAATGCGTTCAAAATTATAATAGACTCTAGATTTTTTAAGTTAAGACATAAAGATTACTGAGAAATATCAAAGTTACCTTAGAGCATCCTGGGACAATGTTTTGCAAGCATCTGAGTCTTTCATTGATCTTTCCTCTTCTAACCTGATTGAGAATAAAGCAGCAGCAACCATCAACCCCATATTCACACAAATAATATATTACAACTGAACATGTAATTAGCAAAACTAACTAGGTCATTAATACAAGTATTCATTTGGAATAAAGAATCATATGCAAATTTACCCTTTCTGCTAAACTGTGACTATCAGTGGCTTGGCCTCTTCTGGCTCTGACATGAACCACGTCCTTTGGTTTCTCATCTTCTTTCTCGTTGCTTTTTTTGTGTCTCTTTCCTCTTCCTGAGCTCTGCAAATACACAGACCAAATCAGCTCATTCAGATAACATGAGAAATTTAGTGGCAAAATAAGAGAAAAAGTTTTTTAATGATTACATTTTTCCTCCTAACTCCAGTTTCAGAAACTGGGGGAGTAGAGATTCCAGAGCTGCTCTCTGATACATCATCCATTGCTCTTCTCTTCTTGCTTTCTTGGAATCCATTTCCAGCTCCAGCTCCTACAAGGTGCTGAACAGCAGGAGCCTCATCATTCTGGTTGCTCTTGTTGTCGTGATCAAAAAATTTGGAAAGTTTTGAACCAAGTTTCCCTGGAACTCAGGTCCCTGAGAGCTGAAGTAATTGTCATTGGAGAAAGGCATACAAGTCTGGAAATTCAAGCTTGAATAAAAGTCCAAGACATTTGGGTTAAATTGATCTGTATACTGGTGTATTAGTTCCATGTTTGTGTTTGGGGCAATATCTAAGAAAGGAAGTGAAGGTGCAATGCTTTGCATATCTGATGTGAATTCAGCCATTGGGTTTTGTATTTTACACAGTCCCCTGCTAGCTACAAGCTTAATTGGGTTTTTGGATAATGCGGGTGTGGAACTAGTATTTATAGGGACCAGGGAGCATGTAACCTCATTAAACAATTTACCTGAACATGAATGAGTGAGGGAGGAAAGGAAAGCATTTTGAGGTGGGCACGTGGCAGAGCTCTGTCTTCCCTTACAGGCCCCATTTCAGGAGATATATAATCCAATAAAAGAAAAGGGGTCCATGTAAGCTCTCGGCCCAGAGCAGAAATGGATTGAAAAAGTTTTGAAGAAGTTTTGAAGCTTTTCTTTTGGGTGCAGCTGTGCTGATAGGTTTTTGAATGGATTGAACAATACATTAAAGCCCAGAATAATCTTTTGACAGGAAGACAGAGCTAAGCTTGGCTTATCTTGGGCTAAAGGATCTTAATTAGATATGTGGTAAGTCCAACAAGCGTCTGTTTACAGCTCTGTTTGGGCCAGAGGAGGCCCTATGCAACTCAAAGAAAAGTCAAAAAACTACCACTGGAGTCCTTTTCAAAAACAAGTGTCTGTTTTCAGCTCTGTTTCTGCATCTAAACTTGTTTATGTTTAGCCTTGATTTGTTGAAGCTCTACTAGTACTGATTGCTACTGAGTCGCAATCACTAATGACTTTTTTTTGTTATCTTTAAGATTTGGTTACTGTTACAAGGTCAAACTAAACAACTCCTGTAAGTTAACAGTATATTGCTAGCCACCAACATGTTTGCAAGTAATTAACTTTTTGATGTAAATAGTTAATTTGCTGAATCTGGAATCAGTCACTATATAATTACCAATTTTGCACAAGAGAAAGCAAGTTAGGCAGGAATATGAATTAAGTAGTGAATCATGTGCAGATAAAAAATATTGCTGAAAAATATGTTGCATGCAGATGCAGATAGCCTGCTAGGTACATACATGTAATTATTATGTTTGCGTGTGTATTCAGATATCAAATTTGTTGTTTTCCTGTTATATAATCATCATCCATCATGTGGCATTGGCAGATCCAGACTTGGCAACAGAAGCAGTCACCGTTGATCACGCTTGATTATCTCTATCTCATAGAGGTCAACATCATCATCTCTTTCTTTCTCACTATCCAAATTTAATTGTAATTAATTTATGTCCACATGATTAAGCAGCCTTCTGTTCTGGTGTTGAAGCTTCTGCAGATAGAACAAGTAAGTAGGCCGCTCCTGCTAGGAAATTTTGTCATCCCTCCAATTGGTATATTGAAAAAAGAAATAGAGCATATCCATTTTCTTAATAATGGATACCACCAAAGTTAATTACTATTTCTTAATAATGGAGCATATCCATTTTCTTCCTTGATTTGATTTACTTCTTTGATAATTTCCAAATAAAAGATTGAAGTCATACTTGTTTTGTTGTTGAAAATGATACTTGGACTTTATGATGGTCTCTGTTACCAATCAAATGAACTGTGTTTGCTTATGTTTTCAAAGTGATATGAAATATACACGTATAAGCCAAAAGATATATGTCTTCAAGTAAGCACTAGCCTTAATAAGCAGAAAAAACTATCTTGATAACATTGTTTTGCTATATCCGGCCAATAATACAATGACATGTGGAAAAGTTATCCTTCGTGTGATTGCACTATTGGTCGGGAATAGCAAAAAGTATTACCCCCGTTGCATGAAAATCTCTCTCCTTAATAAGCCCATTTTTAGGTACTTTAATTTATAGCTTAAGCTAAAGAAAAATTGACAGAAGTACTCTGCAAGAAAAACGAGCCACTGTTGCCTAAGATACCATATACTCATTTATATACAGTAGAGAAGATAATAGTTTATTTTTCTTTTAAGAGTCAAATATAGCTGCCAGCACTGGAAACAAATTTTGCAGACTTTTCTCAATTTATTACCTCTTTTCATATCTCTGTCTCCGAAGATGATGGTGTGTGGAGGAACATAAACCACATAGGAAATGCCACTGTTTTTCACAACAGCAGGCAAGCAACCAAGAGAAAAAGAGAAAAAGGTTCATGTTCTAAGATTCCTAGTAAGCTTTAAAATGCCGCCCCCTCAACAAGCAAACACCAATACGCTCAACTCTTGTAAGTGCTGTAATATAATAATACCATAATGTTTTGGTCAGTCAAGCACGTTTCGTATTGAGCGTTTGCAGTGCAGCGGATCATCTAGAAAGAAGACACTGTATGAACCTTGAATTATTTGAACCTTTTCGTTTTCAAGAAGTTGACAACTCATCCCTTTCTTTCCACCTCTTGCTTTGGCCTTATTAATAGCGTTAATAGGTAGGTTGCATGATATTCCATTGAGTGAATGAATGAAACTCTACGCAGATGGTCAAAGCAAGAACATGATCTTATTAAATGCTCGAAATATATGTTTATTATTCCATCTCTTGAGACTGAACCGTAAACATTACACCTTTTGTGAGGGGTATTGAACTCGATTATTTGAATTAAAATTGGTAAGAATTTTGGCCGTCGTTTAGTGTGTTGAGATTGAATTTATTAAATAAGATAACAATCCAACATATCGTATCTTAATATGTCCCACCCTTCTCGGCCAATCTAGTAACAATGCAACAAAAAGAAACATAGGCACCAAACCCATTTGGGTTCGAGTTCAGAGAACATAATTAACGTTAATCAAATCTTATCTTATGAAAACTGTCCTGGGCACAAACGACAAGCTTACTACGCTCTAGCTAAGGAGGGCTTGGGTTTACGAGACGTGGGTGGCTGGTGTCAACCCAATTAAACAGCGTCCCACAAATATAATGATATATTTATTTTCATAACCAGAAACTACCATGTCTCCAGAGTGGTCTGGTCTCTCTATCTTTGTTGAAACTTGGACTTGTTCTTGTTCTTGTCTCGACCACGGAAATAAACATGTGTTTTTCCGTACTAAATAAATATTTTTCATTTTATTGCTGACATACACATGCTTACGATGTACAGGGTTCCTATCTTAATGACCAAAGAAAAGTTTGATCTGCCTTCAATATGCAAACAACAATCTATTAATTTTATCATGAAAAGTGTGGAAATCGACCAGGTCGACATTTTGTTGGGAGTGCTACATGCGTTGCACCTACCATCAAAGTTTCCAAAATTCATTTGTATTTTGCTTTTATCGTGTTATCATCATTATCTGGCACTAGCACATAGTTTTGTCTCTTTATAATTTTTATTTATTTAAGAAATCCATAACCTAATCCAACTCATTTTAAATTAACGGTTTTGAAATGAAGAACAATTGAACATGTTTTACCTTGACCAAGAATTTTGTTTAGTGTTTACTTCCGAAGGTCATTGTCGTTTCACTGTAAAAAGGTGAAATATTCTCTTTTCTTTTTCTTATTTAAGCGATGGACTAATGGGAATGGAAGCTCAGTGGAAGCTACAGCCTACATGCATGTAGAATGTGGTTCTTCTACAAGAAGTCACCTTATTTGAAAAGTTTTTGGCTTTGCATACAGTTTCTTTGTTTTTCTATCAAATAAAAATAAAAGGAGAGATTTTGGTTTATATATTTATATATATATATATATATATATATATATATATACTGCCCTGCAGCTTTGCTAGTCGGTAGAGCTTTGGCCGTGTTTGCTTTAAGTCTGGCTGATATGTCTAGTAATACTAAAAGCTTAAGTAGCACAAGTTGCAGCGAGGATGAAAGTGAGCTAAGGAGAGGGCCATGGACTCTTGAAGAAGACACTCTTCTGATTCAATACATAGCTCGTCACGGTGAAGGCCGATGGAATTTGCTAGCAAAACGTTCAGGTAATCAATCACTTAATATAATCCTCAACCCTTTTGCAAGCTGATTATTTCCTTCGTTGATCTTTTCTTTTTCCTCTTATTTTTTGGGGTGCAGGGTTAAGGAGAACTGGCAAGAGTTGCAGACTGAGATGGTTGAATTATCTGAAACCGGATGTTAAGCGGGGAAATCTTAGTCCAGAAGAACAGCTCTTGATTCTTGACCTCCACTCAAAGTGGGGCAACAGGTGTGTTGTGTTGTGTGCTTTTTTGTGCAGATTTGATTCAAACTTGGCAGAACTTTCTTATCATTCATTTTTGTGATTGCAGGTGGTCAAAAATTGCGCAGTATTTACCGGGTAGAACGGACAACGAAATCAAGAACTACTGGAGAACAAGGGTGCAGAAACAAGCACGGCATCTTAAAGTTGACACCAACAGCACAGAATTCCAAAATATTATAAGGTGCTTTTGGATGCCAAGATTGCTGCAGAAGATAGGAGGAGAATCATCGTTTTCTTCCCCCATGTTAATCCAAAACCCGATGGCTTTGCAGCCTCTTGACAATGTTTCTCAGCATTTAACAGCAGCAACAGCATCACCTCCACAAATTCCTGGGCAGGGAGCTCTTAATATGAGTGGAACAATATACAATTTGGATAGCATCCAAAAGCAGAACGCAGAGTCAGAGTTCTGCACCAGTTCCTGCATTTTGCCTTCAGAACCAATAGACATGCCAAAGATGTCTCAATTTCCAGAATGCCCTCCTAGTCCTTTTCATGCCATACTTAACAATGATAATGCAAAGGGCGGCTTTTGTGTTGACAACAATAGCTATGACATAGAAGCCTTCAATCTGCAGGGGTCTGTTTCAGCACAAGGGTTTGCCGGAAACTCTGCTGGTGATTGCTATGTAGCAGAAAGCAACTGGCTTGACAGTGAATTTTCATGCGGCATGTGGAGCATGGACGAATTGTGGCAAAGTAGGAGCTAACACCCCCACCACCACCACCACCACCAAAGAAAGAACCAAAAAGAAAAAGGAAAAAAAAGAGAGAGAGAGAAACAGAGGTTATTTTTTTTGTACTCAAAGAGAGAAACAGAGATTGAGGACCTTATTTTTAGGACAACCCTCAATCAACTGATGACTTTTTTATACAGATTTGTTTCTAGATCATCCATAAAGTGAAAAGCATTTGTTAATTTTATACCCAAACTCAAAATAGTGTAAGTTGTTGATTTAAGCTTTCGTTTATGCAAATAGACTAAGGGTTCTGATGCCATTTTGTGTCCATGAGTGCAGTTTCATATCAGTTTGATAGGTCTAGCCATGCATGTGTGTTGTGTGTTCATGCCATATATGATGCTATTGATATCAGAAAACTGTCCAGGCTGGTTTTCGCTGTGAAAATTATCTGAAGAATCTTGTGGGATGGTGAGAAACAATATTTAATGTTCTTTGAACTATCAGATGTCAGTCTCATTAACATGTTTCAAGTTTTCCCTCGTACCCAATTAGTGGGATGGTGAAACTTTGACTAGTCAATTTTAGGAAACAAATTCTTATTGCAACAATGCTTTTAGACTCTTGTAGATAAAGACTCTACCAACTATGAACGCACTGAAAAAATTGCTGAACATTGAATTTAACAATATGAAGAAAAAAAAGTTGCTATTTCTGAGAAAGGCATGCTCTGGGATGCACTTACTTTGAACCTAGCAGATACGGTTGCCAACCATAGCAGATTTGTATATATCAAGAATCAAGACTGCAACTTTAGCGTGTGGTTGATAGGTGAGTTTAGCTCTTCCTCTCTCACGCACCATTGACTGTGACTAATCATGTAAGCTGTCTTACTCAAAACTCTGTCAATTTGCATATTTGGGTGGTTTTCAGTTCACTATTCAATTCAGCCTCAATCCACACAAATTGTAGATGGAAGTTAGCTAGAGCCACCCACGACGGAATTGACATATTCTTCTTCTTCTTCATAATTAATACATAGATTGAAATCTGGCTTATTTAGTAGAAAAGAAAAAATAAATTTCAGCTGACTGGCAAAAGACTACCAGGCATGACAATTGTCATGATCACCAACAAGAAATTTAGTTAGTCTAAATTTAATTTTAGTTGACTAGTCAGAAGCTTTTCATCACATCATAGAACTCTGAAGTATGTTGACTATTCTCATCACAAATTTTGGGGATCAAATAGCTATGATGAAATTGAATTTCCACCTACACTAGAAGGACACGATTGAGAAGTAAACAAGGAAGATGACAACTTTAGTTGAAAAATCTTGTAGAGCTCTTTACACTTCTAAACATCACTTAATAAAATCATGGAGTACATGGTCTTATTCTTACCATTGGTTTATCTTTTATAACAGAATTTATTAATGATTTCACATGATTAAGTTATGGAGTTAAATTTGTTTTTCATCTATCTTCTATCTTCGGTTGTCTATCTTTTGTACATACAAAACTAGAAGACCTCAAGTCTCGTTTGGTGCATAGAATTGGATTGGATTTGATAAGGTATGTTGAATAAGGAAATGAAAGTAGAGGTGAATGATTCTCATTTTAAGAGGGACAAATAAAAGACAAAACAACCACATTCAAAATTTTAAGGTCTTTCTCAATTTTTGTGAGAAACTTGTATTTATTTTTGAATTGCCAATGTTTTTCACTTTCTATTGTGCCTATAAAATTTAAGAAAGAATCAATAAATAAAAAAAAGAGGAAAAAAGAAAATTTTCCGAGTGCTAGTTACTTTCACAATTTCACATCGCAATATATAGGGAAAATAAAAAATACCGTCCAATCATGACCGGTCATTTAGCATTTAGTGCATCCAGCTAATCTCAACCGTTCAGTTGTAACAATAAGCCATCCAGTCGTCCATTCTATCCCCTTAAAAGCTCTTTTATTCCAACATTAGGGTTTCTCTGCACCGCCGAAGCCATTCTTCTTCACGGTTTTCATTCACTCGAAGCAGAAAAACGCTCTGAGTCTCTGATTCTCTGGTTCTCCTCGAGGTAAACCCAAACCCCATTTCGCTTTCTCGAGTGCAGCTATGCATCTTAGATTTGTTATGTTGTTTGTGATTGAGATTTGAAGAAGCTAAGCCCTTTGGTTTTACTTAGACTGATGCGATAAGCTACCCTAGGCCTTTACGTTTTCTATCAGTCTCTGATACAGTGTAGGGTTATGCTTCCCTTTGAAAAGAAGTTTTAAAGATGTTATCTTTGTTAACTTAGTTTCCGAGCGGCAAGTTTTTCCAAAGCCAGTTACCAACTCAGAACTAATTGCTTCAATAGGGTTTGAATTGTGAAACCCATTTGTTAGTTTTCTCCACTTTTCATTTCGTTTGCACAAGGATTTTGTTTGAAGATAAAAACTTTGTCTTCTACTTTTTTCTTTTTTCAAACTTTAATCTGGATAGATTCTTTTGTATTTCAATGCATGCTTCATTTGATGTCTGAACATCTTACCCACAGATTTTAAATATCAGATTATTATGGCAATGTTGGGGTTTCGAGTTTCTATTGAAGAATAAAATCCCCACATCTATTCTCTGTTTGTGTTTCGTTAGTCTCTGCTATATCAAACTCAAATATAGAATTATGGATCATATTAACATGTTGTCTGGATTTCATCAGTTTTTTCATGTCCTTGTAAGCCAGAAATGATATTATGTTTCGTGCCTTGTTTAGTCAGATTTGTCAAGATGTTTACTTCAAGGAAGAAGATTCAGAAAGATAACAATGCTGAACCGACTGAATTCGAAGAGTCAGTTGCACAAGTAAGCTATGCAGCTGTTTGCTTGCTGTCTAGTCACTTAATTGTTACAATTTTGAGTTTTGACCATGAGTTGCTATCTCTGCAGGCAGTAATTGAATTGGAAAGTAACAGTGACCTGAAAAGTGACCTGAAGGATCTATATATCAACTCAGCAGTGTAAGAATGGTTTACTGAATTCATATGTATTATGAATTGTTGCCTATGGTATGAGTTGTACTCTTCCCTTTTTTGCAGTCAAGTTGATGTGTCTGGAAACCGGAAGGCCGTTGTTATCCATATTCCATATAGACTGAGGAAGGCTTATCGCAAGATCCATGTTCGGCTCGTGAGGGAGCTCGAGAAGAAGTTCAGTGGGAAGGTGATTAGTGATTTATGTTCTGTAGTTGTCTGTATTGCTTAGAACCTAGAGTTAATTGAGTCTAGTTTGTGTGTGAATTTGTAGTGGCCTTGCTTCTAGGCATATTGATCTTTTAGTTACTGGTTTTGATCTGCTTAGCTAGCTTTTCTGGTTTGCTTGTCTTTTTTGTGGGTGCCTTTTTTTTATTATAGTTTTTTTCCTCTTATGTATATCTGCAATCTAGGTGACTAAACTCTCTTATACACACATTTATATTTGGTTCCAAAATTTGATTGTCTGGTGAGGCTTATAGTGCCCTTTTGGTTTGTCATATGGTAGGATGTTATCCTGATTGCCACACGTAGGATATTGAGGCCGCCAAAGAAGGGGTCAGCTGCCCAACGTCCCCGCACTCGTACTCTAACTGCTGTGCACGAGGCAATGTTGGAGGATGTTGTTGCGCCTGCTGAGATTGTTGGCAAGCGCACCAGATACCGTCTTGATGGATCCAAGATAATGAAGGTAAACTATCCTAATTTTTTTAATGGAAATAAATTATTTAGTCTCTGCTATATGACATCAACAATAAAAAAATTAAGTCTGCTCAAAAGATGTTTGCCTTGCAAAACAGGCACTTTGATACACAAGTTGATAACATAGTAGACTGAGTAAGATAGACATTGTAACAGATCTTTATTAAAGTGCATGTATCCATTGTACCAGTTGCTCTGTTGTAAACCACTGTATTGTACAAGTTTCTCTGTTGTAAACCATTGTGTTTCTCGATTAATTGCTGAGTTCTGACAACCCCTTGCTAGATCAAGCAAATTAAAGCCTTACTTCAGAATTTAATGCTTGTTTGATACAACTCAAATATGTTCCCTTGTTCACGATATTTATCTCTCTTAAAGATATTAAATTATAAAATCTTTATTCTTTAAAGAAAAGCTACAATATTTATCACTTATTTCTTGATGTTGGGCAGGTGTTCTTGGATCCCAAGGAACGAAACAACACTGAATACAAGCTGGAGAGCTTTTCTGCAGTTTATCGGAAGCTTTCTGGAAAGGATGTTGTGTTCGAGTACCCCATCACTGATGCATAGAAATATTTTGTGCAATCGCACCTTTTAATTACTCTTCTCCCCTTTTCCCTTTTGTTCCCTGAAGAACTGCAATTCAGCAGGCAGACAATTTAAAATTTTGATGTTGAGGACGTGGTTTAGGATAGCCTTTGAAGGATTTTGTTCTCTTCATTATTAGCATATTTCTGTTGACGTGATATGGTTTACTGTGATTTTCAATCTCTCTTTTTGATAGTCTTATTTTAATCTCAGTGTTGAATCTTTTCAAAATTGTTATGCATGATGTTGGTTTGGTGCCACTTAATCTACTCTTTCTGAATAGATATTTGCTTTTTAGAAAAATTCGAAGGCTGCAAATAATTTTTTTTTTCATGTGATAAAATCAAAAAATTGGTTGGGAATGTTGGTAGTGGCGTGCAAAAAACCAAAAACTAAAAGCTCGAGAAAAAAAAAAGTTCAGGGAATTGCTAGCTTTGTATCATGATATGATCTGTGGGCGTTTTTATTGAAAAAGTATATTTCTAGGGGAGAGAGAAGGTTCCCATGCTCAACTAAAACGTGAACGAGGAGAATAATATTATTCCTCTAAAATATAAATATATGGCGGAAATAACCGTACTAAATTCTGCTTGTGAGTTACACCAAACCTGAAACGCACCTTCTCTTTAGCAGTTCAGTTTTTCTATTTGTTAGGTTGGGGAAAGGGAGTAACTCACTCACACTCAATCCAACTTACACCGCGTTGGTCTCTTTAGTATTTCAGTTTTAACATTATCAAAATTGTTCTTGGTTATCTGGAAGTTTTTTGCTTTGCTGGAAAACACTTCCAAAGACTATGAGAACACTAATACAATCCCCAAAAACAAAATTCATTGGCATAAATAAGATATCTGAGATCCACAGCGTTGGAAAGAATGAATCTACACAAGTTGGTATGATGAAAAAATCTCCTCGCATAGACAAGTTGGTGTCAGGACTTCTCATCAACTGAAATTTTTACCAGATTTTGTATCCTGCTGCACTGCACAGATGGAGGGAAAGTGATTGAGCTAATAGGCAATAAGAATGACAGAAATATAACCATTTTAGTAATAAGTATTTCAATTAAGCTATGGCATAATACCATAATCACAAAAAGATCCGAAGGGAGCTCTATATCAAGCGGTCAAGGACTCAAGGTATGGTGGAAGCAAAGCATACCTCAAGACAAAATCACAAGACCGAGGTACATGGCTCCGCAGAGAAACAAGAAAGATATAAACCCCCTACAAGTAAAGCTCTTCAGAGTCAGAAAAAACCACACAAGTACAGCATAAGTGCATCCCTTGTAGTTTGTCCAGCAAAGAAAGGGAAATGCAGAAAAAGCAAAGAAGGAAAGCTCTCAGACATAAATCTTATTAACAATAAGAAGCTCACCAAATGACACCCCATCCACAACCAGTACAGCAAGGACACTCTTCTGCGAATTTCTCAGCATCACTAGAATGAACTCTACGGGATATAAGATCATCATAGATATCTGCATGATCACAATTAAACATTACAAGACAATACATATACAAATATAGACAGTTAACTTGAGGATCAAATAATTTGTTTCTTCCCATACCATAGACCGAAAACAAGGAGTTCATTACACCTGTATTCCACAAAATAGAACCAAGAGTTATTAATTAATCCCATCTTACGCGGGGAACAAAAACGACTTGTAGCCTACTTTAGTAAACCACACATGAAAAAAGAAACTAGAAGAGTTGCAATTACCAGTGAACAGAATAATATATCGAAGTATACGAACTTTTGTTGTTTCTTGCAGAACCCAAATTATACCGAGGAAAAGAATGAATCCTGGTGGTCAACATGTAAACATGAAAACATCCCAATGTCATATTGCATCCTGTGCTAGTCATAGGAAGATGCGTTACTGGAACTAGAACACATACCTATACAAAGTCCTCGAAGTGTCCACTGCACATTATCAAGCAGCACAAACACAACAGGATAAGGATTTTAGGCAGACATTCAAGCAAGGTTAAATTCCTTGAAGACATATAAAAGCATAAGCTCTGGAATATAAGGAATGCAGAGGTTTCTATACTGTCATCGTGTGAGAAACTTATGCATTCAGTATGCATGAAATCTAATGTTAAACTGTTGCATGTACCCACTCCAATACTTATAGATGCATTTTAGCATAGAAAGCAAGGTAACAGGCAAAATCAAGTAAAAGATTAGTGAAATAGTACTTACATTTTTAGCTATAAACAGTACAACCAGCAGAGCAGCAATAAAACACCCAGCAGCTATTCGTGCAGTAAGAAGATTTGTAGATGCAAGAATCAATAGCATCCCCCAAAAGGATGAACCAAGATCTGGCGTGCAATGTAAATGGAAAAATTACATCAGAACTTATTTGGACACAGCTCTCAAAATGAGGAGAGCTAAAGATGCACCAACTGAAACATAAAATAGGTCAGAGATAAAGTGGAATTACATCCAGCTGGCAAAATCAACCAGTATACACCACCACGGGTTTGTGTGGTTCCACCCTCATCTGCATGAACTTGAATCCCTTCCACCTGCAAACTAATCTGTATCATTACCTGCCCCAAATAAATGAATGACTTTCTAAACTTAGCCAATTACGAAGCTACCTAGTTCAAAATTTGACCTCACCAACATGATAAGTCAGAGAGAGAGCAGATACTCAAGAAATTACGAGTTTTCATTAGGATATCGTAGAAAGGCACTCTGCTGCAATGTATCAATATGAGCAATGCAAACTTAACAATGTACTTCCATTATAACTCTACTATTGAAGAAAATATATGAAATGGCATTAGTGCTGGAAGAAAATTGATTTTGTCCTCACTTGAGTTATCAGTCACAAAAATTATACCACATAAAATTCATTAATTCAACAACCCTATAGCAAGGCAAGGCAGGCATTCTGTTGCAATTTATCAACATGCGCATTATGAAAATTTTATAGGAAAATATGAAAGAACAGAGCTTCTTACATGACCACATGTAAGTTTACAAGCAATAGCATGGCTCGCCTCGTGAAGAAACACAGTGACAAGCTTAAATGGTCTCAGCAGTATTGTCCTCCACAGCTACAAGAATCAAAGAATGATTTAATATACATGACTTGTAAACAGTACAGCAGAAGGAGTATTAACACACTAAAAAAAGTCATAATTCGATAGAAAATATCCATGAAAACATCTTGCTTTCAAAATGATTGTAGTTAAGATGATTCTTTAAAACAACGTATCACCTATGTTGTTTAGTTTCTAGTTTTTTTGAATCTGTTTCAGCTTCTGCGCCATGGGACTACTTTTTGTTTTTATGTTTTTTGGGAACTGACAAGGGACTTCAATAAGCAAGTGAAATTGAAATATGGATTTCATTCATATTTAAAATTTACAACAAGAAAAGATGAATAATCCTGAAAATTACTTTAGAGTGAGAAATTCCAAAGATTCCAAGCATCAAAATTTGTTAAGGACAAGAAACCAATCTCCCATAGTATCAAACTGTCCTTCATTCCACAGCTTAAGAATAAGATTTATGAGCAAAAAACTCAATCTCCATGCACCAGTGGTTTAATCAATGCAACACCACTCCTCTTGAAAAACAAAGCTCTACCCAGATCAAACCAATACTACAACTTCTCAAATATATCAAAACCCATGAACAGCACTGAACTATCTCTCTGCCCAGAATCAATGTAAGAGAGAAGCATTCTTATTATGAGAGAGAGAGAGAGAGAGAGAGAGAGAGAGAGAGAGAGAGAGGGAGAGTTTAGTGCTTTACCGCAAGTATAACGACAGTGCAGACAGAAACGGTAATGAGAAAGACCACTTGCTCATGGTTGCAGCAGTTAGTGAGTTCCCAATTGGGCCTCATCTCCGATTCTCTTCTCTGCTTTGGTTACAGAGAGAGGTGGTCTCTCTCTCCGACGAAATCAAACAGATTGTGTAAGGTTGAGTTTAGATTCGGACCCAACAAATAAAAAATGGTCGAAGTTAGATTGACTGAGAGGACAGTAAAGAAGAAAAATTAAGAAAGGAGTTTTTGGGCAGTCTATCTCTCTCTTTTGTGTCTAGAGCTTTGGATTTGAAGTCAGAGTCAGACAGACCAAAACATAAGTTTGAAAACGTTTGAACTTGGTATTGGTAGACCAATCAGGAACCTACATGTCTAGAAAAGTAGTAAATCCCATGACTTTTGTCTGGCGGGATACACTGTTCCCAACACTACTTTCAGATCCCGTTATTTTAAAATCCTGCAGTTAAAAAGGCTTCTTTTTTCTTTTGTTGAAAAAGAAAAGAAGAAAAATTGCGTCTTCCAGTAAAGATATGAACGTGTATGATGAACTGTCAGAACAGGCTTTGCTTCCAGCCTTCCATTCCACTATTAAAATAGAAAGCTTTAGGCATAGAATGATAGTAAATGTGATTTCTTTCAACAACAAAAAAATATTGGGTTTGAGGATTTCGTTTTTTATTATGAAAGAATAAACAAATTATATTATATTTGTATAAGCTTTACAATTACACAAAATTGCATCACATCATCACACTTTGACATTGTAGATGTAGTAGGTCACCTACCTTCATCAAAACAGGAATAAGACACTGAATTCCTTGAAAAATCCTCAACAAAACTAGTCTCCCCAGAAACCTTAGGAGGAGCACCGTTGAATCAAACTAGTAGCATGAGCTTTGGTAATAGCTGAAGCAGAGGTAGTTGTCTATCTTGAAGTCCAGGTTTGCCTGGTCTGGCCAAAGTAAATAATCCGCTCGAAAGCATGAGATGAACAGAGTTCATGTAGGGCCTATCTGCAACGCTTGCTTCACAACATAAAGTAGTAGCTGAATGCACATTGGTACCTTTCACGGCAGTTTTATTTATGTTTCTGTGACAATCAAGAACTTGGAATCATTGAAGCAAACCGTACCTCAAGCCAAAACCACAAGAGCAAGGTACATGGATCCACAGAGAAAGAAGAAAGATATGAACGCCCTACACATAAAGCTCTTCATAGTTAGAAAAAGAACAGAAGCTGGATAAAAAGAAAAGAAACCAGGCAGAAGTTTTAATAAATGAGAAGAATCTCACCAAATGACACCCCATCCACAACCAGTGCAGCATGGACACTCTTCTGCAAATCTCTCCGCATCACTAGAATTAACTCTGCGTGATATAAGATCATCATAGATATCTGCATCATTTCATGGATACATTACAAGGCATCTATGAGTACAACACACAGGCAGCTAAATTGAGTGTCAAATAATATTGTTTCTTCCTGAATAAATACCATAAACTGAAAACAAGCTGTTCATTACACCTGCAATCAGATAAAAAAAGAGAGTAAGCATTGATGGCTTTAGCTCATGATACTTGGAAAAAAGGAACTATAAGCTACTTTCATAAGCAATAAAGATAAAAATAGCAGGGCTGCAATTACCAGTAAACAGAATTATTTCCCTTAGTATACGAACTGGCGTTGTTTCTTGCAGATACCAAATTCCAGCAAATAAAATAATGAATCCTGGTGGCTCAAGAAGAAAACATAAAACATCCAAATGTCACATTGCATTCTGTGCTAGTAGTAATAGGAAGATGTTTAATTGGAATTATGGAATGCATACCTATACAAAGTCCTCGAAGTGTCCACTGTACATTATCAAGCAGTACAAATACAACAGGATAAGGATTTAGTTAGCAAGTTCTACATTCCTTAAGGGCATATAAACGAATCATTTTACTCTTTTCAGGAATCTAAGGGTTTCTAGATCTTCATCAATTACTTTCCGATTTAATTTTATGTGAAAAACTTATGCATTTAGTTTCCATGATATCTAACGTCAAAGTGTTTCCTGTCCCAAATGCTTCATAGGTACATTATAGCATCCAAAAAGTAACTGTCAAAACCAAGTAGAAGATAGGTTCATTAATACTTACATTTTTAGCTAAAAAGAGTACAACAAATAGGGCAACGATGAAACAGCCAGCAGCTACTTGTGTAGCAAGATGTTTTGTGGATGCAAGAATCAATACCATCCCCCAAAAGGATGAACCAAGATCTGGCGTGCCACAAAATGGAAAGATGATAAAGGTAACAATTATATGAGAAATTATTGGGATCCAACTGAGAGAAGAAGTCATATTGAAGCCTAAAATTCTAAACCACGAATATGAAAAATCATGCATCATGTTAGATCATTGAATAAGATATCACATCGAAGCATGGATTTTGAACACGTTTGATTGTCCTAAATGGAGAAGAGCTACAGATGCAAATCAACCAGAAAATAAATACGGTTGAGGTTAAACGAAATTACATCCAGCTGGCAAAATTAGCCAGTATATGCCACCACGAGTTTGTGTGACTCCTCCTTCATCTGCATGAACTTTAATCCCTTCCACCTGCAAACTAATCTGTATCATTACCTGTCTTAAATAAACACGAACATTATGAAAAATTTATGCGTAAAGTAAGAAAGAATTTCTCACCTTACCACATGTAAGCATACAAGCCAATGCATGGCTCACCTCATGAAGAAACACAGTTATAAGCTTAAATGGTGTCATCAGTACTGTCCTCCACAGCTACAAGAATTGAAGAACGATTTGGTATACATGACTTGTAAAAAGTGCATCACAAGAAAGCAAGGAGTATTAACACGCCAGCAGACTCTATCATTAAATAGAAAATATCCACGAAAGTATTTTGCTTTCCAAGTGAATGAAGTTAAGATTTATTCTTTAGAACAATTAATGTGTGACCACTCTTATGAGAGAGAGAGAGAGAGAGAGAGAGAGAGGTTACCACAAGTATAACGACAGTGCAGACCGCAACAGAGATGAGGAAGGTCACTTGGTCGCGGTTGCAGCATCTTCTGAGTTGCCAATTTGGCCTCCAGTCAATCAAGTCCATCTCTTCTCTGTTTCTTTGAGACCCAATACTGCAAGAATTTTTCTTTTGGTAAGCAGCACAAATGGAGATGATCTTTTTGCTTCATCTTCATAATGCAAAACAGAGACCCAGACCCAGTTTACAGATGTTGAGAGTGTTTGTCCCACATTGAAATGTTAAGGGACCTTGCCTAGGTTCATAAAGAGTTAGGCTACTCCCCCCATTGCCAATTGGTTTTGGGTGGAACCTCAACTTCTTTCATGGTATCAGAGCAATGCTTCACATGTTGGGCCCAACGGCCACACCTGCTCCCACGTCACCCAATATGTGTTGTCCACTTGTTAGGCTTGAAAGTTCGCCACACGTGCGGGGGCGTGTTGAGAGTGTTTGTCCCACATTGAAACGTTAAGGGACCTAGCCTAGGTTTATAAAGAGTTGGGCTACTCCCCCCATTGCCAATTGGTTTTGGGGTGGAACCTCAACTTCCTTCAACAGAGAAGAGAGAGAGATCGCTCTCCATAACCAAAATAGAGGTATAAAGCCAAGTGGAAAACAAAAATTTTATTTTTTTGGGCAGTTTCCATATGTTCGACGAAAAAACAAAGCTTTCAACTTGAAAGGTTCTGACTCAGGCCAAAAGAGAAACATTGAACTTGGGGCAATCAGGCCCCGACTAAATTCAATCATATGACTTTTGTCTCTTGGTTACACTGGTTCTAACCAAATTTATTTTGTGTAGACTGGCAGTGGCGGTAACCCACATTTGGCCTTATTTGTTCAGATTCAGGAAAAAAAAACAAAGAGTTGAGAAACTTGCATGTTCCTCCATACAATTGGGATTCAAGAAGTTTGTTTTGAAACGCAATTGGGATTCAAGAAGTTTGTTTTGAAACGCAAAACAACATTTGTCTTCATAAAATTATACAAGAAAATTATAAATGTAAATACGATGTGACACCTGCAAGTTGGATTTCAGCAGTTGATTGGTCGAGCCTAACAAGCCAAAAAGAGGGTGAGCTATGGAGGTTAGGCTCTTCAACCCCCACCCTCTGTGATTCTGATTCTGGACAAAGATGGCCTTCCAGGCTCCCCTGGGGATGAACTCAGGGAGCTCAGGGCTTCTGGGATTTGTTAATTGAAATTGTTCTTCTTTGTAATTCATGATCTCTGTTTGTTTGCTTTTCTACAAGGTTTGAGGTTTTTTCTTTTACGTGGTCGGTGTAAGCACACGTGCTTTTGTATTGAGCTCTGTTTTTGTTCTTGCCTAAAACAGAGGCTTCACCTTATAATAGTAAATTCACTTTGGTTTGAGGATTTCGTATCAAGTGGTGATTAGCAAGTCACATAATCTAGGAGCCAAATAACATATGATGAATTGTATCAGGCAATCATAGACCATTCTCGAGACGTAAACCGCAATCGAGATATTTAGACAGCAATTATTCCGAAGAATGTGATTAACTTATTCTGATCCCCAGTGCATGAAATGATTGGATTACAAAAGAATAAAACAAATTATATTATGTTAGTCTAAGATTCATGACTGAAAAAGTAAAAGAAAAAATTACTTTACAGCACATAAATACAGCTCGCAACACCTACAAATCACAAATGCAGGTTATGAGTTATCTACCCTCATCAATCGATGAATGAGAAATTGAATTTCTAGAATACTCCTCAACAAAACTACTCCCCGCAGAGGCTTTGGTAGCACCTGTGTATCCACTACTAGCATTAGTATTGGTAAAAGCTGAAGTAGAGGTGGTTGTCCAACGTCCTCTACGGCCCTGAAGTCCAGGTTTACCTGGCCTTGGCAAAGTAAATGAATCACTCGAAAACATGAGATGGATAGAGTTCATGTCAGGACGGTCTGCAATGGTTGCTTGACAACATAGAAGTCCTAGCTGAACGCACATTGCTGCCTCATCAGGATTGCACCTGGCCAGGGTCGGGTCAACTAGGTCCAGTGTCTTCCCTCCTTGATACAGCTTCCATGTCTGCACAGAAGAGAGATGAAAAATTGTAAGGATTAAATGAAATGGCTGAGAGCACATCTTCTTCTATTCATTTCCATAAAACCACTGGTTGTATGCTAATCAACACTTCAGAGTAACTTTACTTGAACATCAATAACAATTAACCTCTGCATATGTGTAGGTAATTAAGCATACAGTATATTTCACAAGCTTCCACTTTGATAAAGATTTAGGCATTCATTGCACTACTCTACTCTGCATTTAAAGTTGGTATGTGAAGTCCTGGTTCAGTTAGCCTAGTCTTATGAAACAAATTAGCCTTCTGGGAAATGTTACAAATTTCAAAATTAATTCCTAAACATTAGAATTAAAAACAATGATGATTCGACTAACTGATGCTTCTGTTTAATTTTTCCCCTCATTTTATAGAGCTTCTGTTTTATTTCTTGCACAAGTTGCATCAAAACCTCTCCGGGGAAGTAACTTACATAGCTCAAGAGGTCTGCCTTTTCTCTTTCAAGCTGCCCATCATGGTTCTTTCTCCCGCTGACAATCTCCAACACCAAGACTCCATAACTGAAAACATCTGTCTTCACGGACAAATACCCATGCATTGCATATTCAGGGGCCATATAACCACTGCAGTTAACAAAAGAATTTCTCAGTTTCATTTTTCATTGTACTCACAGAATTCCCATATGAAACAGTTACAGCAGGGGACCAATAGGATGAAATGGTAAAAACTTCGTATGGCATAAAGGCAAAAAGAATTGTTGAAAAGAAACTACTCACTGAGTACCAGAAATCCTAAATGTATTTACATGAGTGTCCTCCCCAGGAAAGAGTCTTGCCAAGCCAAAATCCGAGATTTTTGGCTGGAGTTTCTCATCCAGTAATATATTACTAGCTTTGATGTCCCTATGAATGATCCTTTCTGGGGCCTCTTCATGAAGGTAACGAAGACCTCTTGCCACACCCATAATTATCCGAAACCTCGTCGTCCAATCCAGGGTTCCAGATTTCTGTTTGTCTGAAAAAAATTTAATTTACCACTTATTATTACTAGTCCTACTACCTACTAGTTTAACCAAATGAAACAATCCATTCAATCTGATGCTGAATATATGTAAATTCCAATAGGGGATGAGCAGCATACCAAAAATAAAGTAATCAAGGCTTTTGTTTGGGAGATACTCATAAACCAGCATCTTCTCAGGTCCTTCTACACAACACCCCAATAACATCACCAAATTCTTGTGCTGAACTCTCAGTAACAACTTCACCTCGTTAGTGAATTCTCTAGCTCCCTGTCTTGAATCAAAAGAGAGCTTCTTTACAGCTATTTCTTGACCATTAGGCATCAGACCCTGCACACAGTTGGGAAAAAAAAAATTGACTAATCCGAAGAAAATAGAACAAAGTATTAGTAAAGCTCACAAATTTAGTTACCAAAGAAAAAAAAAAGATCAAAATTTTACTCTCATACCATAAGCATCTGAAGAACAGACGGCACAGGAAATGATGAATGCAAACAGAAAAACTGAAGAAAAAAATTACAAAAATGAAAATAACATTCTCTCGGGTCGGATGCAGTGAGAACTCAATCAATCTGAGAAGTCAGTGGTCACGAACGGAACCAACGGTCCCAATGCCGCCACAACAGCAGCTAAAGTGCCATCGTCAAAAGGCCCAATGTTCGTCCTCAAATTAATCCGCAATTACAGCAAACTACAGGGCTAATCTGGTGATTTGCGCTTCCGAGATTACCCCTGACTGAGCTAGTTATTTACGAGACCGTACCTTGTAAACGGGACCAAAGCCTCCGTGACCGAGTTTGTTGAGGTCGGAGAAGAAACTGGTGGCGATTTGCAGAGAGTGGAGGTCAAAGAAGAGGTCAAACGAATCCAAGGCATCGTCGGCGTGGTCGGAGCGAGCTGAGCCGGCGCCTCTGCCGGCTTTCAGCCTCTCCAAGCAGGCACAGAAACCGAAGCAAAATCCCATGAACGCATAAAACCGGCCGCAAGTAGTACTAACAGTAGGCTCGGCCGGTCTCTCAACTGCTGCTTCAATCGATTGCAGCAACTACCATACAACATACGTCGTACGGTTACGAAGGAGCAGGCGACGACTGGCTTTTTATATAAGTCGTAGCATTATTTGGCATCACGTGTCCATATCACTTGGTGGAGAACTTTAACCAATAATACTTTCTGCGTAATTATACAAATTATACAAATAAAATAATACTTTATGCGTCATTATACGAATAAAAATTCAAAGTTCTATGTAAATTATAATCTAAAATACGATACCTAATTCGTTCGCATTAATTTATTTAAACTTCTCAAGTATGGGATTGTTGCTGCTTGTTTGTTGCTTTGTCTTCTTGACAAGGACGAGTTACTAGATAATTCTGGTCAAGGACACGTATTATCATGAAACACTTGAGGTCAACGGGTCAACTAATCTTAAGTCCTCCTGTTCAATATTATTAAAAAAATATACAGGAAAATATGTAGGGCCAATTTGGTGATTTAGTCATGTACAACCAATTTTGTTGACATCAGGAAAATGGTGACAACGTGTTCCTGTCTGCCTGTCTGGTTATGATGATGTACAAACAAAATGGTTGACTTGACCACAAGAATAAAGTATTTGCATCGTCATTTTCTATTGTCAGTAAAAATTTGAGTGATTTTTATCAGTGGTTAATCACTCTTGACTTCACTATTGACTTCATATATGTTATCCCAACCTAATTTTTGCAAACCATCTAAAGTTAATTGGTCAACGGAGTAGGTTTTTTTTAGTACAACGTACACAACGATTCTGTGAGGATTCAAATATGAGACTTTTAGTTTGCAAGTTAAGATCAATTTTTATTGAACTAATCCCGTTGGCGAGAAATTTTTCTTTTGCTAGTTTATTCATAATGAATGTTAAAAAGTCTTCACGCGTTTAGCAGTTGTCGAAGCAATAAGAGTTTATTTATTTTTTCTTCTTTTGGTTTAATGAGATAGTTGTACGTTAAAATGGTTGACTTATAATATAATTTTTTGACCAATAAGTTACTATCAAATAATAAAATACACACACGCAATAAGTTTAGGCCATATCGAAATGTCAAAGGATTGAGTGAAAAAATTATGATATGCTGGTTTTATTTGTGTTGGCGGCCTCTCAATGTCATGGTGACAATTACTTCATCATTTACAAGTTATTGACCCAAAAAAGGGAGGTCATTTACACTTTTTCAAGCCTCGGACTAATTCAAGAGTTAGACTCGTTCAGCCAAAAACCAAATTGAATACTAACTTGATATAATAACCACTACAGACGGCAGACAACCATGTGTGTGAGTTTGTTATCGTCAAATTCAAAACCTAGTTTGACAATCTTATTATATTTTATGATGTTATGTTTCAACCCCCAAAAAAAAAAAAAAAAAAAAAAAAAAAAAAAAAAAGGACAATAATAAAAAACACACAAAAAAAAAGAAATTAGTCACAAGCTAGAAAAAGGCTCTTTTTCATTCCTCAGAGAAATTATAGAATGCTACCGTATCTCCTCATTAGGAAGGAAAATTAATAAAGCGCTTCGCAGTAATACTGATGATATATCGTATTTATAATTTTATACATGTTGTAATTACTTAAATTTAATAAAACAAAATATGTAACATTACGTGACATGTCATACATAAAATGTCTGAATAAGATAATCATTCGAAAATCCACGTGGCATTGCCAACGTGGCGTTGAGACAAAAATGGGAAAAATGTTAGGAGTGGGCTCGAATGTTGTTGCAAAAAGAGAAAAAGGGTTGGCCCAACCCATTATTGCCCAATTGAAAGTTGGAATCGGCTATTGGGCTTGATTGGATTAGGAGTTGGTTATGACAAATTGATCCACTCCCAAGACGGCCTTTTTCATCAGCGTGATCCGAGTTTAATTTCACATTCACATCATAAGTTTGACTTGTAATTGAATTTTCCACTATTTTACTCTTTGCAGGTAGCCAAAAAGGCCCCTCATTTGTTCGTCTTTCCATATTTGCCCCTGCGAGAGAGCTAGAATTACCTCGTTGGTTGTACCGCACCCTTGTCTCCCTCTTTTCCCTGAGCACAAGCCGCCATTGACGACCCTCACCTGAGCTTTCATGCTCAGAAGCAGGCATCAGAGCGTGCCCGTAGTTACTCGATCCTAGAAAATGTTGTTTGTATAGAAACAACGGACATAAAAAGAAAAATTGCTTAAAGAATTTCAAGATGAGGTCGTCTTGTTCAGATAGAATTAACATTGCCGCGAGCGCTCAGAGACTCGATGTCGACAATCGGATTCCTCTGCATATATACTTTCGGATCGCTAATAATATCCTCAAACAGGTTTCACTTCACTCTCTTCATGATTTAGTAGCAATTTTAAATTCCTATTAATTTTGAATTAATTTAGGTTGCGAATTTTGAATTTAATTTGTTAATCAAATTATTTTGGAAGTGGAACCTTAATTGTTAATGCTCTGTTTGTGCGAGCCCGCTCGCGCGTTTTGTGTTCATATTTCTTTTGGATTATTTTAGATATGAGAATTATAAGCAAAGTGAATTTCAGGTAGCTCAAGTATATTGTATAGATCAAAACTGTCTATTGAGGTGCCAAAAATTTAAATTGGTAGCTTGCTGTTGATAGGACCCGAAGGATCACTGGAATTAGCAGAATATAGTAGAAGAAGATACAAACACAACAAATTTGATCACTCGAGGAGTTCTTCCTTCTAAGTAGGAAATAAGTGAAGAAGGAAACTGATAGCAATATTCTTCGGCCAAAACAAAAGCAATATTCTGGACACTTACCATATTCAACACACTAAAATTATGGAAATGTATCAGTTGTATAGTGAGTTGTAGCTAAACTGAAGTGATTATTTCAGTTCAATTATCTAGAGCTTCCTATATAGGTGCCAATGCCTCCTCTCCTGTGCATTCATATTGCAGCCTGTGCTTTTTCTTATTTAATTTGTTATATTGATGTTTTGTCGTTCCTGTAATGTTCTTGCCCTTTATTTCCTAGAAAAATATTCACACATGAATTTTTTCCCCTGGTTTAGTTTCTTGCTTTTGTCTTAAAATGTCTTTGCTCCTAAAGAAGTTGTTACATTGTAGGCGGACATATTTCGACAAGAGAGGAATATTATAGACCTATACATTATGCTCCTAAGGTTTTCAAGGTAAGTAACAAAGATATACAACAAATGTGCGTGTGTGTGGATATGCAAAATATGTTTTAAAATAACACTGAAATTTGTTTGTGTGCTTCAGTTTGGTATCTGAGACAATACCATGTCATCGAGACTACAGAGCATCTGTTCAAGGGGAAAAAGCTTTTTTGAAAAAGGTACAGTTATAATCTCATCTTTAATTTATAATAAAACAATTCTTTTTGTTTTGCTATTTTTGTGCACAATCTGATTTTAGTTTGTTGCTCTAGAAATTGTTTAATGCTCTAAACGAGCTGGAGGAGCTAAAGCCAGCAGTGAAACAGAAGAATGATGAGTTTAACAGAAGGAATGAAAATCACAAAAATGGGTGGGGCCGCAATCACCAAATTGCTGCTGTGATTCAATCTCCTCTTAAGAAGCAAACTTTGAGTAGTTATGATCTAACCAAGGTAGAGTTAGTGCTTCATCTTAGTGGTGGAAATTACTATGAAGGATGTGTTTCTTATCCAAAAAAGTGGAAACTACTTGTCTCAATTTTCATGTGCTTTGTTCATTGCCTTTTGGTAAACTTTGACTTCAATCTTTTATCCATTGACTCTGTTGCCTGCCAGTGTTATTTTCTCCTGCAACTTTGTTTCTTCTTTCTTTTTCCTACTGCTATTATTATATGTTTCTTGCTTACACAATTTTGATTCCTATGCTTATTATACATCTGATAGGCAGGACAGTTTTCCTATCAAACTCCAAGGGCTCAACAGTTTTCCTATTCAAGGCCTGTGGAAGATCAATTTCGCAAACTGTAAGTATTATATATTTACAAGGGTATCTTCTTTATATTCTTATACCAACACTAAGAATGTGCATCACATGCCTTACTCACGAACTTTAGTTTAATTCCACGAGAGGGTAATTCAATGATTTTCAATATTTATGGGACAGTGAGAAAATGAGTTGAGTTTGAATCATATTATGAATGCTCCAGGCTTGATCATCCTTGTTTGTTGACGTCTTGCAGATCTGTTAGTATCCCACGTCCAAAGGAGGAAACTCTTTCCAGACATTCTATTCTGGGCCCAAACGGGCTTCATGGACAGTGGCAGCCACCTAGAAGTGATATAGGGGTATGATGGTCTCTGATTTTTTTTTCTTTTCGGTTCAAAGTAGAAAAAATGTTGACTTTTCTCTCAATTGCAGGTCCGATATCCAAGCATTTTAGACTTGACTCCTATTGAAATCCCCAGGTCTCTCTCCTGGTTAACTTTCTAAAGTTCTTTTTGGTTGTTCTGTTCCTTAAGTTAGATTGGATCTAAATAATGGGAGATGCATTCTTATATTCATGAAGGCATATGATATGATTGTTGAAATTGGGACTTGATTTTTTTTTTTAAAATTCCTAAAGTTAAACATTCCAGGCAGTTCACATTCCATGATATATTTTTCTTCTGTTTTTGAAGAGTTTATAGCTATATATCTGTGTCATCTGATAGTCTTATATTTTTTTTATGGGCAAACAGACTGGGACAGTCCATAGAAGAAGAGCATACAATTATAAAAGACACTAGCAATTCAGAACCTGAAAGGTCAACTTTGGAACCAATTCGTACCCAAAATACTGATGATGGCCAGATGCTTCCTACTGAGGAACTTCGCTCCCTTATTTCCTTCGAATCAACAGAAACTCCTGATCATACAAAAATTATTAGACAGCCTTCTCCTCCACCTGTCCTTGCCGAAGTACAAGATTTGATCCCAGCAGTTTCACCTCAAGTCCCTGAGGTAGAATGTGGACTGGAGACTCTCTCATCGGATGACTTACTTCGTGCTGAATCTCCCCTGCAATTACACATTGTGAGATTCATGACAATTTCTTTTGTGTTAACTATATATATTGGGCTTTTAGCTGTTTTTCAGGATTGGAAAATTGGAAATTTTGAATATGTAAGATTGTTCTGATGATAAAAGCTTTTAATAACTACTCTCTCATATATGTGAAAATCAATTACATTGACATAAATTTGTGGGTGCTCCTCTTACATAATCATATGTTTCTCTCTGTAGTCAACGACAATGATGGAACACTTCATGAAGCTGGCTAAGTCAAATACTGATAAGAACTTAGAGACTTGCGGCGTCCTAGCAGGCTTACTTGTAAGTCTGCATAACTTAATTACTGTTCTCAGTGTTTAACTCCTTAAGATTCTAATGTTTCAAATATTTCTATTTGTCAGAAAAACAGAAAGTTTTTTGTTACTGCTCTCATCATACCAAAGCAGGAGTCAACGTCAGATTCTGTATGGCAGTTTTAAATCATTGGCGCTGTTTCCTTTTTCTTTCCTTACTGATATACATGTGTATATGTCAGTGTATTTTATATTATATTTGGCCTGGAGATAGAACTCAAGTCGAATGTTCACTTTCTTATCAGTGTCAAACCACGAATGAAGAGGAAATTTTTGAAGTTCAGGATAAACAATCTCTTTTCCCTCTTGGCTGGATACATGTGAGTGCTTTGTTATTTTTAATTGGTAGAATGGTTGTAGTTACATCTGTTTCAATGCCTAATCTATATTATGCTTATTACTTACTCTTTAGTTTTCAACCATTATGCTGACCAATTAATTGTTCGCTATGGCACAATTTTCAGACTCATCCTACACAGTCTTGTTTCATGTCGTCGATTGATCTTCACACCCATTATTCATATCAGGTGAGTGCAATTTACTGGTAGTTGAGATATTTGCTACAGATTGAATTCATTCTCCAACTGGAACCTATGTTCCAATTTTTAATTTTAGGTTGTGCATTTTGTGTTATCAAAATGTTTGTAACAAATGAGGGTTGTAACCAAAGCATAATAGCTTTCACATTATTTAAAGCTTGATTTCCATCTAATTCCACCCCGGCCATGCTATTCAATGAATATTGGAAAAGTGCCAGGATTATGTAATTAGTATTGAAAATGAAAAATGTAGATTGCAAAGAAGCATTCTAGATTCCTTTTCAATTTTTTTTGCATCAAAGTTCATTTATTGTTCTTCTGCTGGCAGAAATAACCCCCTCTCTACAAAAGGGGGAAAAGGGAAAATCCTACGCACTGACCTTACAAAATGAACCCTTAAAACCTTTGTTAAGAACTTGCATAGTGTCAGTTGGAAGCCACTTTTGATTGCGTAAAGGATATGAATTCATTTGTGATAAACAGAGGCTAAGCCGTTAACATCTAAAATCATAGTTTACGCAAATACTTATTTCATCTTCAGATTATGTTGCCAGAAGCTGTTGCAATTGTCATGGCACCAAGAGGTGGTACAAGGTAAAAACATCACAGCTCCTTGAAATATGATAGCAGAAATAATTTTTGCTTGCCGCTGTATTATGATTTCTGGTACATTGTCTTTTGTTTTTTCACTGTACAGAACCCATGGTATATTCCGATTGACAACCCCAGGTGGCATGTCAGTCATTAGACAGTGCCAACAGCGTGGTTTTCATCCACATGATCAGCCACCGGATGGTGGGCCCATTTACAAGACATGCGCAGATGTTTATATGAACCCCAATCTAAAGTTTGACGTCATTGATCTTCGATAGTTTACCCAAATGACATTCAGATGGCTAACCTTCATTCATGCAATTGTTCATAAACATGAGTACAATATTATTGGTTTTACTATCAGAGTTGGTCTTCGTATCGTATGTAAAGAATGAAATGTTTCCAGCTGTACATTTGATGGCATATGGACCAATTAGTAGGCCATCCTTGAACTCGAATGGCTAAGTTTTTAAGGGCATAGGATTATTTCCCAAGATGTATGACTTGCATTACATTAAGGTTTGTATTGGAGTCAAAAAGTGTAAAGAGAATGACTTGCATTTTACTGGTTTTATTATCAGCTGCAGGTATTTTGAAGAAATTCTCGTCTAGAGAACTAAAATTATATTTTGCTTTCCTATTGGTGAAATTGTCTGTAAATTGATGATAGTGATATATTTATGTGAAGGGGGGAGAGTTAGCTGAAATCCATATCACCTTTCTTGAGAGAGAGAGAGAGACAGAGAGAGAGAGAGACAGAGACCAGAAGTGAAACTATAATCCTCCTCAGACACAATCTGTGTGAAGAAGATGTCAACTTGAGTTGGTGGTCGCTTTTGAAATGAGCTAGGTTTCCTTTATCATTCACCATTGGAAGCAGTCTTTCTACGTGCTTTGTTTTCACATGAACCCACATCATCTTTTTCTTCCAGAAGTGGACCTTTCCAATAGACTTTGAGAATTACATTATCTGTCTTGTTTCATTTATTTGTTGATGGAGAAGCTTCCTTTAGCAGGTGAAAGAAAGAGAGCATCTTTATTTAAACTGGGTTGGGTACCACCAAACCATACGATAGGATAGAATGATTCCTCATGAGCTATGTCTGTTTACGTCCACCTCATCGAGTGTTCTTGTGTCAACAGCCATGCTCATTGCTCAAGTGGGCCCCTCATCTCATACAGTGGCAGTGAGAGTGCTTATCATGATTCATCATGTCCTGCCAAGCCAAGGAGAAGAATTGCAAGTTAGAAGAACCTTTGTGGGTTTGTGGGGAGTCTCTCTGTATCTTAATAATCATCCACCCAAAGAAACGAAAAGAAGAAGAAAAGGAGAGAGGTTGGTTTGGTCACATCACATGGCCAGTTGCCAAAAATGGATTGCATGTCTTCTACAAACTACAAACAGTTGCAGCCTTTTGGGTCGATGACTCCCTGCTATGCTCCCATCCCATACCTTTCTGTTTTGCCCATCAACCCAGTGAGTGATTGAGCTCCTACCTCCTAATCGAACTTCGCCTCACCCATGTCACCACCACCAAGAAAGAAAAACCAAAATTTAAGCCTTGAACAATATGTACTGTATTTAGAGAAAGAAAAATAATAAATTTTATTCGCTTTGATTACAACTTGTCATGTAAGAGACTTTTATCTCAAATGATTTAGAGTAGTTATCGTCGCTGTGTGTCCGAATTCTCATTCCAATATTGTATAAACAAACAAAATTACAACTTGCTAGGCCTAAACCTACATTTGAGTCCTACATTAGACAAGTCAAAATATAAGAAAAGAGTCATATGGGCCTACAAGGACAGTGAGGGGTTTAGCATACCAGTCGTCTGATCCCATCCATAACGCAATTTGCTTAAATTAAACCTTTTTGGGCCTAAACTGGAGTCCTTGTGAATATTTATAAAATGGAGTCAAAGGTCAATAATGCCGAACAAACATGCTTATTCAGGATTATCCTCGTGAATGGAGGTATGACATTTTAAAACGTAAAAAATGTTAAAATGGTAGGAAAAAGAAGGTGATTTATTTATTTATTAATTTTTTTAGGTTTCACTTTTGTTGAGTTGAGCACACGGCAACATAAACTCTTGCTTCATTGAAACTTTTTAGAGAATGTCAAACACATCCTCGCAAGCAATAGTTTAGTTTATTTATTGTGTGTGTGTGTGTTAGTGTATGATGAGTGTATGATTCGAGACGAAGAGAAGAAGATGGATTGCATGTCTGCAAAAACAGAGTAGACTGCATGCATTTTCATTTTCATTTTGTGTTGTGTGTACCTCCTACCTGCTACCAAGTCCAAAGCTTTCATTATATATCATCACCACCTCAATTATTCAAAGTATCTTTCAAGTTTCAACTAATCCTACCCTTTATAATTAATCATCATTATTATAATTATTAATGCTTACTCAGTCATTTTGTTTACCAAGTCATCCTCAATGCTTGATTAAGCCAATTACATACAATTGATGATGATGGTACTGCATAAATAAATTCTGGGCCCATCTGAGGCAAGTCAATTCTCTTTTTGAGGGCCAAAAATGAAGCAATTATCATTTGATCATGCAGAGATTGGAGGATACTATATATAATTGTATTTACATGACCTGCTGCTCAATGATTTGCAGCATCAATCAAACAAAATGCTTATTAATATGAGTAGATATGATGATTGGCAAATCTGTTTTACCATTGTCTAGCTATTGCCGAACCAATTAGTACCTCCTTGTTGGAAGCATGTATTTATTTATTTTTGGAGCAAATAGATTGCAATTTAGATTTGGTTGGTTGGTTGGTTGGTTGGTCTGGTTCTTTCATCTGATGTAACCTGACCTTTGACAGATAATTAAGTTTCACGAAAATAGTTTTTGAAATCTTTTGCCCGTTTTCAGCTCATTGTGTATATAGGTGGGTCGAGCAGCTGTCGTGTTTTTTTTTCATGATGCAACATCCCATCTTACAACATCTAGTCAGCAGCGTCCCCTTTTTGTTTTTGTTCATAATTCATTCATTTAAGCTTTGATTAACCATGTTTAAAACTTGAGGCTGTAATTAGTTGAGCTTTTAAGTCACCGGTTTGACACATTCAGAAATGCGCTTCAAGGAAAAGACAAATTATTTAAATTTAGAAATTGACCTAGCACCTAGCTAGCTATTATGCAATTTCTGTCTTGCATGATGCAAGAATTCAAAAGAAGAAAGCAAGGGCATCAATCAGAGCCTGTGATTTGTGATTTAGTTTCCACTGAAACGCAGAAAGAAAGAGAAAGATGTGATTGGATTGGAAGGAAGAGAAATTTCAAACCTAGAGGTGGCAGAATGTTCTTCTACTCTTTTTGTTTATTTATCGTTTCATTTGTAATGATTTTCTGTATAAAGAAAGAAAGAAAGGAAGGAAATTTTGAAAGAGAAGAAAAGGGCCTACTTGGTGGTTAGGACTTGGGATGGCATGGCAACCTCAAAAGTCTAACATGTGGTAAGAAGAGGGACCGAATGAGCTTCCTTGACTTCTGGCTTTAAAGAAAACTACTGCAAGCTTAAGCTAAACATTTCTCATAATTCTCAGTCTTGCCTGGTTTATAATTCTCTCTCTCTTCTTTTTTCCCTTTTTCTTTTGAGTCACTCACATCAGTACATTTTCCAAATTTTTCTACCTTTTTGGGATCATTCTCTTTAGTATATATACTACTTTCCTCAGTGCTGTTTTTCTTTGCCTCTCCGCAAGACAGTAACTCTTGAAACTTTGTCACGTTTCTCTCTCTCTCCCTCTCTCTCTCTCAACGTTGAGTTTCAAATTCTCATCTTTAACTGCAAGTTATCCAAAGCTGTCACAAACAAAGATTTCTTTTTCTTTAACAACAATTTCTCTTCCCTATCATAGTCTCCCTCTTTTGTTTCTACTCTCTGTTTTTTTATTTATTACACAAACAAAAATAGTAGAAACTTTCCTCCTCTGCTTCATTTCCGGAGAAGGAGGAAATCCAATTGATCCTCTGATCTTAGAAATTTCCTAGAATTACTCACAGTTCTTGAAACTTGTGCAGAAAAGCTGCCATTCTCTGTTTTTGTCCCCTTTGTTCCTGTAAATTTTCAAAATTGCCTTTGTTCCTCTTCTTTGACTTCCAAGTCCACCCCATCATGTCAATTTTCAAGCCCTCATAGTTGAAACCTGAGCATTTTCACATGCCATCACATTCTTGAATTCATTCCAACTTCTTCAACTCTTGTTGATTTTTCTCAAGCTCATTATATCCTTGAAGGAATCTTTGGTTAGCTCCTTTTCGTCTGCTTAACTATTTTGATCCTGTCATTATTTCCTCTAGACACCACTTTTCCTTCTGCTTCCTAATCAAACATCAATATGTGCTCAGAAGCCAGTCCTCCCAGAATATCATTTTCGCTTGATCTTGGTCAAGCAGATGTTTTACCAGTTGGTCACAACCAGCCTCGCGGGGACACATCACTCTTGGACTTGAATTGTGACTTTGAGTTTAGCATCAGCGGCAGCTTCAGGCATGAATCTTCTCCTGCAGACGAGCTTTTTTCTCATGGGGTGATCCTTCCTATGCAGCCTAGAGAAAGGATCGGCGAGGCACCGAAACGAATATCTAACAGTGAAGCCAGACATAGTGCTTCCCTCCCTCCTCTTCCAAGTCCTCCATCAAATGAGAACCAAAAGAAAGAGAGCGTGAAGGAAGTTGTAATGGATATGAATTCTGATCATCTGGAGCTGCACAAGCCTCAGTCCAAGTCTTTCTGGGGGTTCAATAGAAGCAGCAGCCTCAACCAAGACAACAAGAAGAGTTTGCTTTGCTCCTTGCCACTCTTGTCAAGAAGCAATTCAACTGGATCAGCTCCAAATCCAAATCCAAAGAAAACCACATTTAAGCAAAGCTCGTCACAAAAGCAATCATCAAATATTTCTATGTCAAAGTCGTCTTCATATTCATCATCGTCTTCCACCTCATCGAACCCGTATGCAACGCTGCCGAGGCCCCCATCAAAGAAGGGGTACAATGGATCATCTTACTACGGCAATGGTGTTCGGATTAGCCCCGTCTTAAATGTACCATCTCCTTACATTTCCAAAGGAACTGCAAAACTCTTTTGTTTGGGTTCTTTTTTACACCCCGGCGGGAAAGATAAGAAGGCCAAGAAATGATTTATTCGCAGAAATCTTATGAGTTTACTCGGAAAGAGGAAACAGATTGTTCAGTTTGTACAGTTTAAAAAAAAAGAAAAGAGGATGGGTAGGAGGAGGGTCTTGGAAGGCTGACTGAAGCATGTTAAAATGTCATTAACTCAGGCGACACAACAGGTGCCCTTATTTTCAGGATTTGTCTTCATTATGAGGGAGGGTTGCTTTTGATTCTTCTAAAAGTACTTTTGGTCTGTCTTCTTCTATGCTAATGAACATTGAACATACACACACTGTTTGTTCAGCTAACCTTTTGTTTGTAAACTTTGTAGTTATATATATGAATCAAAGATTATTCACCTTTTTCCAATAAGGATTTGTTGTGGTTGAAGAGAAGGGTGAAGGAGCTGGTTTCAGGGGTTTGAAAAACAAATCAACGTTGAAGTGGCCTCCGCTTTCTAGATTTCTTGTCTGGATTAACTTTTAGCTGTTGAGCTAATTTAATCACGGACCATGTCCTCGGTTCGTCATCAAACTTGTTTTTTTTATGTTGGGGTCTAGCAGAGCATAGCATGGCTAGATGCCTTTTTCTCCTACAGTGTACGATACCAAGGGCTATACATAATGCTGTATCTACTTTGGGTGACGTTGGCTTGACATGACCATGATGAATGAGACCTATTATGCATTTTTCTGGTAAACAGTAACCTCATGTGAAGGTAAAAATTTGTAGAAAAAGAAAAACACAACTAATCTCCCGAAATTACTATTATGTATTTGCCACTTGAATTGAACCCCACCCCATAGTTTCCTCTTGTCCTCTCCTTTACATTTGAACTTATACCGACAATTGGCAGTTGGCGCTGAAACTGGTGAAAAAAATATGAAAAAAACTTGATTCTTCCTTGTATTGATGTACTTTTCCCTGTTTAGTGGTGTATACATCATAAGAATTGTATGCAAAGGTTAACAGAAGGATAACAGATTAGATTGACAAAATTTACCACACCATGGAAAAAAAATAAAGCAAATTTCTGTACAGAAGGCATCTCAATGCGCTCTGTTACTGACCTGTCTAAATTCTCGAAAATGAATCTTGAAACCAAGGGAAGATGATATGATATTTACTGGGCTTCTACAAAATTGCTCAGTGGAGGTAAAGAAACCAGTTTTCTGGTCGTTGGGAAAATTGAATTGCCTATACAAGTATCTACAAACTAATAAGTATACATCTCTTTGTCGACGAATAAAACCTGTTGTTAGTGTGATGCAGGGCAGTCAGTATTTGTTGTCTCGCCCTTGATCACCCGGGTATTGTAAGATCCACAGTTTCCACACTTGTGATATAGCCAGTGAAACCGTGAGGAACCCTTTCGATCGCAGTCGTTACAAAGGATGTCCTGGATTGCAAAAATTATACATCAGATGGTGCCTTTACTACCATTATGCTAATTATAACATAAAAATAGAAGCAATGTACCTGACAACGGTTCCTGTATTCCTCTGGAAGCTGCTCGGCAGCCAATAATGCATCAAGCATGCCAAAGTAAACCTGAGTGGGCATAGAGTTAAGAAAGATCTCACAACTGAGTTTCATATATGATCTCAAGATGATGACAAAGCAGGTCAGTTGCATTACAACTAATTCTAGAAAAATATATGTTTTTAAAAAAAAGAAGAGAGAAATAATCTTACCGCCATATCTCCCAAAGATTTGCTGCAAATTGGACAAGTATAGTGACTGCAAGTGTACGCCTACCAGAAAATACCTGGTAGTTAAGACTCATTGTCTTCTAAAAAGAAATAAGGAAAGTACATGAAACATGGTTCAAAAGAAGTTTTAAGAAATCTACAGACCTGAAAGCAAGCAGAATGCATGTAATGGCCACAGGGCAGAGCTCTAACTGTTGCACTTGATGTGAATAAAAAATCACAGCAGATGGGGCAATTTGTTTCTAAACTTTTCTCCAGGCACTTGTGGTTCACTAACTTTATCCCCAGGCAACAATTGCATGTCATGCAATGAAAGAAGTCAATGCCAAGACCCTTTCCAAGGCGGCATAAATTGCAAAACGGGCAATGATATACAGTCCTGAAGAAAAAAGAAGATTTAAATTTACATAAAAGAATTCACTAATTACTGATTATTTACAAATTTTAATTTTCCAATAAGAATTCATGTACCTTTCATCATCAAAAAATTTGCATATATTGCAGTAATACTTTGCCATGGATAGTTCATTGCATGAAGGTGTAGTGCATATTGGCCCAACCGGCTGAACATTCAGGCAGCGCATGCACATCATTTCTGATGTTGCTTTCCTGCAATGATTAAAAGAACATCAGAAGTCTTAACCAAAAAAGAAAAGAAAGAGAAGAAGAAAAAGAAAAAGAGAACAGATATATTATAACATAACCTGAAATGCAAGTGTTGATATTCGAAAATTACCTATCCATTGAATGATCGCTCACATTATCATGGCAAAATCTACATGCAAATAACTTGCCACAGCAAGCAGCTCGGAGTTTGCAGTTTCTTTTGTAGTGTTCACACCCAAATTCTTTTTTCTCTGCATCTCGATATGATGGTGAGCGTCCAACTGCGTCTTCACCAGTAGAAGATTCTCCTGCTATTTCTTGAGGTAACTTCTGCTGAGTAGCAATCCAGCGGCTAAAACAAACAAGTCACTCATTAATAATTTAGGAATTGGGGAGTAGGGTTTTGTATATTTAGATGTCATGATCTAATTTCTGTGTCAAAATAAAGATAATGTAGCAATCCGAGAAAAGTTCTAGAAGGTCAGTATAGAACTAACCTAGTCATAAGATTCTGCACAAGATATGCCTTTCTCCTCGGATCAAGAGTCTCATCACGATAAACCTTTCTGATCTCTGACTCAAGTTCATTTTGATTCATACGGAAAATATCCTTCCAACCAGGTTTGAACATCTGATCAGTCTGGTCCAAGCTTTCTTGAAATTCAACACCTAGAACAAAATAAAAGTTCAAATGAGTAGGATGAAATGACAGCCCTCGCCTTAGCTGTGCGTTTATCTCCACCTTTGATACAAACCTTTTTGAGGAATGCTGCTTTCCCATGTTTCAGTTCGTGAAGTTAACTCTGAAGTTCCTTTCCAACATTCATTGAGCCACTCACTGAACATTGTATTTTTAGTTGCTTGCTTCCACGTATCCATCATTTTGTTCTGTTCATCCTGAGTAAGTGCAGAAGTCACCCATGGTAACATTGATTGGAGCACCTCAGCACCAGTGGTCCCAATAATGCGGCCCACTATTTTGTCTTGCTCCTCGACAGTGAAGTGTCTGCCAAATAATGGCCACAGCTCAAGTTCTTCCCTGAAAATATGCTGATCTAGTGTAACTTTTATAGATTTGCACATCCCTTGAAGCTTTGTAGCTAGCTCATTATACTTTCTAGTATAGTTGATATCATTAGCATCAAGAAAGCTAATGCTACTTCCAGCTAAATCCTCATCCATGTGAGCCTTTTGCAAGCTTTCATGAAGGTGAGAAAGTTCGGAAAGAACATGTGAGATATCTTTAAATAAATTTTCCTCCTGTTTATGGTCCAGTGTGTATGAGTGACTCACATTATGAAGCGCCTCTTTGGATTCCAGCGCAGGAAACACTATATCATCCTCTGCATTACTATGTGCTCTGTATAAGCCCCACAGCAAGCGAAACCTTCCTATAAACTGCCGGAGGGTGGTTTCATCACAATAACTAAGCTTCCCAGATTCAATATCCAAATACTCCAAATCTTTGCGTATGGCTTTATGAAATTTGAAAATAGTATCAATAGGTCGTTCTCCACAGCCAAAATCAGAAGAGGAACTATCTGTTTCCCAGACAAAAAGACTGGAATTGAGAGATGGGGCACTGGAGCTGAAAGACAAGGATCGCAAAGACTTGGCCCCAAAAAGAGAGCTTGACCCGAGATTATTGCTGTTTACTCCTAAACCTGGGACACAGCAGGACTGATCACTACAACATGGTTTCTGGGCATTTACAGTCTCTGAAGGTTCAGAGGCATCACTGTGTTTGCATGACATTGAAACATTTCGTTTGACCAGCCTCTTCACGTTATTTGCTTGAGCTGATATCAAGCTGTCTCTAGCAGACAATGCAGAAGCACACGCACATGCTGAACGAACAAAATCGTCTTCAATATCAGTGAAACTTTTAACAGGACAGCAACCAATTGCACTTAAAGACAAGCATGAACCCTGATTACGAGCCTTGCATGCCCATCCAGAAAAAAGTGTTACCAAAGCAGAATCAGGCACTGGAGCTGAATCATAACACTAGCTGTTGTCAGAATATAAAGAGACTAATAAACTTTTTCAGTAAAAAGTGAACACACAAAAGATAAATACAGAACCTGCTAACTGCATGTTTTTGAGAAAATTCTTCGTTTCATCTTCCGTCAATGACCCGACTAGCCATGGCAAAACACGCTCAATGAGTCTTAAAGGCATCATGCACAAACTTTGATACAAAAGTTCGCGCTGTCTTTTGAAGCTGAAGTGCTTTCGAGCAAGCGGAAGAACCTACATATTCAGGAAAAGGAGCAGGTGGTTTTAGGACTTAGAGGGCATATTGGTTCTATAGTTTCTAGTATCCAACACTGATTAAACATGTTGTATTACAATGATCAGAGAGGTTCTTAATCTTTTTCTATAGGTACATGGTTTCTGATTTCTAATCATTTAAATACAGATGATATGAGGTAATTAATGCCCCCATTCAACTTATATGACTACTCTCATCACTATCATGCAAAGAGCCACACAAAAATGCAAAAGAGAGCAAGATTAAATTCAAAAAATTAAATTTGTGGGTTAACCTTGTTATGAATTTGGTCTGATTGGACTTTTGATTGGCTACTGATTTTTATATTTACATCTTGATGTTACTAACACGCTAGGTTAGTATGTTGATACACCCAAAAATAAAACATGCTACCTTAGTTTCATGTGTCCTCTTAAGTTTTAAGACTCCATGGTAGATCTGTAATTTTCCCTATCTGCTGGAGATGGGCTATGATTGTGGGCCCCCCCAAGTCTTACTTGGGTTTTATTATGTCATTGAGCCTCATATTCTGGTATTTTAAGGTTTGTTCAGTTTTAATAGTTTCTTATTTAGGAATGCAGATCCTATTAGGATTAGGATTAGTAGGAGTCTTCATACTTGGTTGTAATTTGTTGAAACTAATAAAGAAATTTTACCTGAACTTCTTCATTGCTGAAGTGCCTCTGGATAGTTTCCATTATTTGATCAGCATGTGAACATAACTTCGCATAAAAATCAGCTGAAGTAGAGATGGCTCCTGCACTTTGAATAGTTTCAATCAAGCACCTGAATTCATTGAATTGACTTTCTTCTTCAGCGTGCTCTTGGAAAAAGGAAATTTTTCCATCAACTGCGGGAAATATGACTTTGTCCTCGGCAATACTGAAATCAGCAAATAAGTGATATTCAAATGGAAAGGAGAGAAAATAGATATACAATATAAAATCTCCACCACATGTTTGTCAATGGTTACCTCTCACTGCAAACGAATATAGTTTAATAAATCTGTAATGATCACCTAAGAAATCAGTCCTAAAAATAAAAAATAACAGGCACATGCAAGGATTCATCGGGAGAAGACTCTAATATCACACATCAAGTGATGCAAACAATTCCATGTGTGGAAAACAGGGAAAACTGGAACTATTAATGCCAAAATTGAATTTTACCCTATGACATATTAACTTAAACATATGCCATTACCAGTTTATTGCGCCCACAGTAGGAACTTTTTACTAGTCACGCATTATTCATAAAAGAAGAAAAAGAAAAACTTCAGTTGATGAAAATGGTAAGTTTTCCGAAAGGAAAGATTTGACTTTCAATCAACATGATAGATACGTAGAGATACCTGTGAAAGATGCAAACTTCAGCAATAAATTGCAACCTCTCATTGAAAGCTGATAGATTAGTAAAATCTCCAGACAGTTGTATCTTCCTAGCCTCCTCAGCTATCTCATTTAATTCCCTTTTAATGGCATTATGCCAAAGCAGTATTTCATTTATTGGATGCCCCGCACTGGTATCAGAAACATCCGTACTTGACTCTAAATACTTCCTCTTCCCAGTCCTGCACTCGCATGCACAATTTACCTTCTCCATATGTTGACTTGATGTGCTAGCACCAGAATCCACACAACATTGGAACTGAGGGGAATCTAGAGAACTTTCAAACAAGTCAGCACTTCTTCTACCTTCCATCCAGGTGAAAATTACCTTAAACAACAAAGATCTGTAAGTTATGTGCGGTTTTCAAAGCAATAATAGGAGGAACTCAATTATTTGACTAAATCTCAAACATTACTTTTTGAAGAAGCTTTTCCTCTGGAACTATCTTGCTTAAGCATTTTCGCAAATCCAGATGTTCGTCAGGTGAAACAGACGATGAAAGCCATGGAAGAAACTCGGCCATCATATTGACAGGAATGCTGCACAGAAACTGCCAGACCAGAGATGCCTGCTCTTCAACTGAGAACTTCTCAACGAGCAAGGGAAAGACCTGCCAGGAAAAACAAAAAAAAACTGAAATTGGGTTCCAATTTTACTGAAGTAGTTTAGCATATGAAAATAAAAATTCTGGAAGAGAGATCTCCCAAGTGATGCCTTAGTTGGCAACGGAGAGTTTCTCAAGAATCGTAAGCCCCGATTCAACTCTTCCCAGTCCGTAAGGAAAAATATTGTGGTTCTCATAACTATTGGGCCCAAAGGTGCACGTGAACAGGGGTGTATATGTTTTACCCGTAGTTTCCCCTTTCCCCTCCCACCAATGGATGGGATCAAGGTTTCCTTGTCATTGATTAGAGAGAGAGAGAGAGAGAGAGAGAGAGAGAGAGAGAGAGAGAGAGAGAGAGAGAGAGAGAGAGAGAGGGAGAGAGAGGAGAGAGAAGAGTCAATTGTGTGTGCATGCTAATGATGTAGAAATAACTTGATGCACATGCTAGTGAGGGAATTTTTTGGGGGAAATTATGTGCTTGCTACCAAATGTGTTGTTGACCAGATGGTTATCGTCCTTTTTTGTAGCTCCTAATAAAGAAACATTGCCAGGAAGAGTTCAACTAACTATATATTAGTGGTAGAACTGTGGGGAAACTTTTTTGATCATATGTTCTTACTTGCCATAGATCCTATTAGAGAAAATTTGCAAAGCCAAATTTGCATAATCATGCATATTAGTGATGGAATTTTATGAGGAAAAAGTAAGTCAACTAACAAAAGTGAAGATGATTAATGGTTCTTATACTTTCCATAGAACACCACCAGGGGATTATTACAAACTGACATAGTATTACGTCATAAGCTCCCACATCAGATTATAAAGGAAAATTGCAAAAATCATTTTCACCACTAGAAAATACTATACCAATCCCAACTCTTTTAGAAATTCTCTTCCATTTTTTTCATATTATAAAAAGCAAATACATGAGGCACATCACCCAATTGGTGGTATGAACAAAAAAAATAAAGATTCAAACGTGTAAAAATGAAACAGCACCTGTTGCTCCTCCTTAGCCATGTGCTGGCTGACCGATGTTTGTAGGGCTCCTGTACAAGATGCTAACTCCCTCGGGAAACTTTCATCATCTTTTGCATTAGAATTTAGCAGCTCAAATAAATGATCAAAAAGATTGGTTTCGCCCTTATGTTCAAGGGAGTATGTTTGTGCTACATTCTTCACACGTATATCAAGAGCTGGAAAGATTACCTGCAGTTCCAAAGTTAATGTCGTCACGACCTCTAGGCATGACGAAATAGAGATGGAGAAAATTCACAATAAACAACGCCTCATTTGCAAAGAAGCTCAGTGTGTTAGCAAAAGCTCAACGTCATACTAAATGATAGTCATTTTGTGCTTTGGCTTTCATCCAATTGTTGTTTTGATGGCACTAAACTGCGAATCAATTTCATAATAGTAGAGAATATGCAAAGGAAAACAAATATTCCTTTGACGTCACATGGCCGATCTGATAAATAAATTAAACAAGAAACAGAAATTTAGAAAATTAAAATACAGTTCAAGTGCAACCGTTGAATTTTAACTCTCATTTGGATGAGAAACGCGAAAACATTATCCAGGTTCGCAAATAGAACAACGCCATGTCAAGATATGATCATAATACCTCAAAACGTTAGAACTAGAAGTGCAATCTTGACCAACGCACACACAATTACAGCAACATATTCACTGATATCAAAGATTGCAAACACTATTATATAAGTGGAGAAAAGAAAGAAAAAAAAACAAGAAACCAAATGCATACAGCTGGAAATCAGCACCGCTTTTTCTTATAATTGAGAAATCACAACTAATTATTAAAATCCAGAATAAATTCTTTTCTTCAAATAAATTGAAAAGCCTCAATGCAATTCAAAACTCAGCGAAAATGAATAAGAAACAAAGGAAAATATATTGACCTCGTCTTCAGCATTGGAGTGGTGCTTGTAAATCGATCTTAAGAAATGGTAGCGCTCGAGCAACGGCCTAATATCGGTTCGCTTTCCGGTGGCGAAGGCCATGGCCAATCGGTGAAGCGCATCGAGCTCTTTACGAATTGCTTTGTGAAAGAACAAGAAAATCAGAATCGGAGACCTCGGCTCCAAGCTCTTTAAGCAACCATTGGCCGAAGAAGACGAAGAAGAATCGACCTTGTTCACGGAATTGGACAGCACCGCCACTCCTCCGCCTCCGTCCATGTGCTGCAACCCCGTCAACGGCGTCGCCATCTCTGTCTTCCTGAAATCTTCCCGTACTTTATCGGAAAAATTGTCTCTCTGTAGCTCGGTGCTTGCTTTATAAACGGAAAGTTTCCCTCTCTGAATCTTTATCTTAATTGAATTTTTAATTTCTATTTATTTGGAATTGTCTGTTTTTAAAGCTTTGGGATTGTTCAATGGAGATGAAGGTGGGGGAAGGTTTGGGTTACAGTGAGGTCGATAAGACTAGGAAGAAATCGGTTTATATAGTCGGCGAGGCGCCACGTGGCGCCGGCGTTCCACTGTGGACGCATGTGTCATTAACGGCTAGTCACGTGAGGCGAGGCACTTGGAAGACATGTTGGTAAGCAAGGTGGATCAATAAGCTTTGATCGTGAACATGTGTTTAGTACACTCATGTGTATCATGTTCATGTATGGTTAGGAAATTATTAATGAATTTTTCAACAATAAAAGATTTGTTCCTTCTCTCTCAGTATATTGAAGATTTTTCTAAGAAATTTGTTTCCAAATTTTACTACTTTTATGTTTGCTATAGAGTAGATATGATTTTCTTGGTTGAAATTAAATTCAAAGTTTATTCAAATGATACTGTTTTTTTTCATTTATTCTTTATTTCCTATCTCCTCTCCAATTTTGGCTTCAATTATGATTTGTCTTTGACGTGTATATTAGGTCATATTTGGGAGTGCTTTTAAAAGGACTAAAAACCCTTCACGACAATTCCAACAAAAGCATTTTCAAACGAATACTTAATGTCACTATTTCGTTTGTTATGTTTTTTCTTTCTTGTGAATTTGTATAAAAATTAAAAGAATTTTAATTTGTTCTCCAAATTTTTTCTCAAACTCTCTCACAAAGATGAATTACACCCGTATTTAACAATATCACAAGTCATTCATGTGTCGAATTTCTTTAGTATTACGATTATATTGCAATATGGTGTCACTAATTTCCTCATGTTATAATGATACATAATGTACATGACATACATATTAATCATGTGAGAAAGTTGAGTTAAAGAAAATGGAGCAAGTCTAGTTACCTTGATTTGTTCTATATTTATCGCAGCAATTTTGATAGATAATAAATCAAATATAAAAGAGTACTTAAAAAGTATATATGCTATTTCGGGTGTGTTTGCTATATGTAACTAAAATTCTTATTATAATGGTATTGCGAATGATCGACTCGACAGCATTGTTAGATTAGTGGCAAAGTTTGGTGACTCTAGACTTTTGGTGAAAAATAATACTTGGTTGGTCGTTGGCTTGAGCCCCCCAACCTTTAAAAAAGAAAAGCTATGGACCAATTGCCTTCACATTCTCTATTATTAATTAATACATCCTACATTTAACTATGCTACTTTTGAACAATTATGGCCCAATAATCAACTCCAAATTTGCTTACAAAACTTAAATATAACAAAACCAGAAAACAATATTGCTCACTACTTTAACTTATGGTGTATCTTTACCATCATTCTCAACACTTAACATATGTCTATTGGCATAACCATAGTTAACTCTTTATTTTGTATTTATGGAACCATGATTATGTCAACAGACACGTATCAAGTATTAAGAAGAATAATGAGAGTACACATTACTTAAAGTGGTGAGCAAAAATGCTCTCAAAAATCAAATTGCAATTTGCACACCTAAATTCCTAACCATTTTAGGAGTTGATGAAAAGACAAAACTTGTAACAAATAGTCAAAGTGCCTCTTATTGTATTTCTGTCTTTATAATTTTATTTTATTTTTTTATTTCGCATCAAATTATACACTCTTATATATTAAAATAAACTGAGTCGTTTTCGTGATGGTTGGAGATTGTGACTAGAAAGGGAAACACATTGATGACTGAAATTAAGGTTAATGGCAATTAGGAAGGCACACAGGGTGCTCGTGCCGATTGTGTCGTTGTTGAGTAGGCACGTGCCAGCCCACGCCCACACAAGCACCACATATTCCTACTTGACTTCGGCTCGGCACCTCTTTTCTCTTTCCGTCATTTGCATTTCTTTGAAAATTGACACGATTCTTGAAGTTGAGCTCAAATTTATATTCACTCAATCATTAGTTTCTTCACAATTTTGTTCTTTTTTTTCCCCATTTATTTTAATTTTTACAGTCCCATGGCTAGTCTAGTGTCCTTTTGTTTATCTATTTGCTTAAGAAAAAAAGAAAAAAAGAAAAAGAAAGAAGAAAGTATATTTACCTCCTCATACGTCCTTAAGAGGTCTTGATATGTCCTGACCTGTAGGGTAGCCTTTCGTCTGTAAGTTCTCAAAAAGTCTATATTTGATGAGCAATGTACATGGAAATTTTCAAAATCTACCCCATATACGATTGATTTTGGGGGACTTTCGTGGCCTCTTTAATTATATGAATTGAAACGATTCCACTACAAAACTTTTCCATTAGAAGATCTTTCTCAACCCCTATTATCGAATCTCTTGAGCTTTAACCTTTTTCTTTACAATTAATTAGTTAGTTCATGTCCCTCCTCACCTTTGCCACCATCATGCTTTGCTTTGGCATTTTTTGTTTTTTTGTTTTTGTTTTACAAGAGTGATATTTAGGAAAGGAGATTCGAACATGAGACCTAGAGGACATGAATAACTGCTATTTAACCAAAATCTAGTGTCCAAAAACTAATAGTTCTTCCATTAAGTCATGAATTGACCCAAGTTGCTTATCTTCTCTTGTCTTTAGCAGTTATCTGTTCTGTTGCTTGGATATGTTTGCAGAACAGGAAAGCTGAAGAGATAAATCTCTTCTTTTTTTTTCTTTTTTTATGAAGGAGAAAAATCTCTTTAGCACTTATCTGTTCTGTTTTCTCTATCTTTCTTCTAGAGTAAGTGACTAGGAATGCACATGAACCTACCTCTCAGTGAATCGTACTCTGGGGAAGTGCCTCTCTCTCATGGGATGAGCCATTTGTGGCACAGAAACCAGCTTTTTAATTCACTGTGACTGTATACTTGGAGCTGAAAGTAGGTCTGATTTAACCCCACTCATCATGTGACCCAAAGTGAAACCACTCCCTTTAAATTCACCTTTAGTAACTGGGGTCTTTTCAAATGGCAGGTAGCCATGGTAAAGAGACATGCATAATAGACAAAATTTTGTGTATAATGATAATAATAGACAATAATTTATGTACAATAATAATAATAATAAAAAATTTCTGTCTCGTTTGAGAGTAATTCTAAATAAGTCAAAAAGAACTTCTATGGAGAATTACAACTTTTCCAAATAATTACTTTAAGCGATTTTAAGTAAAAGTGATTCTGGTATATTCAGAATCACTCCCAAACGAAGTGATTATGAGAGCATAAGCACCACTTATGTGTTTCTTTATAAATTCACTTAAAACCACTTGAAGTGATTATTTGAAGAAGTGATTTTTTATAGAAGCGTTTTTTGACCTATCAACAATCACTCTCAAACGAGGTGGAGTATATATGACAAAAGTAAAATAGAAATAGAATCTGGCCCCAAAAAACTGAAAAACACTGTGTCGATCAAAACAGTTAACATTAGATTAAAAAACTTGACCATTTCAGCCGGGTTCCGATTTCGGTTTATGTCATAAAAAACCCACTCCAAACTAAACCGGATCAGCTGTATCAAATACATATGTTTTTCTAAGTATGGAATCCTTTAAGCCCAACTGTCCTTCCGACCATTTTAGCAGCCCAATTTTCATAAACTACCCAAGCAGCAGCCCAATTTCCTTAGCCTTATTCACGAATTAACCAAAGTCTGTTGTGGGAGGAGGACATCAAAATGATGATCTCAAGTGAATTGCAGCTACAACACCAAAACGATGTCGTTTTTTCCCACAACTATATAGGGTTGGATTTTCCTAATTTGTTTTTAATTTTTCTTAACAACATTCAAGTGGATCGAATCCAATAAACAAAACACACACACACTCGAACACATTTGCCCGAAGGCATCGCCTTTTCTGTACAATTCCCACATTCTCTCCCAGAGTATAGCAGCACCAATTACCAAATCTCAATCTCAATCTCAATCTCAATCCCAATTTCCCAAAATCCCAATCCTCCTCCCAGCGTCTAACCATGAAATTCAAACAAACCCATTAACACCCCACCAAAACACCAATTTTCTCCACCGTCATCTTCCTCTCATTGAATTGGAATTTGGCTTCTTCAAAAACCAATCCAAAACCCATGGCAGGGTCTTCCCTCATGGAAAACCTCTTCCAGCGCACACTGGAGGACCTGATCAAGGGCCTCCGTCTCCAACTCATCGGCGAGTCCGCCTTCCTTTCCAAGGCCATAGACGAAATCCGCCGCGAGGTCAAGTCCACAGACTCAGACACCAAGGCCAACGCCCTCCACAAACTCACCTACCTCTCCTCCCTCCACTTCTACGACATGTCGTTCGCCGCATTCCACGTCGTCGAGCTCCTCTCCTCCACTCGCTTTTCCCACAAGAAGATTGCCTACCACGCCGCCTCCCACTCCTTCACCGACGACACGCCCGTCCTCGTCCTCATCACCAACCAGCTCCGCAAGGACCTCACCAGCACCAACGAGCTCGAGGTAAGCTTGGCACTTGAATGCCTCTCCAGAATTGCTACCGTAGATCTTGCTAGAGATTTGACCCCCGAGATATTCACCTTGCTAGCTAGTAGTAAAGTTATTGTGAAAAAGAAAGCGATCGGTGTGCTTTTGAGGGTGTTTGAAAAATATCCGGATGCTGTCAGGGTGTGCTTCAAGCGTTTGGTTGAAAATTTAGAGAGTTCAGAGTCGCGGGTTGTGTCTGTGGCTGTTGGGGTGTTTTGTGAGCTTGCTTTAAGAGAGCCCAGATCGTATCTTCCATTGGCGCCTGAGTTCTATAAGATCTTGGTTGATTCTAGGAACAATTGGATTTTGATTAAGGTGTTAAAGATATTTGCAAAATTGGCTCCTTTAGAGCCTAGGTTGGCTAATAGAGTTGTTGAGCCTGTTTGTGAGCATATCAGGAGGACAGGGGCCAAATCATTGTTGTTTGAGTGTATTAGGACTGTGGTGACCAGTTTGAGTGATTATGAATCTGCAGTGAAGCTTGTTGTTGTGAAGATTCGGGAAATGCTGGTTGATGATGATCCGAATCTTAAGTATCTCGCATTGCAGGCCCTTTCAGTGGTTGCCCCAAAGCACTTGTGGGCAGTGTTGGAGAATAAGGAGCTTGTGATTAAGTCCTTGAGTGATGTGGATCCAAATATTAAGCTGGAGTCCTTGCGTCTTGTTATGGCAATGGTGTCTGAGAGTAATGTGGCTGAAATTTGCAGGGTTTTGGTAAATTATGCCTTAAAATCTGACCCCGAGTTTTGCAATGAGATTCTTGGTTCCATTTTATCAACATGCGGTAGTAATGTATATGAGATTATTATTGACTTTGATTGGTATGTATCGCTTCTGGGAGAAATGTCGAGGATTCCACATTGCCAGAAGGGGGAAGAAATTGAGAAGCAGCTTATTGATATCAGTATGAGGGTGAAAGACATTAGACCAGAGCTTGTTCGGGTCAGTCGTGATCTACTGATTGATCCTGCATTACTTGGTAATCCTTTCTTAGACAGGATATTATCAGCTGCTGCTTGGTTGTCAGGGATATATGTTGAGTTCTCGATAAACCCATTTGAACTCATGGAGGCACTATTACAGCCTCGTACAACTCTCTTGCCGCCATTTATAAGGGCAGTTTATGTACAGTCTGCTTTTAAAGTTGTAATCTTTTGTCTGAATGCTTACCTTTTGCGGAGGGGGAATGCTGCTTCCTCCTCATATATTGATAAATTGGTGCCAGATGTTCCAGGATTGGTTTCGGAATGTGATGACCCAGAGAGTTCTGACTTGGCATCATGTGATTCTCCTGTGCATTGCAAACAGGATGAGGGATTCAACCCGAGGGTTTTAAATCAATCTTTTGAAGGTCTTTTTGTGGAACATGGTGGGGAGGAAACTGCTACTCGTGGGCAGGTATCTGCATCTTCTTCATTGAAGGACGGTTTCACACATGAATCTATCATAAACCTTTTAAATCGAGTTGAATTGGCTCTGGCTCCACTAACAGGAAGCTATGATGTAGAAATTCTAGAGAGAGCGCGAAATATACTCTGTTTCATTGAGTTGATTAAGCGAAAAATGCCTTATTGTCTAGTCCAGAAGGAAGAAAGTTTGGGAAGAGAAGAAGCACCAGTGTCCCAAATCATCAGATTGATGCATGATGCCTTTTCAAATGATCTAGGTCCTGTATCAGTAAGTGCTCAAGAAAGAGTTCCGGTACCAGATGGATTAGTGCTTGCGAAGAATCTTGAAGACTTGGAAACAATCTTTGGTGATGTTCAGCTGCCTTCATTAAATTCAGTTTCTCTTGGAAGCCCTCAATATGAGGACAGGGCTGGTTTTTCTCTCCCTATCCTTCAGAGTAAAGAAGAGCCAGGACCATCAAATGAATCCACATCTCTGCTTGCAGATCACCGTAAGCAGCATGGTCTATATTATCTTCCTTCTGCAAAGAATGAAGATGAGTATCCACCCGCCAATGATCTTAAATTACAGGCTGATACTAATGATGGCGATGAAGATCTAGTTAAGCTTACTGAGCAATTACTAGTTTCAAAGAAAAAGCCAAACCATGCAAAGCCTAGGCCTGTGGTGGTGAAATTGGATGGAGATCAAGTACCTATTGCAGCCAACCCTGATCGGAAGGAAGATTTGTTGTCTGGTACTGTGCGAGATGTTCTTTTAGGTAGTGACACCAATCACACATCCTCTAAAAGTAAAGTATCTACCAAGTCATTGACTCAGAGAAAAGGGAAGGATAAACTAAATGTTGATTCTGTTACAGAATCTAAAGAAAATTTGGGTGATATTGAAAAGCATGATCAAGGAAACCCAAGTTCAAGAAAAAGCAAGCACCATACGCATGGTAAAGGGAGAAGACACAAAAGCCCGGGAAAGAAGGGAGATGAAAGAGAAGAAAATGGTCAGAAAGTGAAGCAAAAAAGTAGTCATAGCCATAGTAAGCACAGGGCTCGACAACGAGCAGAGGTGCCCCTGAATGTGGTTGCACAAACACCAGGCATTCCAGATTTTCTTTTATAGTGTTAAAAGGTTTGGATTTATTTTTTCAATCATGATATCACAAAACTTGCCCTTGTATTTCACCATGACTAAGGTCAGTCCTGCTGTAGATTTTATACATTTTGCTTTCATAATCACAGTTTGTAGTTGCACATCTGTTGGATTCCTTTTTACCACTTTTTATGCCAAACAATGCGAGTGAATTTCATTCAAACTATGAAATTTGAAGGTTGAGATTGTCTATGAATTAAGTGTTGCCCACACAGTTCTTGAAGTTCTATGTAATTGTGTTTTGAGTATTAACAGTATGAGATTGATAATATGATTAAGAGTTCTAAGTATGGGACATTACCATGGTATTTGTAGCTGATTGAGAATGAACTTTTAACTTGATGTGTGGTTGACTGTCACAATTGGCTTTCAACTTTTCCTTGACTTCTTTTTTTCCTCATTAGATTTTTAATATATATATTTTTTTTATACAAAGTGACAAATTTACTTTAATATAATCTAAACTACGGAAAAATGGATTCGAACTGGAATGCAAAGTAGGGAGCACATTCGCTCTAGCAAACTTGGCTAAGACTGTGTCTGTATTTCTTTAAATATGAGGCAAGTTCTATATTCATTAAGCTAGGGGCCTAGGCCTCGTTTTGTCTCTCCTTATTTTTTATTTTTCGGCTTTTTGGGATACATGGGTGTGTGCTAAAGGCCCAACAAAAACCTGGGCCGAGCAAGAAGCAACTGCTTCGAGCCCACAAAAGTAAAAGACCTGATCTGCCCATACATATTCTATTACAGAAATAAATAAATTATAAACAAATACCAACTCTCCCATCACTCTCCTTTCTCTTTCTCCTCCTAGGGACCGTCGTCTCTGTAACTGTAACTGTGCCGGGGTTTGACATGGACGAGATGACAAAGGGAGAGGCAGCCATTGCTTGGGGTTGGCTCCTGGAAGCTTTGGCAGGCTTCAAAGAAGTTGGGGTATCGCTTTTACATGATTTGATTAAGATGGCTCCGGATTTGCCCGAGGATTTGGAAACGAAAGTAAACGAAAGGGTTGCTTTGAGATGTTTGGAGGATTTTTTTTCCCCTGGTGATATTCCCGCTCCTCTTCCATCTACTTCTACTTCTACTCACCATTCAAAAGTCACCTTTGATTTATCGGAAAGTTGCGACGATGTTCTCCAACGCATCGTGAACGAGGTAAGTTTTTAAAACCCAACAAAATTTTGAATTTTCAGTTCAAATATTGTGTAGCTGGGATGTTCGTATGTTTAAATGTTAAGCGTAAAGTTCAAATATTTGTTTTGTCAGACACCAGAATCTGATTTGAAAATGGGTGGCCCTGGGCTGTTGAAATGGGATGTTCAGCCCTTTATCGTGCACAAACGAGCTTCTATGCCTAAATGTGCTTTGAGCCAGCTCAAAGATTCAATTCTTGACGGTACACATCCATATGCTGATTTCTTGATTAAAAAGAGCGGCTTAACATCTACCAGGGACGGTGGTAATGATAGACTTCCTGTCAGTGATAGTAGTAGGAGGAGAAGGTTCAATGGGAGCTGCTCTAATGCTAAAAACTTGAGCGTAGAAGGAAATGATGCAAATGTATTGCCTTCCAAGAGGGATTTGATTGCCTCAAATTCTGAAAATTTGGCAGATGAAGACCATGGTGGAGTAAATGACTCTGATGATTCGCGTAGAAATGTCAAGAAGGTGAAGTTGGATGCCTCTTATGTCTCACAGTCTGTTGAACACAACCCGACTTCTTTGCCTCAGAAAGAACTAATGGATGATTCATCTGAAAGAGATAGTCCAGTTTTCGAGAGTGAAAGGTGTGTTTTAGCAGAATATCGCATGAGAATGTTGGAGGAAAGTGCGGTCTTAGAGGATGATCATGATAATTATACAAGCTCAAAGAGGTCTGGACAGAGCACGGAGGTTGCAATCCATAAGAGTCAGTTAGAAATTCCTTGTACTGCTGAAGGCAAAGACGATAGTGAGCATTGTCCTGAACCAACAACATCAGGTGTTGTTCCTCCGGATTTAACCCAGCATAAAGTTTCTGAGCATGGTTCTCATGTTAACGTAGCACGTGCTGCATCTGCAGATGGATCCCAGCAGAAGACCGGTGCTGATCGAGCCAAAGATCCCATGGATTGCAATTTCGAGTCAAGTGATAGCTATGGGTTTAATAATGAGAAGATTGATGTTGCCATGAAGAAGCAAGATTTCTTGACCTCTCAATGCATGTTAAATCGTGCTTACTCAGACACAATTGATTGGACAGAGGAAAATATTTGTATGAAGTGTAATGAAGGTGGTCAGTTGTTGATATGCAGTACCAGTGATTGCCCTTTGGTATATCATGAAAAGTGTCTTGGTTCTGAGTTCATTTGTTATAAGAAAGGTAACTTCTACTGCCCCTTCTGTTCGCATTCTCTTGCTCTTAAGGAGTACCTAGAAGCTAAGAAAAAAGCTTCTCTCTTAAGGAAAGATCTAGATGCATTTATGTGTAACGTTTCGGAACATCAGCCAGTAAAGTTTCTTTGAAGGAATTTTGATGAGGATCTTCTTGAAGAAAGTTATCAGAATATGGTGAAGCACGTGTAAATGGAGTCGATGACCTTCATTCTGAGAATATGGTGGTAACCAACAAGTAGCACCAGCTGGATCATGTATTGATGCATGTCAATAGAGTTTAGAGACAAAAGGCTACTGCATTTTGTACAAAACTATGAGCCGGTGAAAATGAATGGGAAAAAAGAGGAAGAAAACAGAGTGGAAACCAGCGTTGTATATACAGTTTGATCATATTTTAAATATTTGGGATCGTTCTCTTCTTTTTTCTATTGTGAAGCCTTTGCACTGCTGGTTGAGTCTCTTTGGTCGAAGCTAATACCACAGTAAACCCAAATCATACGTAAAGCGCATTCAAACTGCTGAACCCTTATTCAGTGGCTAAACTGATTCGTTTAGAAAACTGAACATGAATTATGCGTAAGATGAACTTTTTCTATCCAAGAAAGAACAGGGAAAGCGTCACTAATACCTTACTTTCTTCAATAATTCTGGCCCCAAATCTAGGAGCTCGTGCCAACTTGGTGACATTTGGGCCGTAACGTTTAGATAAACTTATTTGTCAAGTTTGCGAATGCTCGAACTGGTGGAGAGTGGGCATGAGATGTCAACCCTTTGAAGATCTGCGGTGTTGATTGTCAACAAGACTTTAGAAACCCTAGGTCGGACCAAAACACATGCATGCCATCTTAACTTTCGCTTCAAGTGTCTTCTTTCAACAACAAATAACTTCCATTCCAAGCGTCCAAGATTATTAAATTGTCTTTAGTAGCTAAGCTAGCTACAGTCTTCATCTTCTGCTTAACCATTCACCTATCCTCTAATGCTTTCAGCAATGGGAAATGAACACCGAAAATCTCAACCAATTCTAAAGCTTTTGCTCTCATATATGCAGTATAGCCATGCCTTTGAGCTTGTGTTTTTTTTCGTTGGTTTGTGCCTTGGAGTCATGGTCAGTTTATACTGCAAGACCTTCCCATTCAAGTTGCAAACCACTATAAATGTTTTCCCTTCGTCACCACTGTCGCTGTCGCTGCCAACTCCAGCATCGCAATTGCTCCCACAACCACCCTCACCGTTGCCAACTCCAACATCACAATTGCTCCCACAACCCTGCTCACCACCGCCTCTCCCATTAGCAGACTTGGGTACTGAGGTTACATCTAAAATTGAGGCATTTATGTTGCACAAGATGGATGATGATGATGAGTTGCTTTGGAGGGCATCATTGGTTCCAAGGATTAGAAGGTTTCCTTTTAACCATGTGCCTAGAGTTGCCTTCATGTTCTTGACAAAGGGACCTATACCTTTGGCCCCATTGTGGGAAATGTTCTTCAAAGGTCATGAAGGACTTTATACCATATATGTTCACACTCATCCTTCCTATGTAGATTCATGGCCTCAGAACTCTGTTTTCTATGGAAGGAGAATTCCAAGCAAGGTTGGTTTCTCAATTCTTACAAATACACTAATTTCACTTCGGTAACTTTTAAGCTCTGTTGATAAAAATGGTGAATTTTCAATCATGTAATAATTTGTCACACACACGTGTATAAACTAATGATTGCAGGAAGTTGGATGGGGAAAATCAACAATGATTGATGGTGAGAGACGCCTACTAGCAAGTGCTCTCTTGGACTTCTCTAATGAGAGATTTGTGTTACTGTCCGAGTCTTGTATCCCATTGTTCAACTTCACCACAATTTACAGTTACCTAATGAATTCCAGTGAGAGCAATATTGGTTCATATGACGACCCGAGGAAGGGGGGTCGGGGCAGATACAATCCCAAAATGTGGCCTGCAATTAACATATCGGATTGGCGCAAAGGCTCCCAGTGGTTTGAGGCCAGTCGAAAGCTTGCAATTGAGATCATATCAGACACCAAATACTACCCCATATTCAAAGAGCATTGCAATCCTCCTTGTTACATGGATGAACATTACATCCCTACCCTAGTCAACATTCTTGGCGTCAAAGACAACTCGAATCGAAGCATAACTTGGGTTGATTGGTCCAAGGTTGGCCCTCACCCTGGAAGATTTAGGAGGAATGATGTTTCATATGAGTTTCTGAATCAAATAAGGTTTGGCACCAATTGCACTTGTAATGGTATTAATGCAACCACTTGTATGTGCTTTTTATTTGCTAGGAAGTTCATGGGAGACACTCTGCAACCTCTCTTGCAAATTGCACCCATTTTGCTAGGCTCCGTTTCATAATTTTAATATTGTACAAATCTGATATAACATATGCATTTATGCATATCTATTTACTCCCATCCCATCCCATGACATTAAAGGGAATGGTTTTGTGTGGTCTTACAATTTAATTTATTATGGTTCTTGAGCATGACGCATGTTAATTATAACATTGTTGGCCAATGATAGCAAAATAGTGTTAATGCTCGTTTCATGAAAGTCTTTTCCGCATGCATTGGTGGTGACTATTCATGTAGCCCAAGCAGCAGTGTTCAGCCTGTGGCAGCTCAGGCATCTGTGGCCCAATTGATTTTATTATTTTCCTAATTGGAAATTATTCATAATGATAAAAAGTTAAGAAAGTTTTCATTCTCTATGTTGATTGAGGGGGGAGGCTGTCCCAAATGGTAAACTTGGAAACCCATTGTTTCTCTTTCCTGGATTGAAAAGTAAATGGTAAATGCCACAAAAGTTTCATACGTGTATAAAATCTAAAGCTCTTCCCTTATTTAACCAGATTTTGATCCTAATTAATACTTATTTTGACACAATTCAAGGGATCCAGATTTCTCATACACGCACGTCTTTCCCTACCAACAATACAACTTGGTTAACATTTTCAAGGAAAGCCCTACTCGTGTCTTTGGTTCCTCATTTTTAAATTTTAAGCAAGTCTGTTCTGTATAATTATTAATTAATTATGACAGTCATTGTTTTTGTTTTTATTTGGTTAATTTAATTCTCCATGACCTTTCATGTTAACAAAAATATTTAAAATATTATATATATATATATATATATACACACACATACATATCCTAGTGTGATGAAATCAAATCAATTTAAGAATCTTTCAAGAAGAGCAGCCCACATTTCATTCATTTCAAACCATTCGACTTCTCATTCTCTCTCTCTCTCTCTGCTAATTATCACTCCAAAATGAAGAACAAACCACAGCAGCAGCAGCAGCAGCAGCAACCACCCTCATCAATTCCCAAGCATTTCCTCAATGTCCAAATACACCTCCATAAAATCATCTCCAACTTTTTCATCTTCGCCTTCGGTTTAGCCATCGGCGTCTCCATCAGTTTCTACCTCAAGGATTTTCCCTTCCAGCTCTACGCCACCCAAGCCAAACACTCTCGCTCATCAAACACTCCATTGTTATTCTCTTCTGCCCCACCACCACTACCACCGCCGCCGCTGCCAACTCTCAATATCCAAAATAATCAAACCAAAACTTCTGCTGCGCCTCCCTCACCGCCAATCGGCTTAAAAGAATACACAAAGCCACCCAACATTATGCACGACATGGACGACGCTGAGTTGCTGTGGAGAGCTTCACTGGTGCCTCGCCGGCCTGGGCTGCCGTTCAAGCGCACCCCAAAAGTGGCGTTCATGTTCTTGACAAGAGGGCCTCTGGCATTGGCTCCGTTCTGGGAAATGTTCTTCAAAGGCCATGAAGGGCTCTACTCTATCTATGTCCACGCCAATCCGGATTTCAACGACACCATGCCTCAAAACTCTGTTTTTTATGGCAGAAGGGTCCCAAGTAAGGTCAGTTCATCCATGTTACAATTATTATTTTCCTTGATTTTTTTTCATTAATTCGTTTTGATTCAGAATTAGTCTAATGTCTAGTGCATTTCATTCTTAAGAGAAGAAAAATCTGTGATCAATACCCATTAGATTACTCGTAGCACCAAACCAACCAACATGATGACTTTTATGTGAAAATAGCAAATTAAATTCCGGCACACTATAATTAGGATTTTTTGTGTGCATGTTTTTGTTTTTATTATTAAGAAATTAAATACTGATGGTTAGGAGTGGTTATGCGTTATGCTTCATCAATTAAAATTGGAAAAAGAAAAAGAAAATACGAACCAACTAAGAAATACACGGGTTGATTCAGTTGATAAGGTCCCTGCACTGTGTGTCGCTCCACCAGTATTAAATCCGAAAAGGGCTTGATTTGCCCTGCCTGTGGGTGTGGGGGTAGCCTCTGCCTCCCCTTAACTTTTTATTACCCAAGAAGATGTCCGGATTTCCTAGTGACAGAGGAAAAGAAAAACATAAAGCGGATGTTTCTATATTGAAAAAAGAAATGATGAAAATTTAGTTATTTCTTTAGAAATTAATTAGTTAGGATTACACATCTATATATGATTTTACATACCTTTCGGAGGGATGTAAAATCAATTTGGTTTTGGTTGAGATTTTGAGCCATTGAGGTCATTGCATATAGAAGAGGTGGAGAATTTGATGCCCTTGTTTTATGATATTATTATTGCATTAGATACATACTGCGTAGCAAGTCATTGGAGGACCATTCCGTATTGTGCCAGGTTTGTCCATAAAAAGCAATACAGCCTTAATTACTTTAAGCTCTTCTCTCTTCTCCAAAAGTTATTTATAATATTTTTTCGAAAAGGAAACTGAAATATAATATTTGATAGTTGACATTCCTTGTCTGTATAATTTACCATGCCTATGGAATGATACGATACATATTAACTTAATTTAGTCTATGATTATTAATAACTAATATATTTTAAGGTACCTAAGCAGATCTTAGTCTTTGAAATCTTACTATAATAATATGGGGTGGCTGATGCATGTCTAGAAATGATTGGACATAACAACATGGGAGAAACCTGTGTATGTGGAGTTTTGACAAATGAATCAGATTTTATTTGGGGGAATAGCTAAAGCTGGGACACCTATAAAGTTATGGAGTCGTGATGGGCTATATGTAGTGATACAATTACTT